CTCCTGCGCTTCGTCCGAGTAAGGTACGGCCTGCTACTGACAGTTGGTGGTGATCCGACTCCTTTCTTTGCTTTCTGTGCAGGCGCTACGCAAGCTGTGCGACGGCGAGCATGTCCCAAGGGCAATACACTCCGTGTACCGGTAAGTTGGGGATTGGCTGCATAAATGTGGGATTAGTTTGCTGCATGAAGACGTAGAGGGATCCTTTCTCCCCCCCTTCCTCGCTCCTTCTCCCCTTCTTCCCCCCCCCCCCCGCAGTTCTGGGGGGCCGGCACACGGATCGGCGACGGCCTCCGACGCAGGAGCGGGGCGCCAGCGGCGTGCGGAGCCAGCCACCACTGCCGTACCGCTGCTATTCGCCAGTACAGCCCCCACCCGCATCCATTTCGCCTAGCGACAAAGGTGAGTTTGTTTGCTACAACGTCTCACACGCGTGCCTGCCCTGTTCACTGTTCTGCACCCACAACTATGCCACTTATCTCAATTAGTTGGAAACCAATAGATGACGGTTAAGTTTTGCCCAAGCGGCCGGCCAAGTAGCATGCCGCAAGCATCGCCTGGCCACCGGTGCATGTGGCGTGTCTATTTGGCCAGCTGCGTGGGCACAGCATGTTGCTCTGAGGGCCCGTTGCATGGGGCTGGAGTGTCTCCGGCTAGCTCGCTGCCTGCTTCTAAATAAACATGCATTGCTCTAGTGTCCCACCCGTTCTCTCATCGCCACCAACCCATTCCCTCCCCCCCCCCTCCTTGCCCCCACCTCGAAGGTACGGCCTGCTACTAACAGTTGGTGGTGATCCGACTCCTTTCTTTGCTTTCTGTGCAGGCGCTACGCAAGCTGTGCGACGGCGAGCATGTCCCAAGGGCAATACACTCCGTGTACCGGTAAGTTGGGGATTGGCTGCGTAAATGTGGGATTAGTTTGCTGCATGAAGACGTAGAGGGATCTTTTCTCCCCCCCCCTCCTCGCTCCTTTTCCCCTTCTCGCCCCCCCCCCCGCAGTTCTGGGGGGCCGGCACACGGATCGGCGACGGCCTCCGACGCAGGAGCGGGGCGCCAGCGGCGTGCGGAGCCAGCCACCACTGCCGTACCGCTGCTATTCGCCAGTACAGCTCCCACCCGCATCCATTTCGCCTAGCGACAAAGGTGAGTTTGTTTGCTACAACGTCTCACACGCGTGCCTGCCCTGTTCACTGTTCTGCACCCACAACTATGCCACTTATCTCAATTAGTTGGAAACCAATAGATGACGGTTAAGTTTTGCCCAAGCGGCCGGCCAAGTAGCATGCCGCAAGCATCGCCTGGCCACCGGTGCATGTGGCGTGTCTATTTGGCCGGCTGCGTGGGCACAGCATGTTGCTCTGAGGGCCCGTTGCATGGGGCTGGAGTGTCTCCGGCTAGCTCGCTGCCTGCTTCTAAATAAACATGCATTGCTCTAGTGTCCCACCCGTTCTCTCATCGCCACCAACCCATTCCCTCCCCCTCCCTCCTTGCCCCCACCTCGATCTCCGCATGATCCTCCGATCCTGGCTCCTGCGCTTCGTCCGAGTAAGGTACGGCCTGCTACTGACAGTTGGTGGTGATCCGACTCCTTTCTTTGCTTTCTGTGCAGGCGCTACGCAAGCTGTGCGACGGCGAGCATGTCCCAAGGGCAATACACTCCGTGTACCGGTAAGTTGGGGATTGGCTGCATAAATGTGGGATTAGTTTGCTGCATGAAGACGTAGAGGGATCCTTTCTCCCCCCCTTCCTCGCTCCTTCTCCCCTTCTTCCCCCCCCCCCCCCCGCAGTTCTGGGGGGCCGGCACACGGATCGGCGACGGCCTCCGACGCAGGAGCGGGGCGCCAGCGGCGTGCGGAGCCAGCCACCACTGCCGTACCGCTGCTATTCGCCAGTACAGCCCCCACCCGCATCCATTTCGCCTAGCGACAAAGGTGAGTTTGTTTGCTACAACGTCTCACACGCGTGCCTGCCCTGTTCACTGTTCTGCACCCACAACTATGCCACTTATCTCAATTAGTTGGAAACCAATAGATGACGGTTAAGTTTTGCCCAAGCGGCCGGCCAAGTAGCATGCCGCAAGCATCGCCTGGCCACCGGTGCATGTGGCGTGTCTATTTGGCCAGCTGCGTGGGCACAGCATGTTGCTCTGAGGGCCCGTTGCATGGGGCTGGAGTGTCTCCGGCTAGCTCGCTGCCTGCTTCTAAATAAACATGCATTGCTCTAGTGTCCCACCCGTTCTCTCATCGCCACCAACCCATTCCCTCCCCCCCCCCCTCCTTGCCCCCACCTCGAAGGTACGGCCTGCTACTAACAGTTGGTGGTGATCCGACTCCTTTCTTTGCTTTCTGTGCAGGCGCTACGCAAGCTGTGCGACGGCGAGCATGTCCCAAGGGCAATACACTCCGTGTACCGGTAAGTTGGGGATTGGCTGCGTAAATGTGGGATTAGTTTGCTGCATGAAGACGTAGAGGGATCTTTTCTCCCCCCCCCTCCTCGCTCCTTTTCCCCTTCTCGCCCCCCCCCCCCCCGCAGTTCTGGGGGGCCGGCACACGGATCGGCGACGGCCTCCGACGCAGGAGCGGGGCGCCAGCGGCGTGCGGAGCCAGCCACCACTGCCGTACCGCTGCTATTCGCCAGTACAGCCCCCACCCGCATCCATTTCGCCTAGCGACAAAGGTGAGTTTGTTTGCTACAACGTCTCACACGCGTGCCTGCCCTGTTCACTGTTCTGCACCCACAACTATGCCACTTATCTCAATTAGTTGGAAACCAATAGATGACGGTTAAGTTTTGCCCAAGCGGCCGGCCAAGTAGCATGCCGCAAGCATCGCCTGGCCACCGGTGCATGTGGCGTGTCTATTTGGCCGGCTGCGTGGGCACAGCATGTTGCTCTGAGGGCCCGTTGCATGGGGCTGGAGTGTCTCCGGCTAGCTCGCTGCCTGCTTCTAAATAAACATGCATTGCTCTAGTGTCCCACCCGTTCTCTCATCGCCACCAACCCATTCCCTCCCCCCCCCTCCTTGCCCCCACCTCGATCTCCGCATGATCCTCCGATCCTGGCTCCTGCGCTTCGTCCGAGTAAGGTACGGCCTGCTACTGACAGTTGGTGGTGATCCGACTCCTTTCTTTGCTTTCTGTGCAGGCGCTACGCAAGCTGTGCGACGGCGAGCATGTCCCAAGGGCAATACACTCCGTGTACCGGTAAGTTGGGGATTGGCTGCATAAATGTGGGATTAGTTTGCTGCATGAAGACGTAGAGGGATCCTTTCTCCCCCCCTTCCTCGCTCCTTCTCCCCTTCTTCCCCCCCCCCCCCCCCGCAGTTCTGGGGGGCCGGCACACGGATCGGCGACGGCCTCCGACGCAGGAGCGGGGCGCCAGCGGCGTGCGGAGCCAGCCACCACTGCCGTACCGCTGCTATTCGCCAGTACAGCCCCCACCCGCATCCATTTCGCCTAGCGACAAAGGTGAGTTTGTTTGCTACAACGTCTCACACGCGTGCCTGCCCTGTTCACTGTTCTGCACCCACAACTATGCCAATTATCTCAATTAGTTGGAAACCAATAGATGGCGGTTAAGTTTTGCCCAAGCGGCCGGCCAAGTAGCATGCCGCAAGCATCGCCTGGCCACCGGTGCATGTGGCGTGTCTATTTGGCCGGCTGCGTGGGCACAGCATGTTGCTCTGAGGGCCCGTTGCATGGGGCTGGAGTGTCTCCGGCTAGCTCGCTGCCTGCTTCTAAATAAACATGCATTGCTCTAGTGTCCCACCCGTTCTCTCATCGCCACCAACCCATTCCCTCCCCCCCCCTCCTTGCCCCCACCTCGATCTCCGCATGATCCTCCGATCCTGGCTCCTGCGCTTCGTCCGAGTAAGGTACGGCCTGCTACTGACAGTTGGTGGTGATCCGACTCCTTTCTTTGCTTTCTGTGCAGGCGCTACGCAAGCTGTGCGACGGCGAGCATGTCCCAAGGGCAATACACTCCGTGTACCGGTAAGTTGGGGATTGGCTGCATAAATGTGGGATTAGTTTGCTGCATGAAGACGTAGAGGGATCCTTTCTCCCCCCCTTCCTCGCTCCTTCTCCCCTTCTTCCCCCCCCCCCCCGCAGTTCTGGGGGGCCGGCACACGGATCGGCGACGGCCTCCGACGCAGGAGCGGGGCGCCAGCGGCGTGCGGAGCCAGCCACCACTGCCGTACCGCTGCTATTCGCCAGTACAGCCCCCACCCGCATCCATTTCGCCTAGCGACAAAGGTGAGTTTGTTTGCTACAACGTCTCACACGCGTGCCTGCCCTGTTCACTGTTCTGCACCCACAACTATGCCAATTATCTCAATTAGTTGGAAACCAATAGATGGCGGTTAAGTTTTGCCCAAGCGGCCGGCCAAGTAGCATGCCGCAAGCATCGCCTGGCCACCGGTGCATGTGGCGTGTCTATTTGGCCGGCTGCGTGGGCACAGCATGTTGCTCTGAGGGCCCGTTGCATGGGGCTGGAGTGTCTCCGGCTAGCTCGCTGCCTGCTTCTAAATAAACATGCATTGCTCTAGTGTCCCACCCGTTCTCTCATCGCCACCAACCCATTCCCTCCCCCCCCCTCCTTGCCCCCACCTCGATCTCCACATGATCCTCCGATCCTGGCTCCTGCGCTTCGTCCGAGTAAGGTACGGCCTGCTACTGACAGTTGGTGGTGATCCGACTCCTTTCTTTGCTTTCTGTGCAGGCGCTACGCAAGCTGTGTGACGGCGAGCATGCCCCAAGGGCAATACACTCCGTGTACCGGTAAGTTGGGGATTGGCTGCGTAAATGTGGGATTAGTTTGCTGCATGAAGACGTAGAGGGATCTTTTCTCCCCCCCTTCCTCGCTCCTTCTCCCCTTCTCCCCCCCCCCCGCAGTTCTGGGGGGCCGGCACACGGATCAGCGACGGCCTCCGACGCAGGAGCGGGGCGCCAGCGGCGTGCGGAGCCAGCCACCACTGCCGTACCGCTCCTATTCGCCAGTACAGCCCCCACCCGCATCCATTTCGCCTAGCGACAAAGGTGAGTTTGTTTGCTACAACGTCTCACACGCGTGCCTGCCCTGTTCACTGTTCTGCACCCACAACTATGCCAATTATCTCAATTAGTTGGAAACCAATAGATGACGGTTAAGTTTTGCCCAAGCGGCCGGCCAAGTAGCATGCCGCAAGCATCGCCTGGCCACCGGTGCATGCCAGTAGCCGTTGTCCTCGGCTCCTCTTCAACGTTAAAATTACAGCTGTCACCTGCATTTTACAGCGTACATCAGGCTCACCTCAGATGCTGTCTAGCTGCCACCGTGCACGGCATGCCGGCGGCCCTCCTTCTTTATAGGCAACAAACAGCATTACTACTACTACACCATAGACAACTCAGAGCGCCCAACATAAAGCCGCCCGGCGCCGCACATACATAGCTGCAGGTAGGATCGAACCGGGCCATCCAACCGTGCATCCCATCAGCAAAAGTGGGGCATCGCCAGGTAGGTAAATGTCGACGTTTCGTAATTATCCGTGCTACAACCTCATTCCTAACCTGAAACATGCCCCCACCACTTCTTAGCCAGCAAATGCAAAGGTGCGTACGAAGTATACGTACTGCTTCCACGTAACAGCTGTGCCGTGTAGTCAAGGACGTCAAGCCGGGCGGGGCCGTACGCAGCATGCCGGCGGCACTTTATATCGGGCAACAGAAGGTGCTACTGCCACATAGTAAAGCACTACAGATCGCCCAACAAAACGACACCTGCGCCGCACATAAACTCTTATAGCTGCAGGTAGGCAGGCAGGCCGAACCCAGCTGTCCTACCAAGCTTGACAGCAGCAGACGCGGGACTCTTCCAGGTAGATACCGGTAGCTAGATGTTGACGTTTAAAAACAACGTCTATAACCTCAGCCGGTACCCTAAACCAGGAAACATGGCCCCACCATTTATTACCGTCAGATACAACATGCTTATTAAGTACACGCATACACGCACTGTCGCCTACAACATGTCTGCCGTATAGTCATGCGTCACATTAATCAGATACACGCAGGCAGGGAGGCCGGCAGGCCCTGTCAAGTGCAAAGTCTGCGCCCCCATGCTACCTTGCTACGCGTTGAACGACGAACAAACATGCCGGACTGACGTAAGGAAATCCAGCCACACGCCTTGCAGGTTGTCATCATTCAAACCAACTACTCCTATTAGTATGACGCCCAGTCCTGATAGACTAATAATTATTGGACGAAACCCAGCCGCAATCACAAGTTCTTATTCGGCATAACCGCAGCACAAGAATGGTCGTGAGACCCAGGGGAGACCATCTGAAAGCCAGCAAAAGGGTATTTTTGCACTGCATACACTGCATCACATACCATAGCATTGTCTTAATTCGGGGTCGGACGGGGTTGGACCTTTGTATCACAGATTTATTAATGGACCACAATAACCTGCCACGAAGACAAAACCTCACAGTGACGGAGGCGCACTGCCTAACCTTGCAACTGCATTTAGCAGTTAAGCCACATTATTATGTCCAACCCAGTAAGCAAGGTAACTCCAACGTAGCCATGCAAGCATACATAGCGTTAGTGAGCGCGATCCCTGCCCTGCATGCAAAGCCTTGATTTCCATCAGCAATTGGTCCTTTTCGTCGCCGCAATTCTTGTTTCGTCATAAAGCCATAAATGATTAAGGAGGGCATCACATCGACAACCGCACCCGTCGAAACGGCGCCCGTTAACAGGACAAGCCACGCACCGTACACGGCTGTTACCATGCATAAGAGCAAAGACCCACGGGTCACCCAGGGGCATATGTGAAAACCAGCTAGCCACCCAAAACATTTATTCCTGCTATTCTTTGCGCGCCATGCAATCAAAACGGAGCCCAAAGGATACCTAACAGCACGATTTAACCGTTTCCCTTCATGCTCACGCTGGGTGGTTTCCCATTGCACAATGTAAACCACTTGCAGGCGAGCGAACGCATGAAGTTCAGCCAGAGCCACACAAAGGGCACCTGGTAGAACACCTAGTAAGATGTAAGATCCAATACACCAGCAAAACGTTCGAACCGCAACACTGAATGGACGTTCGCCGGTCGGTTATGGCGCATTTAGAGCACACACAGCACGAATGCCCGCCAATCCATCATTCAATGACGAAGATGAATGACCAGTTCGCAACGTAGCTCAGTAACAAAAAGACATGCTTCAACACATCGGTTGCCGCAAGCGGTGGCTGCTGTTGCCGCAGAAACGCGCACATAGACATACGAATGCTGCTGTGGCGTGTAAAGTTCAGAACACTACCATGGCAAGCCAAAGATTGCACAGCCCATGGCTAAACGAAAACCAGCTCAAGGCTGCGGAAAGAAACATCAGCCGGAAGGCACGAAACGGACTCACACATTGCAACGTGGTACTACCGCCCATGCAGCTAAAGCAATCGCAAAATGCATGCACTAAACAAACGAACACGCAACTTCAGTCCAAAACACGTCCAGTGTCCTCCCCCATTCAGTCACTCACGTAACACAACCCGCAGCCAGCAACACGCAATAACTGCACGTGGCCACCACCCTCTCGAAACCAACACAACCTATGACGCGACAGCTGCCGTACATGCACTACCGTGCACATCATTACCGCTGCGTATAACCGCCCCTAACCCGCGCCCCTCGCAATCACGATATCACACAGCCGCCACAGCCGCAACCTCCCGCTGCCTGTTGCCTCCTGTCCAGTCCTGCCACCACTCCCGAAGCCATCATGCTCTGCAGCTGCGAGGCCACTGACGCCATGTCGGGGCGAGCTGCCGGCTCCTGCGCCCAGCACTCCCGGATCAGCCGCCGCAGCTCCGGAGGCAGGTCGTCATGGATAGCGGGACGGAAGCCGTGGGCCACCTGATGATTTAGATGGTACGATGTTAGATGGTACGATTTTAGATGGTACGGTCAGATACGATGGAAAAGAAGAGAGGAAATGCAGTAGTCATAAAAAGGAGAGCAAGAAAAGGTGTGTGTAAGAAGCAGGGTGATGGGGAAAAAGGGTACAGGGTTGTGCTGGGATGCTGGGGATTAAGCTGTTTACAACGGTGCCATGTACTGTGCGGCCAAGGATACATGCCTAGGCAAGGACAGCAACGCCAACATACGGAAGAGGGACGCCCTAAGCAAGCACTGACCCATAGGTCATGCCTTAATTCCATGCGAGTAAAACCAAGCCCCCCGCCCACCTGTCTCGCGTAGTCCTCCATCTGCTCGGGAGCCTCCAGGGAGCACACCAGGATGTAGCGGTGGAACACCTCGTACATGACCACCGCGAAGGAGAAGCAGTCGCACTGCGTTGTGAAGTGAAAGGGGTAAAGAGGAAACAACTAACTGACCGTCTGATAAGGCATCATCATGGTTTGCAACATGTGAGCCAGCCCGACCCGCCCAGCCCGAATAAGCCAAGCCAGTACGTGTAAAAGGGAAAGGAAAGGGGGGGCCGTAATGGAGACGGTTCAACAACCATCGCAGCGAAAGGAGGACTGTCACACCCATGTGGTTTGGAGGAGGGTGTTGCAGGAGGAGGGTGCCTAAAACACTCCGTCGTCATACCTTTTCGTCGTATTTCTGCCGGCGCTGTACTTCCGGGGCCTGCGGGGAAACATTCGGGAGCATTGCAGAGGTTGGCTGTCAAACACTTTGCAATTAGCCAGCCTGCATGCCTCCCTGCATCCGTAAGCGGATGATCCCTCGCACCACATGATGCATATGCGGCACCTCACGGCTCATGGCAGTAGCCAGCGGCCCCATCTACCGCTCCTTGCCCGCTGCTGCCGACCCACCATGTACATGTAGGTCCCCAGGCGGCCGGACGCATGCGAGTCCAGCATGCGGGACAGCTCCTCCTCGTCCTCCGCCGCGGGCCGCAGGTGCGGCGGCGCGTGCGTGGCCGCCTGCACCCGCTGCCGGACCAACCGGGAAGCCCTGGGCGGGCAGCAGAGGCAGATGACGAGGTGAGTCAGGAGGCAGATGAGTAAAGAGGACGGCGACGCAGAGACAGAGGTTAACGCCTACTGCACCTTGCTTGGTGTTGCGTATGCTGTTCCTTTACATCTAATCCTTTACCAACTCAGCTATCTTTCGAGCTCCAGCAAAGCCGTCCTTCCCTTCAGGACGCGTCAACCCCCCCTCTGCCATCCCTACGGATACCACACTTACTCGCTGGGTTGGCGCAGGCCGGAGGCTATTTCCTTGGCGGCGGCATCAAAGTCCAACAGCTCCCATTCCGCACGGGAGTCACGGACGCTGAGGGCAGGCAGGCGGGTGGGCAGGGTTGTCAGAAAGCGTAAAACTGCTTGTGCACGCTGGATGGCAAGCCGGAGGAGGTTAAGGGTGTTGGCTACATGGCTAGGGTTGAATGCACGCAGGACATACGAGAAAGGGAGATTCGAGGGCATGCAAGGTGACGTTCCCATGAAGAACGAAGGCGTGCTAGCACGCAGGAACCAGCAGTGCTGTGGAGTGCTGCATGCGGAAATATGCGTGAGTCTTGCAGCTTGCAAAATGTATTACATTCCTAGGTGCACTGCAAGCCCTAGACGGCCCCTGACGTCCTTCCCCTTAGCTAAACCCCATGACCCAGATCTCGAAAGGGTATAAGAATCCCTTTAGGTTGGCGATTATACAGGCCCCACTCACCCCGTCAGCCGCCCCTGCTGCTGCTGCCCCTGCGCCGGCTGGTGGTGCGCCACCAGGGTCGCAAGGCCCAGGTCGCTCAGCTTGATGTTGGCGCCGTCCATGGGGGTGGCGACCCGTGGGTCACCTGCACAGATACGCAGTTCGCGCATAGGACTCAGCGTCATGTGCTTACATGCTGGGCGGCACCGACCCCTGGGTCGCTTGGACACGTCCAGGAAGTGAGTGGGTTCCTAATTGCATGCAAACATAGGCTTGGCGGGCGGGTCATCACGCATAGCATTCAGGGGGCCACCACAAGAGTGAAGACCGTAACAGATCCCAACTGTGTTCCCAGTGCAGTATGCACCAGGAAGCTTCTACAACAAGAGGTTCCTTGTAACCAACTTGCCTTTGCCGTTACCGACAGCTCCGGAGCTGCCAAGTCCGTTGGTGGATCCAGATCCATTCCGGTACGGCCCTGCTGCTGTTGGTGACGACAGCAGCAGGTTGTCCAGCTTGATGTCCCGGTGCAGCACTTTCGGCCGGCACGTGTGCATGTACGACAAAGCGCCGGCAACTTGGGCCATCCACTTGAGAGCCGTAGCATTGCTGTACAGCTGCCGCTGTGGCTGCCGCATCTGCTGTCGTACCAGGTCCTGCAAGACAAACAAAACACATCAAGAGCTGTACACTGCAGACCAAAAGCCGGCCAATCCCGCCCCTAGAGAGCGAAACATGCATAACCTGAATGAACGCTCTTTCTTACCTTCAGCGAGCCTCCAGCCAGGTATTCCTCCACGATAAACAGCCCCCGCAGGATTAGACCACCACCACCTCCGCCATCTGACGTCTGCGCTCCCTGCTTCACTGCCCCAGCCGCAGCGCCGTTACCCGCTACCATGCCGCCACTGTTCCGCCTGCCCACGTGTCCCTGCTGCCCCTGCCCCTGCTGTCGGTGGTGGTGATGATGATGATGGTTGTGGTGCTGCTGTGGCTGTCCGGCAGGGCGGTCGACCTTCTCAGCCACAGGACCCGCGGGCCTGCCGCTGCTGCTGCCATGACGCATGGCAGGCTTCATCACACCACCTGCCGGAACCCCTCCCGGCCTCATCACACTGCCAGACTTTTGACGAAGCGCTGAAGGCTCGGTTTCAAAACCCGAAGCGAAGGAGGAGGCGTCGGGAATGGTCAGGGAGGCGGACAGCGCTGCAAAGGAGGAGGAGGGCTGCTGGGAGGCTTGTGAGGGCTGCTGGGAGGGCAGCCGGTGCGGCCGGGGTGAGGTCACGGGGGGCCGGGCGGACATGTCGCTGCTGACGCTGCTGCGGCGGCGCTGCCGGGCGGTTGCGGCGGTGAGCTGCCCCAGCGCTTCAAAGGGGTTGACGTCAATCAGCCCGGAGCCCGCTGTGATGAAGCCGATGCCAATGTACTGCACGATGTTGCTGTCGTCGTACACGCGGAAAGAATGTAGGGAAGGCGTGTACGGCAGGTTAATGCGGGCTTTGATAAAATGAGGAGGAGGAGGTACCGAGGCTGCACAGTTCCTCAGACAGGAAGTGGCTTTGGAGCGGCAGCTTTGGGGGCGCTGCAAAATGGGACCAGTGCTCCAGATCACTACATGCACGCGCCTATTGGGATGGTGACTGTCTATGTATTGTACACCTACATATTCACACAACAGAGCGAAATCGGCGCAGGGTTACCCAGGGTTGGTTGCCCCCTGCTTACGGGTGGTTAAGCTTCCTCAGCAGCTGTGCCTCCTGAATGAACAGCAGCACATCCTCGGGGTCGTGATCCATCAGCAGCATGGCCTCCTTGATGCGCTTCACAGCCACCTGGTGCGGGTGGTGGACAGAAGCGGCAGACGGGTGGACACACGGAGGCAATCACAGTGCGTTCCTACTCGCGGCCAGTTTTCTGAACACACGGAGGCAACAACAGGGCTGGGCCAGCAAGCAGAGGATCTGGGTCAGGGAGAGAGGCACATGGACGCGAGCGGGAAGCGGCCTTGCCAGCAGGTTGGTGTAAGCTTGGGCACGCAGCCGGAGGAAGGAGAACGAGGCACCCGAGCCTTAGGCAATGGGCGGCATTGCCAAACCCAACCCAGCCCTGAAGGTCCCCAAGTCTGCAAACTGCGTGCCTACCAGGAAGGTTTTGGCGCCGTCGGAGGGTGAGTAGAGGCACTTATCCACGCGAGCAAAGGTGCCCTCCCCGAGGCGTGCAACAACCTGAGGGGACAAGCAGCAGGAGAAGCAGCAGCAGGAGCATTGAATTCGGGGTGGAGATGGAGCAGCACTAAATTCCGGCAATGCGGATCATTAGTTAAAAGGCGATACAGAGGGGACAACATGTAACAGGGGGGAACATGCAGGAGCGCTGGTAAGGGAGTGCACAAAACAATCCATGCACCTTGCATGGCGCAGCAAACGGACACGCGCTGACGTCCTTCAGAAAACGTACACGCTAGCACAGCAGCCTTCACAACGTCGCATGGCTCTCTTAGTGTAAGGGGAGCAAAGAGACGGGCCCCATATGCAGTAAACATCCCAAAGCACTGCTCTCCTTTTCACTCACCCGCAGCTGTCGCTCATCCACCAAATTCTCCGCATACTGGTCTCGAAGCGTTCGGAAACCCCTCGCAATGCTCGCCGCCAAACCCGTCTCCCGTGCAGCTTGCTGCCAACGCGCCAGTGGCGCCCCTGCTGCTGCTGCTGCTCCTGCTACAGATGCTGTACTGCTGCTGGCAAGACGGTCAGCAACAACACTGTCATACGCCTTGCTACTTCCGCTGCTACGACCGCCGACGGCCCCGAGCGACTTCGGCGTCGGCGACATCGCATTGCTGCTTGTGCTAAGCTTCTTGTCGTTACTGGGGCGACTGGTTGGAGAGGATAGGGGGCTTCCCAGCCGGCCCGCGGAAATCCCTGACGGCGACGCTGTTGCGGTTGATCCTGCCAGCGTCGAGCTCGGCACGTTACTGGCGGCGGACGCGGGCGCGCTGCCGCCGGAACCGCGCTCAACGGCAGGGACAGCAGTAGCTGCTGCGGCAGCGCCGCCAGCGATATGGGAGCTGGCAGCGCAGATGACGTCACGTGCAGCAGAAGCACCGTACGACGTCACCCCAACGGCGTCGGAGGCACGTCGTGCCACGGCTAGCAAGGAAGCTGCAGGTGCCATGGCCTCACCTGGCGCCGGCGCGACAGAGGAGCTGCGTCTGATGGGGAACTGGGATGGAACCTGCCGCGGCGACGAAGCCGCCGCTGGCTGCTCACCCCGCTGTTGGGGCTCATCGCAGCAGGAGTCTGTGTTGACGGAAGGAGCGTCTCCTAGCGAAAAGGCAGACTGGGCAGGGCGGGCGAGTTGGGAGGGTACGTTGCTGCCGGCGCGGGTGGGCCGTAGCAGGGGTCCGCTATTGGCAGCGACGGAGGCGGCGGCCGCTGCAGCTCCGCCTGCAGCCCAGCCCACATCTGCTCCGGGCTCTGACGCGCCTAAGCCTGACGGCGCCATCGTTAGCGACGTTGTACTGCAATCGTCGGGCACCCGATAACGCTGACTCGTCCATACCACCAACGCTGGCCGCTGCCCTGCCGCGTACCCTGGTGCCGCCGAAGGGAACATGCCGCCGTAAGCAGGGGCGTCAGCACCGCTGGCAGCACGATCAGCGGCGACATCGTCTGCTAGCGCAAACAGGTGCGGGGTCGGCGGCGGCTCCTCCGCCGCCAACACGCCGCCCTGCATCAGTCGCTCCGTACCGCGGCCGGTTGGCGCCGCCATCGTCGTTGTCGTGCTCTCCGAGGAAGCTACGCAAACAGCCTCAGCCGGCAGCGCCGCATGCGTGGAGCGGCGGATGGGCGCCTGGGGCGCGTGCAAAGACACGCGCCCAAAGTGCTCGACAGCGGGGCTGCTGCCCACCACATTCCCGCTGCCACCGACACCGCGGCCGCCGCCGGGCCCCCCATGGGCGGCGCCGCCTACGGTCCCTGAACCGACGTAGCCGTCAAGGGTAACATGCGGGGATGTCTTCAGCAAGCCCGGCAGGACGTCGGCGCTGAGGAGCAGTCCGTCTTGGTAGGGTACGCGCGACGTCAGTGGCGGCAGGAGCGTTTGGGCGCCATGCCGGCCGGCCCCTCCCTGGAGTGCGTTCTGAGACGCCACGGCTCCTTCTGTAGCAGGATGAGGATGCTGTGGTCGCTGTTGATGTGGGGTGGGGTGGTGGAGAAGGAGGTGGTGGTGGTGCATGTGGTGGTGATGTGGGTCGGGCAGCTGCGACTGCTCAGTGGACATCATCAGCAGCGCCTCCGGGTGCATCACGGAGTCCAACTGGGACATGTTTGTCATGAGCATGACGGCATCATTGTGGACGTTGGCGTCATCGTTCCCGAACTCCACCTCATCGTCGCCGTACTTGTCCATGCTGATGTAGCTGCTGCGCCAAACTCGCCAGCAGCGGAGGTGTTCAGAGTGGTGACGGCGAAGGTGTGTTAGCTGCAGTCGTTGGTAAGGATAACGCCGAGATGGGGATGCGTAGAGAGGTTGGGGAGGTTGGCGTCCAAGCCAACTTTTGCTTGCAACCCTGCAAGGGGTGGGTGTGCTTTCCTCGAAGGCGATGACCTAGCTACCTCCGCTGCTGCTGCTGCTGCTGCTGCTGCCGCTGCTAGTGTTGATGATCTTCAATTGCTGTTGTGAAGGCAGTTCGCTGTTAACAGCTGTTAACAGACAAGTCCGGCCGCGAAACAGTGGACGGACAACTCCAACTGCCTCCGGAGTCCAGGCCGGAAGGAAGAGGTGGAGTGCCGCGCTTAGGCCAAACCTAAAGTGCCAACCTAGGAGAGCAGAAGAAACGGGGACGGCCGGTGATGTGTGTCCATCGACGGAGACAGTGCTACCAACGCTTCAACGTCCACACAACATTGCCCACCCCTGAGGAAGTACTATTCCCCTATTACTTCATGCAGACTGTTACTCGTGTACAGCCAAATGTGCTTGCATGAAAACGATGACGAGAAGGAAACGCATGCAGCTGGCAATTTGCATACAGCTGCAATACCAACAGCTTAAGCTAGTCTAACCTGACAACGCTCCCAATTGCTTACCCAATAATGTTCCGTTTCGTTGATGCCCCAATTAGACATAGTATTGTTAAAACTTGTATTCAGTCGGACATTTTCCTCTACCCTTGTTCTGAAAGATGGCTTTACATTACTAACTAATGAGCATAACACCAGCTAAGCTATAATATATATTGTAAAATGGGGTAGAAAGCTTGGGTTATCGGGGTAGCTCCTAAACGTAACTGGGTACCTCAACTTTCGAGTATGACTCTCCCAAGCCAAAAATGCAGGTGTCAAACATCTTCTCCCTCGCGTACAAGTAGGTACAAAGTTGTTTTGGGCTTCGCGCGGCACTTGGGTTCGCCGTGGGGTTGGCGTCGTACGCAGGTCCGATTCGGCGATTCAGCTCCGGTACTAAACATGGACCTTGTTTCGTCAACGTTCAATCACTCCAGCAACAGCATCCTGCTTGCGCTCTTTGCTGTATGTTGACGAAGTTTGTTCCCCGGCGACTGCCGCTGGGTGGCCTCCGCGCCTCCTACCCGCTTCGTGGCCGGCATTAAGGTCTTGTGGAAATGCGTCAAGTTTCAAGCTCGCCCATGCCGACGTGGAGTCTTGGGCGGGGTAGCTTACCTCATAACAGAGTATGGAGCGTTAATGCATGTGGGGCTGCAAATTTTACGGTAATGGCCTCTCTGCACGTTAATGTTCAGTTCTAATTATCAAGTACGCCTGGAAGTAGAGGGCAGCGGGCCCAACGAATACCTACCGTAACCTAAGTTATGACCATCTCTTGGTGAAGCGGCAGCGCTTCCGGTTGTTTCACATACATTTGAACAGCCCTCGTACGCCGTGATGCTTTATCGCGGTGCTCTGGATTCCCACTTCAATACCCTGTGCCCGTTCTCGCCTACGACAGATTACAAGACGCAGGTAAGAGCGTAAGCGCCAGGGCCTCCAATGGCGATGCACACCTGGGGCGTAACAAATGGACCGACTCCTTAGGAATAATCTGCATCACATGAGTCCCTGACTATGAAGAAACCCGGGAATAGCCAACTACCGGTATTGCACACCCATGCAACAGCCCTGGGCTTCGCATTGTGTTGAATTTACTGGCCGTTGTTGTACATGCGTGAGATCAGCGTTACCGGCACCAACCCGCATGGAAGTCCCACCCCATGTACGGTCTTACTGTAACCACGACTAGTGTTTTCTGGCGGCTCAGCTGGATGGCCTTCCTTATCCTACACGTTTATCCCACGCGTTCCGGCTGTTAGGGCTTGGTATCAACGCCGCACTGCTCACCCAGATGAGATGCCGGAAGGAACTGCCCTGCATGCCATGTAATGATGTGCTCGCTACAGCACATGCAAAGTATGTGAGTCACGCACGACCTTGCAAGGTCACGATTGCCCCGGCTGCCACACTACGGTATATGAGCCGGACTTCGCCAGCAAGAGGGAGGTACTGGTACTGGTCATGGGTCGGGTACCGGTAACGGGCATTGGGCTTCGGGTGCTTGACTTATCTTTCCACCCTTACACACACAGCCAAATCATAGTGAGTATGGCAAAGGCATGCTTGCATGCAACCAACGCAGGGGCGTCCAAATGCTTGGCTGCTTGGCTGCTGGTGTACAGCAACGCTAGGCAGCAGGCAATGCCAGCGCTGCTGCTGATAGATCTTCCGTACATGCTCGTCAAAGCCTGTACGGCAATGGCGGTGGCGGCCTCCAGCCAGAGGTGTCGTACACATGTCCTCGGTGGCCCAGCACGTACCAGTTGAGCATGAGGAAGTTGTAGCCGTGCCCCTGACGTTGCAGGGTCGGGCAGGGTGGGCGAGGGAGAGAGGCGGTTAGGTGGGGCTGTGATGCAATCACCAAGACGGAAGGGTAATGGGAAAGCTGATGACGACCAAACTGATGGCAGGGATGCGCACATGGGTTCTGTGTGTATAGTTGAGTAGGACAAGAGCAAGCACATGGGTTCTGTGTGTATGACATGCCGTACACCGTCACGGATGGGGCCAACCGTTAGGATTTGGGGCTTCATGAGCATTGCAGTACAATCCACAGACAATCCACCGACTTATCCAATTCGTAATCCAATTCCCAGCTTAAGCCATCACACCACCCCATGGCGAGTATCCGTCGCATTCCCATGCCCCTCATGCAATCATGCAGCAGCTCGTTTTGACCCATGGGTCTCCCTCCCTGAGCCCCACCACCTCCTTGCCCACCTCTAACGCCATGTTCTGAGGCGCGTCCCGGGAGAACCCGCCACACATGGTCCTCAGCAGCACGTGCAGCATCTCGTGACCCAGCGTGTGAGCGAGCCAGGAGAGCCTGATCGGGGGTCGGGTGCGGGTTGGGGTGCCCAGGAGGGGACACGTGTTGTTAGGCGTATTCCACACCCGGGGGTCTTTCCGGAAGAGGGGACAAGTTGATGTACGGTACCCTGGACGGGCCCTGTGGCAACCCTGGTAAGGGCGTAGGGCCGTAGGCCCAGGGTGAGGCGCAGGCGCAACGAGTGAGCCAGCCTCGAGATGTTGAGGTTGGATCCGGGTTGAGCACTGGGTTCGGACCCGGAAACGGGGCTTTGCGTGCATGAGGGTGCGTGCAGATGCAACAGCTTCTCGTGGCTCAGAGGGGGTCACTGACCCACGGGTCTGTGTGGTTCCAAAGCGGCCACAGGAAGGAAAGGCATATGACACAAAGAGTGGTTTCCTTTCTAACGAGACCCGATTGACCAAAGGTAGCCAGCAGGTAACGCGCAACCGCAAGGAAATTTCGTTACCCCGGCCCAAAACCCAAACTAGGCGTGTCGTACACAAGCAGATGTCGTACTTTGTAGTACACGGAATGCCGTCCAGCCGTATGGGTTGCCCCAGGGTAGGCGAGTGGCTCCACGCCTGCATGCGTGTGTTGGGATGGGGGGATGGTAATAGAGCGCATAACAGCAGGCAGGAGGAGCTGGAACGAGCATGCTGGGATGGTCACTCGCCGCCGTGCGAGGTTGTTGGCGGAGTGCTCATGGTATCATACTTTATGGCCCCTTACTTGCGTGAGGAGGTGTGTGGCCACCTTACTTGCGTGGGGAAGACGACTACGCGCCCCCCCTACACGGACGCCTCAAGCCCCAAACTGCCATTATCTACCACGTCATTCCCGGTATCGGCTCGTAACCCAAATACCAACTCCCAACGTCCCTCCCGCCCTCACAGCCTCCTCCCACTCTCCCACACCCCTCACCCGCCGGTAGAACGTCACCAGCCCTCGGTTGGGGCTGTAGGTGGCTGTGATGCCGTCGGTGGCCGCACGCGACACCACCGGCACCGCTGCAGCAGCCGTAGCAGCCTTGCCCCTGCCTCCCCCTCCGCCTCTTCCTCCGCCCTTGGCGCCATCCCTGCCGCCGCTACCGCCAGAACTAGCGCTGACGGCGACAGCAGTGCCGCCGCTGGCGCCACCAGGACCCCCCACCTGCTGCCCGCTTCCCCGCCGCAACCTCAGGCTACCCAACCAACCCCAGCGCTTTCCCTCTCCGCCTCCACCACTGGCGGCAGCGGCGACGTCGTTACAATCGCTGCTGCTGGTGCCGCTAGCTCCGCCCCCGGCGCTGCCGGTAGCAGAAACGGAACCACCGACTGCATTCAACACTGACGGCGGCGGCAGCAACAGCGTTGGTCGTACAACCACCAACGGCGGCGCTAACCCGGACCTCCTCCTGGATGCTAGAGTTGCTGTTGGTAGGGTTGCCCATGGAACCGCTACCGAGGAGGAGGATGCTGATGACGCAGATTGTACGACTGCTGACGTCACTAACGTTTCCCCCCGCTGTACGGCTTGGTCGCCGTACTTGTCAACGGCCTGGTACAGCAATGGACGTCCTAGTCGCCTGGCCGTACACCCGACAGCGTTGTGCAGCAATACGTTGGATACGTAGGGTGGTGGAGAGGCGGAGGGGGTGCGGAGGGGCAGGGGATGGAAACGCAGGGAGTCATATTGGGGCAAGCAGGGTAAGAAGAGGCCAAGGCGTCCATGCATGCGCACGTAGTTTTGCGGCACTCGTAATGTTGCGGTAGGCCACACACCGACTTACCTCGTCACAGCTCTATGGAAGCTTCCCTGGAAGAACTCCTGGTCTATGACTCGAGCCAGCGCCTGAACAGGCCACATACGGCACACAAGGATGCCTCCTCAAGCCAGTCGCAGTGTCAGCTTTGCGGCGGCCAGTTTTGGTTCAACATACACGGAAGAGGGAGGTAAAATAGGAAACTGACAGGGAGGAGCGGTGGGCGGTGTGACAGGAACCGACCCCAGGCAACGCCCATCATGGCAGGCAACAGCAGCGGGGCCTCGGTCGACACGTGTAAACACCTCCGCCTCCCCCTCCCCGACCCCACCAATCCACCGCACTGGCAACCACCCCCACCTGAGCCCCCCGAGTGCAGCGAGTCCTGCTTACACCCCCTGCCCCATAGAGAGTGGATGCGCCAGTCTACCCCACCCTTTCCGCCCAGTGCCCCCGGCCCCCCTCTGTCAGATAAGTTAGACGCTCCCCCTTTACTCTGACATGTCCCACCCTCCTCACCCCACTCCCACTGACGCCTTATTGCAGGGCTCGTCAGTTACTTACTCTTCACTCCCACTCCCCCCCCACCTGCAGCCTCCATGTGGTGACCTCCTCGGGCCTGAAGTCCGCCCGCCAGCCGCCGCCCTCGGGCCGCGCCGCCGCCCGCAGCACCGCCGCCCACTTGGCCCGCCGGGAGAGCTGGTGCGGCAGCGAGCGGGCGTCACTCTTGGGCAGGTGGCCCCAGCACACCTAGGGGAAAGGGCAGGGGAGGGTGGGGGTTAAGTTCGCCTGCGGAGTTGGGACCCGGGCTGTGTGAAAGACGGGGATGCACCCCAGTCCTGGGCATCTTGCACCGTCCTTCTCCGCCTTCACCCCCCCTCCCTCTCTCCCCCTGTCCATGTCCTAGCTGGCAAGGCTCCCTGCGCAGTGCTGTGAGTCGTCAGTTACCTTATCCCAGTCCTGATCTTCGAGACGGAAGTCGTACCGCGGCTGTGTGGTTTAGGGCAACGGGGCATGGTGGGTTGCGATGGGGGCAGGCCGGCCTTCTCTTAACAGGCAGACAGGAGCGCAGCTAGCCACCTGACTGCCTTCAAAGCCGACCACGCGCGGGGGCGGCTGCATGCACACGCACGTAACGTAACGCCGTTACGCGGCTCTGTGAATGCTTCAAAACACTACGGACACGACATACAACCGCTACACCATCGGGCTTAGCCATGGCATTCCGAACGCACCGCCAGTCTCAGGAAAGGAAGTGTGCAGTGCAGTGCACGCTCAGGCGGTTGATATAACATGGAGTCACGATGACACGATAATAAGCAGGTGGATGGCCACACACACACTCCCCACCCTTACCACCCACGCCTGCCACCGCACACCCACACCACTGGCACTGCTCACACCACGCCAAATGCAACTCCCCACACTGTTTACAATCCGTATAATCCTCTGCATCTTTTGCGCCTTCCATTGCCTGAACGGTATCAACTTGCTTCCGCCCCCGAGTCGGAGAACCCCACCTTGGATCGCGCTGCTGGTGCTGCTGCCGCGGGCCCATTGAGGCTCCATGACAGCACCATGGGCCTACAGCGCAGCTATGGTGCTGCCTTCGTCGGTGACGTCCGGCTGCTGCTGCAGCTGCTAATGTTGGGCGACAGTGCCGTTCCAGGCACACGGTGCTGCCTGGCTGTGTGTGGGGGCTGCTGCTGCTGCTGCTGTCACCGATACAGATGTCGTGCGGTGAATCCGAGGCAGGGTCTTCCGCACATAGCCCACATCGTTGAGGGGCTGGCTTGTTTGGGATCGGGTGTGTGGTGTATGGCTGAAAAAGTGGTGTGGGGGTGACCGTGAGGTTGGCTGGCGGCTTGGCTTGCGTCTCAGGGAATTGCTCGACAGACAAGATTTTCTGAAACTTGCCAATGCAGCACGGACAGCGAGAACATAGGGTATGTCCTTCTGAATAAGGATGTTGATTCCGTCCAGAGCAGTATGCTTGCGGATAGTTAAGGAGCACGGCACGTGGTCAAAACTGCAGTCACGAAACGCCCCCGCAAAGTAGGTAGGAGGTGGACTATGCTAGGGCGTCGTCGTCGTGCTATGCTGTGAGTCGGCGGACGAGCCCGTACAAAGTATAGCAAAACACTTTCCGCCACAGCAGCGCATGCAGGCCCTCGACTGCCCATCTTTGTATAAGCGTTTGCAAAAATATAGGTACATCAGGATTCTCGCACTGGACCTTCGCACTCGACATTCTACCTGTACACTCCAGCCTTTCCGTGATTGACAGCGCTCGCGAACCAATTGCTGCTGTTCTATAAGAGCGGATAAGTAAGGTGCTGTGACCTGTCCTGCGAAGGCGACACGGAGGATGTTGAACAAGGCGTTAAGCCGCACTTGCCCGGCTTCTCGGAACTCATTTCCGCCCTGCTATCATGGGATTCTACGAAGACGTGTATGTTTGGCTTCTGCGCAACAATTAACGACAGCTCAGGCAGCTGCTGCTGTCTCTCGACAAGACGGAGACAACACCAGCGGGAAACCAGTGATTCCTGTCCAAGTAACCCGGCCAAATCTTCCATGTGACAAACCACTGCCCCTGGCAAGCGTGTTGGTAAGCAAATAGCCGGTCTGACTGGGCGGGCGCTTCACTTGTTAAAATGGGTTTGTACCGGCATTGTTATTTGGACATGCCGCCGTGTAGATGCTATATATGCTAAACTTTATGGCCATAAACTTTCCCTGCTTGCGTTGTCGCTTTGCTTCGCTGTTCTGGGAGTAGAAGCTAGCGTGTTGCGCCCCTTCATGGCTCCCAACAGTCGCAGGCGTTGAGGAATCCATGGATCTAAGTATTGCCCGGTTCATTGGATGTCTACCATACCAGCATTAACGTATGCCTTCCCGCAGGAAGTTCAACGCCTGCTATTCCTGCTGGAGGCTCCAGAGTACTGCATGCGAGCTTTCCGGGAGCACGGAGTAAACGGCCAGGACCTCCTTCACATGCAAGAGGAGGACCTGGATGACAGGTGGGGGCTATGCTATGATGTGGCCCTCAAGGGCAGCGTGCCGGCTATCACCGCATACAGCATGCACATGTGCATGTATCCGCCCATGCCCACCCGACGGCCCCAATCCCTTCCCTCCTGCTCCATGTCGCCCCTCCCTCATCCCTCTCATCCCCCTCTGCACTACCCGCACCCACACCTCCAACCCTTTCACACCTCCTCATCACCCACTGCGCACCCCTCCCCCTTCCCTCTCTCTTCCTGCCTCCCTCCCTGCCGCAGCCGCTTCAAGTTCCCCCGCCACGTGCAGCGCAAGGTGATGCGTATCCCCCTCGCCTGGCGCGCCTTCCTGGCCATCAGTGGCAGCTCCACGCAGGGCTCCATCAGCCGCGAGCAGTACGTGGCATTCTACGGCAGCGAGGAGCTGGCTGGCAGGTGGGCGACCGGGTTGAGAGGGGCGCATGGGGGGGGCACGTGGATGTGGGTCCGCGGTGGCGAAGTGGGGCGGGGACGCAGGAGTGACAGCAGGGGCAGGACGTCGGGTACAGGACCGGTGCGGCACACGCGCTTTCCGTGATTCCTGCAACGGGCCCATCACCATCCCCTTTCCCTCCCCTTCCTGCCGCCGCTCCAGCCTCTCCTTGCCATGTCATGTCCCCCCCTGCCGCCGCTCCCCTGCACTCCCATGCCGTTCTGCCTGTACCGCACTTCGCCTTATACACACACGACCCACTCCCCTGCCCCCCTGGCGTCCCTCCTCAGCTCCCCCGCGGTGCTGGCGGAGCTGCACTCATGCTTCGGAGCAGTGGACCTGAACAGCAACGGCTGCCTCTCCTTCGAGGAGTTCCTGGTGGGCTTTTCCCTGCTGCACGAACCCGGTAGGCAGGCGGGCAGCTGCGTGGGTGGGGCGGGCGGGTGCCGTACTGGAAACCCCCGCGATGCTGTGTGTTTTCCTGGTGGTTGTGTCTCGCTGGTGGGTGAGTCACAGGTTAGAGTGGCGTTTCCCATGCCCCCCCATGCCCTCTCTTTGCTGTATATGTCTCCACAGTCGCTACCAAGCCTCGGCAACAAGCGCTGGCCGCATGAGCGTCTAAAAGCGCCGCCGGTTGCTGTGGTGGCAGCAGCAGCAGGAACGGCAGCAGTGGGAACGTCTGCTGACCTGGTAATAGCAGCTACAGCCAATAACTTAAACCAGCATTATAACGAGTTCGGAACGTTACGCGGGCGTTATGGAGCTGGTACGGCTCCATGGCTTGTGTTGGGCTGCCTGTGGAACATGCAAGCGGGCCTGCTGCGGGCAGATGGGTGCGGGCGGTTGCACGGTGCGTACCCGGACCTGCAGGCAGGAGCCGTGCGTTGAGGTTGTGTGTTGCATGGGTTTCTCACACGCACTAGCTTCCCATCACGACATGGTTTGTCGCGGCTTGTAGCAGCACGTTGGCTGTGGGGCCCTTGGGAGCCTCACCGTTAGGGGCATGCTGTGATACTAACGCTACGAAAGATTTGTTTTGGCGGCTTCTTGCCCAATTATAACCACAGGTCAGCTGGGTTGTGGTTTTGTTGTCATCGGGGGCGGTATGAACGTGGTTCTCCTTTCTTCTCTTTTCGCAGTTGCTGCTACTATTGACTTACCCAACGGCTTTACTATACTCCTTGCTGGCGATCTATGTGGGTGTCCGGTACTTCGGATGACCCGGTTAATGTGTTTTGGCGCACACGCGTGTTTGGGCAAGATGATGCAAGATACCGGTTCTGCTGTGCATGGCGTTTCATACAAGTATGACTGTGTTACATGATTAGAGGTGAACATCGAGGTGACGTTGGGTTTTGGTGCGGCGTGTGGTGATGCTTGCGCGCGTTTTTGCGATCATGGTGTGCATTGCAAAGCAACATATCTCGGGCGGTGCGGGCAAAGGCATGATGCTCAGCGGGTGTTCGTAGCATGCGCCGAAATAGAGCGCCTTGGGAGACGGCGCGTGCACTGTTAATGTTCCGGTCCAAAGATCCAGCAAGGACCAGGAATAAACGCGCGGATACTTTTGACGCGGGTGTTGCGGGCGCGCTTCTGGTCCTATAAGACCTAATAACACATATAGTATCGAAGGGTCTGCCGTGGGCTGGGTGCATGTGTGTCGCATCACCGCCTGGGGCAGCGGTCAAACTTGAAATATTAGGGCCCTTCGGATGATTAGCTTAAGCATGGTACAGCTGTTAAGTTCAACAGCAGGATGAGGTGAAGCGCTTGCATGGGCAAGTCGTGTTGGCTGCCCGGGATGTCTGCTTAGGCCTGCCCGTGTTGTTGAATCTAGGGAACCTTCGCAGGACATGCGAATTGATGGGCGTGTGTCGGAATTCGCAACCTAATGCTGTGTGGCTGGTTTACGCGCTATGTAGGTGAAGGATTTGCGCAACTCCACATGTGTTGGGTGCATGCAGGGTGAACGCAGGTTGGCGTTGCAGCAAGATTGCAGGTGTACTATGCTTTGGAGTGCGAGTCGCAATTGCTGTGCCCTGAAGCGAACGCTTGGTTAATGCTTGCAGTAAGTTGATGAGCCTATGCAAGGGTGGGAATGGCAGAGATGGAAAGTCGGTCAAATGGCCCCCGTTCTTGCTGCCTAGGAGCCCGGGAGCTGAGTGCAAACAAATACAGAGAGGATTTTCGGGCACGCTCCCTGCAGTTCCTGGTTCGTCATCTACTACCGTACTGCCTGAAGTGCGCACGCACAGCTTGTAAATGATGGGACCGATGCTGCACAGCATTGGTTGCGGTCCAGGTTGTCAACACTGCCCTCCTGCCTTTTGATACCTGTGATGCCCTTCGGCTAATCTTTTGTTGCTCTGCTGCATGTGGCCCCTAGACACACGAGAAGGCAAACCTACCCTTACATACAAGAAGACAACCATACAAGAAGGAAACTTGCCAGGAACGCATGTACGGTACTTCTGTTTGGCCCTCTACGACATGGCGGCAAGCAAACAACGTAAGGACACAGCAGTACGGTTACCGTATGTCGTCTGCCGAGCACTTGTAACCCGGACTTATAGCACCAGCCGAGCTCCACCAACTAGCTGGAACATGACGGTCCCATGAGACATGCGACTCGATGCCATCCTGACCATGTGTCATACACCACCCACCCACCGTCCTCACTCGCTTCTCACAGCGGAGGGGCCCTATGCCCATGCCGTGCATGCCGGTACCCTCTGTCTGCGGCACAACTCCAAGTCTCTTCTCCCAACTCCCTGGCACCTCCCGCGCTATCCCTCACGGCTCACGGCCTACTGCACCACAACCCGCCCAGCCAAACGCCCCTCATGACCGACCTCAGCACCCCAAGCATGCAGCCGATCCCTTGCATCCGTCCTGCCCCATTCCTCACCCATACCTGCACTCCACTCAACAAATCCGCCAAGAAAACCCCCCACCCTCTTATCTCCCCCCTCCCCCTGCCCCCATGCACGCACCCTCCTCACAGCACGAACCGCTCAAACGCCTCCGCCACGCCTCCCTCATCATGCCCCGCCACCACCGCCGCCGCCGCCGCGCGCACCTCCGGCACCGCATTGCCCATGGCCACCCCCAGCCCCGCCCCCGCCAGCATCTCCAGGTCGTTGCCGCCGTCGCCAACCGCCATGAGGCAGGAGGCGGGCAACCCCAGGTGGCCCAGCAGCCGCTGCAGCCCCACCCACTTGTTCACACCGGCCGGCACAATCTCCAGCATGTTGGGGACAGCCTGTGGGGGGCGGCCGGGCGGTGAAATGAGGTGACATGGGAGGTGAGAGAGCTGGCATGCGGAAGTAAACATGACAGGAAGGCGCAGGGTGGGTCAAAGACCATACCAAACCATAGGAAACCACAGCTTAGGGGAAAGCAACGGGGATAGGAGGCGGCAGGGTGGGGGGGGAGGAGGAATGGGGACATACGGGAAGAGAAAAGAGGTCACATGCAACCGTGAGGAGGGAAACTACCGGTAGCAGGGGCGGCAGCTGCCTTCCTCCCACCCTACCTCTCACTCCTACCTGCACTACCTGAGCCCCACTGCTGCCGCCCCGCAGCACCCCCCGCCAGTACGGCAGCAGCTGAGCTGACACCAGATCTGGATCCGCCATGAACAACAGTTTGCGCACCGGGGGGCCGGCCAGCAGCGAGCTGACGGAGGGGAAGACCTGCATGCACGGTAGGGAGGTATGTGAAAGGAGGTATGTGAGAAGAAGGGGGGGGGCAGCAGGGAGGAGATGAATAAGGGGGTGGGCGGCGGGAAGGGAAGGAAACCATGGGAGGGGGTGATGGACAGGGGCGTGTGGTTTGGCGCTGTAAACCGCATCACTCGCGGTCCCGAGGCACCGGCAGTCACCGTGCTCAGCGCTTCCAGTGCTTACACATAGCAAGACGGCCACTTGCATGGGGAAGGCCCCCTCAGGCAGGCAGGCAGGCAGGCTTCCTCCCGACCAACACACCCTCATTTACTCCTCGAGCCAGGGTCTGCCTCCAAGCCCATCCGCATGCCCCATGGTCGAGTCTCGTCACACGCTACGTCAACCCCTCCCTCTTCCTACCCCTACCCCTACCCCCGCCCCTGCCCTCTCCCTACCTCTGCCAGGGGTTCGTAATAGGTGGTGTGCAGCTCCCGCAGGCGGGTCGTCATGCAGGTGGTGGCGCAGCGGTCGCCCAGGAAGGCACACAGGGAGAGGGAGTGCGCGGAGGAGTAGCTGGGGGGGGCGGCGGGGAGGGGAAGGTAGGTGAGGGGAGAGGGATGGGGCAGAGAGGATTAGAGAAGGGGGAGATCGCGCTTAAAGAAATGTAGCTGGCTTAGCCTGCATGTGAGAGGAATGAAGAGGGGGAGGGTCCCTTCTTGTTCCTTTCACGGCCGCCCAACTCCCCACGCCGCGAGCCCAGGTCCCGGAAAACAACAGCCCACACGAATGACGGGCTCTCGACCTGACCCTTCCCAGCACCCATGTCCCCATCCCGGGCCTGACATGCGAGGTCCCCAGCACCACACTTCACCCCATACATACCCAGCATTTATTCCTTGACCGCCGCCTCCACCACCACCCTAGGACTAACCCTGGCGGCCTCGCAACCTGGCCCTCGTTGTCCCAGGCCCTCACCAGCCCTCATCCCAGCCCGGCCCGCGCCCCCGCACCCATTATCGGATCCCCCTCATTACCTCCCCCTCCCCACCTAAACGCCGCCTCCACCACGGGAGCTGGCAGGGCGGCATCCGACAGCACCTGGCCGCCCCGCCCGTGGACCGCAAGACCCTGCATGGCATGGGGGGAAGCGGGTTTGCGGAAGAGAGGAGGTAGGTCAGAAATGCATAGCAGCAGAGCGGCTCTCGAAACATTATTACAGCGGTGTGAAGGCCAGGGACCGTCCGGCCCCCCACCTGCAGCCCTCACCGGAGCGTCTCTACCGCAAAAGCCCTCCGCCTACCCCACCCCTCCTTTTCCGGTTTCCTTTCCAACTTTCCTGGGTTCCTCCCCCGCCCCGCCCGCCCCCCCTCCCTCAGCACCTGCAGGAACACGCCCGGCCCCTCCGGCCACACCAGCAGCCCCGGCTCGGCCAGCCCCGCAGCTGCCGCCGCCGCCAGCGCAGCGGGCCGGGCCTTGCCGGTGGCCGCAACCACCGTCACGCCCGCAGCGGCAGCGGCCCGGATTGCGGCGACGGAGGAGGGCAGGATGCGGCTGCGGCGGTCTAGCAGGGTGCCGTCTGGGGGGAGGTGGGGTGGAGAGGGAGGGCGGGCGGATGGGAGGGCGGAGAGGAGGTGATGGCAGGGGGGTGGGGGTTGCAGGCGGCATGCGTGCAGGGTCAAAACGGCGGCTGGGCAGCCGAGGCAAGCTGCATCCGCACTGCAAGCACTGGTTTCCTGGCCCTGCTAGCCCGAACTTTGCGAAGTGCGTGTGATCAAGGCGGCTATCCAGATGCAACATGATTTGAGGCATGCGGTAGTCTCAAATGCCAGCTCCCTTGACTCCATGCGCTTACGACTGTCTCTGTTTTCAGAGGCCATACGTTCCAGCAACACTATCCTCGTATCGCCGATGTATACCTCGTACCCCACTTCCTTCCCATGGCATCCCAGCCACTTACCAAAGTCCAAAGCCACAATCCGCACGTCTCGTGTTCGGCGACGAGACCGACGGGACCCGCCGCCTGCTGCCGTTACCGTTTCCGTTATGATCGTTGTTGCTGTCGTTGTCGTACTGCCGACTGCCGTACTGCCGCCATCATCACCGCTGCCACTGCTACAGCTGCTTGTCGCAGACCCGTCCGTCGTAACGCTGACGCCCGCTGGTAAGCTCCTGGACGCTACTGGCGCCGAGGTACCTGCCGTCGTACAACCCCCATCCCTCGTATCGCCAGGGCCGGCACTGATGCCATTGCCGCCATGCAGCGCGCAACACCGTACAGCCCGAGTGGCGGCGGCCGAGTGCCGTACACCGCCGTACTGCATACGGCAACTGTCGTGCGTTGAGTGCACTGCTGCTGCTGCTGTGGAAACCCCAGCCGGGCCACCACTCGTGGATCCTCGGACCAGCAGTGATGGCAGTATTGGCCGGTGAGAGGCGGCGGCACCGGGCGAGGCTGAGGTGGCAAAGGCGCGAATCGGCCCGCCCCTGCCGCCGCTGCGGCCCTCACCTGCCCCCGGCTGCCGCTTGCCGCCGCCGTCTCCACCGCCTCCTCCGGGTCTGCTGCCGCTGCCGGCACATCCTCCCCCTCCTCCACCACCACCACCAATACTGCCGCCTCCACCTCCACCGGCAGCACCCTTCCCTCCCTGCTGCCGCTGCTGCTGACCCCGCTGCTGCTCTGCTCTGGGTGGCTGTTGCGGCGCACCCGACGACCTGGGCCCCCCGCCCTCTTTCACCCCCTTGCGCCCCGCTGCTGCCGCCGCCGCTGCCCCAGCTGCCCCCGCCCCTTCCTCCCCCCCGCCCCCCGCCACCTGCTGCCACAGGAACCCAGCACCCGCTCCCAACCCCGAGCTACTGTACCTCCTCCTCCCCACCTCCTGCTCCTTCCCCTCCCCGCCACCACCCCTTCCCGCCCCTCTTCCCTCCTCCGCCTGCCCCCCCTTCCCTGCCTCCTCCTTCTCCTCCTCCTCCCCCTCCTCCTCCTCCCCCGCTGCCGCAATGAGCCCCGCGCCCCGCCACCCCAGCCCCGCCAGCACCTCCCCCTCCGCCGCCGCCATGGCCCTGTGCGCCTCCCGTCCCGCCTCGTGGTCCCAACCCACCAGGTGCAGCAGCCCGTGCACCAGCAGGATACGACACTCGTCATGCAGGGAGTGGCTGCAGGGAAGGGGGGAGGTAACATGCGAGGAGGGGGGAGGGGGGACAGCAGGGAACAGAGGATTCGGTACTTGCGGAGGCGGAAGTGGCTTGTTGTATTGGGAAAGGAGCATACCACCTCCACTGGCCTCCCCCTTCTCCGCCTCCCCCACCCCCACTCACCCCCGCTCCCGCGCCTGCCTCTCCGCCGTGTCCAGCGAGACCACCAGGTCTCCCATCAGCTTCACGGGCAGGTGGACCTGGGGGGGGGGCAAAGGGGAAGGAAGGTATTATCAAAACGAACTAACCGTTAAGTAAAAGAAACTGTGACAAGGCAGAGGGAGGGGCACATGGGAGGGCATGTCGGATGGCATGCAAAAGGGGCCCTGGCAATGCATGCTGCGACGAGGAGTGCGCTGCGCCGGAGCCAACATGCGGCGCCAATACAGAAGGGCGGAGGTTGGAGGTTTGGTGCGCCAGCCCCCCTTCCATGCTCTCCTGGTGACTTCACGCGGGCCCCAACACGCGGGCCCCAAGATGAGGCTCCCGCTCCTGCTTCCCCAGGCTTCCTCCTCAGGGGCCCCGGCATGCAGCCTCCGGTGGAAGGGTGCCTTCCACTCCATCAGCGCCCATGCGCCGGGCCCCCTGCACACACCCCCTCCACCATACCTCCCCCATCCCATCCCCCACACATGCCCACACACATGCTCTACCCCTCCCCCCTTCTTCCTTTCCCTCCCCCGCTTCCTCCCGCCCCCCTCCTCCCGCCCCCTCCTCCCGCCCCCTCCTCCCGCCCCCTCCTCCCGCCCCCTCCTCCCACCCCCTCCTCCCTCCCCTCCTCCCACCCCCTCCTCCCGCCCCCTCCTCCCACCCCCTCCTCCCGCCCCCTCCTCCCGCCCCCTCCTCCCACCCCCTCCTCCCACCCCCTCCTCCCGCCCCCTCCTCCCGCCCCCTCCTCCCGCCCCCTCCTCCCGCCCCCTCCTCCCACCCCCTCCTCCCACCCCCTCCTCCCGCCCCCTCCTCCCGCCCACCCGGTGCACCAGTTCATCGTCCAGCTCGAACGACAGCACGTCCGTGGGCGCATCCTTGCCCCGGTGCAGGCTGTTGAGGGAGCGGATGTGCGGGTCGTCGCACAGCACCAGCGACAGACAGGCCACCCCTGCATTGCATGCATGGGAGCAGGGAGGGAGGGAGGGAGGCATGGGTGGGGAGGATGTTGTTGCCTGGGTGCAGCACCGACGGGTGCCATGAGACGCATGAGAGGAGCGCGGGCGTGCAAGCGGTGTGTCGTGAGTGCACTGTATGCAGCGAGGCCAGGACAGGACAGGGCAGGGCGTACACAGGAGGAAAGGGAGAAGGCGGATGGAAGGGAGCAGAAGTGGCTGGCGGCGGCAAGGAAACGGCGTTGGGTGGGCTTGGTGGGCAGGCGGCATGGTGTGCGCGGGTCCGTCGCAGCCCGTAAGGCCGATAGCGCTTCAGCGTTAAGATCCGAGCGAGCTGCAAGGGGCCTCGGATTCACATGCCCCTTGCAGCTCTTTTTCCAGGCATACACTACAAGGTGGTCCCTAGCAGGCCCCCTTTTAAGCTCACGTGGCATCTTCCATGCCGCCTCCGCCTCCGGCCGGGTCTTAAGCTGCAGCACTCTTTGCAGCGCCTCTGCCGCATCGCTCCGCAGCTGGGGCAGCAGCGAGTCAAGGTGGGTGCTGTTGCAAGGAAGGGCGGGTGTGGAGAGAGTTGAAGGAGGCAGATATGCGTGGAGCCTGGGGCACGCCTGCTTTCTTGTTTTACAAAGCACAGGCGAGATATAAGGCCTTGGTTTGTGCGAACGGCTCTGTCGTGAGGCGAAACAGGTCCGGGACAGATGGACCATGAAAGGGGACGGCAGCGGGACAATTGGAGGCGGTATGCTTACGTTGACGTGCCCAGCGGGTTTCCCTCAATTAGCAGGTCCACCCTTATCTTGGAAGAGGTGGGAGGGCTTTGTCGTCGCTTCCGCAGCACGCCCAGGACAAAGCGCCGAGGTGGTTCATAGACAAATCGAATGCCACTATCGTTTCCGTGTGAGTGAGGTTCTTTCTTTGGCGGCTCAATGCTGATAGCTTCAGCACCTTTGTCATTTGGGGTTGCTGGCGTGATTACACAAAGGGCCCGAGGAGAAGCAAGCGTCGCGATACATGGTGAAGTAAGGACCCGCAAGCGGTTAGGAAGGAAGCACCGCATGGTGATAGAGGTGGATGAACTAAGGTTGGATTAGTTGTAGTCCGTTTAATTCGCTTCAATTAGGTTGGTACTTGGATGACCGGGGTCTCGGAGCCAATAGCGAATAGCCATCAAAGCGAAGAAATGAGACTTTCGATCAAATACTTAAGAACTGCAAGATGGCTTCAGACCGTTACAGTGGTCGCCTTGCCGGCTTTCTAGCGCCTGCGGCCCATGCTGCGCCCCCCGGGAAATATCCGTCGTTTCCCGCTTGACGATCGCTTAGTGGGAGGCGGAATTTGCCCAGGATCTTGTTGTGCTGCTCCAGATCCAACCCATTGGGCTGTATCCCAACACACGGAGATGCCTTGTACCGCATTGTGCTTCTCATACCGCGTGACGTGAGGAGGGTGCATGGCCCTTGCAGTGCATGTATGTATTTAATGCTGCGCTACTGACCAAGTGGTGGGACCCATGCGGGTTGTTTCTTGCACCCTTACAAATTGCTGCTGGCTTTCGCTGCCCCAACAAGGTCATTCCCGCCTGACATGAGGTCTTGCAGGACTGCAAACGGTGCAACGGTGTGCGCACGCACACACCTACGCACACAACCCGCGAGCAGAGCCACAGCTCATTGGGATTCGCCACGTTCTTACAATGACAGTAGGGTTTCAGGGTTTGTAATGATCACGAGCTGCGCGCAAAGCCCTAGCCCGGGCGCTGCGTTGCTTAACTGTACGGCAGCTGTACGGCAAAGATCTGCAATACGCCGTACGTGAAACCTGCCAGGAAGTACAACGCCCAAGGGCATAGGTTTTAGCAATTTCATATACACTTCATATCATTTGCGCATTCTCTCTAGCTACCATTGTAGCACTCAGAACCATGGGCCATGCGTGACAGCCGCATCCCAGCATGGCAGCCAAGGGTTGCAATAACCTTGCCTAAGCCGTTTCCCACAATTCCGACCCCTAACCCATGCTCATCTGTCCCGCTTCACCCTCCGTAACCAAGCCATTCCTGACCACTGCGGAGGCGCAAGCACCGTCAGGCGCGAGCACAGTCACCCTCAAAGTGCATGCGCCCATGCACACGCACATACAGTCAACCCTCAGCCTGATACCACGCCCATTTTGCTCTGTGGACACGCGTTGCGTGTCCCCATGATGTCCCGCCTCACTTCCACACGGTCGACTCTCAGCCTGATACCGGATCGTATAATTAGTACATTTGCTTAGCTGCTTTAGCATGACCCTTGAATAGTTGAATTGCTCACTCCTGACGACACTCCCGCTCTGCCTTCGCACATCTTGCTTAGGTACTTTGGTGCCCCCACGGATGCGCTTGCCCTTGGCGGCACACAGCAAAGGACAGGGCATCCCTCATCACAACACATAGATCGCACACCCCAAAAATGAATGACGACATAGCAATGCAAAGTGCAGCGCGGCACAAGACTGCCAATGGGGGCACCCATCACAGCTCCCACAGTACAGCGAAAGCACGCCGACCCACACCGTGAGGGTACTTAACCATAGGACGCAATATGCTAGACCTGGCTGTCTAATAACTGCATTGCGATCAGTACCAGTACACTAGCGAATTGACCAGCATGCACATACGTGCACAAAGCAACCCACCCTGCGACATTCAGTGATTGCGTGCTTTACTTTGCCAATGACATAGTCATGTTACCTTGACATCCCTCCCAGCCATTTATGAATAACCCCTCCAAACCATGTGCCAGTGGTTGAGCAATGCGATCACTGTCATCGCCAAGTTCTCTACGGCAGATGCAGACCAGTCTTTTCGGGTGTCCTTGCCTGTTCTGGAGCCGCCTTCCCTGCTGCCAGCACGATTGCTCTCCTAGTGTCAGTCCTATTCTCTTAGAAAACTGCTATCCGCGACGGAGAGTAAATCTGTTACCATGCAGTTACCGTATTACTGCTGCTGCTGCTGCACTATTTCTTGGATGGTACAGGTAAGGCCACAAGCACCTCCCCTATGAGACCCGTCCCGGCCTGCACCTGCGCTGCCTTCCCATCACCAGCAGTGGCACTGGAGCCCACAGCCCCCGCCCTCACACCACCTCTAACCGTTATGCCTGCTGCCGACCCAGCAGCAAAAGCAGCATCGCCAACCCCTGCTGCTGCCGTACCCGCCACCAGCAGATCAGCTGCCATGCCAACCGCCGTACCGCCGGCGGTGTAATCACGCTCGCCAGCAGGCACGAGCCCGCCTGCTGCCTCCTCTGTACCGTGGCCTTGCTGTTGCTGTTGTTGTTGCTGCTGTTGCAATGACGACGAGCTTGCCAGGTGAACGGAAACAACCGGCTGCCCTTCAGTAAGGCCCTTGAACTTGTAGGTTCCCATGTCAACTACCTGAACGGCCAAAGGTGCGACAAGGCCAACAGGGCTAACCACCGTTGACCTCGCGGTCAACGCGGTCATGAAGGCTGCTTCATCCTGATTTTCAGAGCAACGATGCATCAGAAGGAGTTGCGCACGTGATGGTGACAAGGTGTTGCTGACACCGAGCTGCTGGAAGCTACTGCGGCCGGTGTGGCCACTTCCGCTTGTAACGCCTGCTGCCGGGGATGCTGCTGCTGTCACGGCTGCTGCCCCTGCTGGTGCCGTGAGAGCTGCTGCCGTTCCTGCAGCCGCCAGTGGCACCCAAGGCCGGTACAACGGCGCAGACAAGGACTGATGCTGCTGTTGTGGTTGGTAATGGTACTGCTGCTGGTGACAGCGGTGACCTTGAGGCCGCTGGTGGTGGAGGCTGAGGTGCTGGGATTGAAGGTGAGGGAGCTGGTGCATGCTGCGGTTCTGTAGACCCAAGCCAGCAGGTCCAACCGCCGCTGCCGTACCTTCATACACGGCCGCCGCCGCCCCAACGGCGATCTCTGCTACCGCCGCCGCTTGCAGAGACGCTGCACCGGGAGCAGGTGTCAAATGTCCGGCATGAAAGCTAGGGCTTCCACCACCGCCGCCGCCGCTAGCGGTAGCGTCGGTGGAGACTGTAGCTTGCTTAGCGTCGTGCAAAACAAGAGGCTCTTGAAGGTCATCCGGTGCGCCAGCAGCGTTCAAATTGGCAGCAGCAGGAGATGCAGCGGTAGAAGGAAGGCTTGAAAGGGGCATGATGCCGGGCGCGGAGGTGGTGGTAGCGATGGGCGCTGACAGCAGGTCGGCCTCGCTCGATAAGCTGTTTACGTGGTCTGCGTGCGGTGGGAGCCAGAAAGGAACCATGTCACATGATACCGCATGTTAGGGCAAAGCAACGGGAACAGGAGACGGCGGGGTGCCATAAAAGAAGTGGGGGTTTAAGTTGTGAGGAGGGGTGTACATGTCATCGTCGCAGTAGTAGGCAAGGGCGGCATAGGTGAACCTGGGGGCTTGCGGGGAGAAAGCGGCGGGGTTTGAGTGCTGTACGACAGCTAGCATCCAACTAGGCATGTACGATGTGGGTCATAGATCAGGTTTAACGGTGGGGGGTGTAGCCGCCTGGCTATACATGTGACTCCTTACACAAGGTCAAACGCACCTAACAAGACAGCCACCTCGTATGCGGGGGATCATTCGTCCATTCATAAATGCCACATTTACCTTGGCACGGCCTCAGGGTTGCAGTGCCGGCGGCGGCAGCGGCCAAGGCGGCGTCTGACACGGCTTGTCGCCACTCTCCCAGCACCTCCAGCCCCGCCGTCTTGTCTAGCAAGATCTGCAGAACATGCCGGGTGGAGGAGGGTTGGCACTCACGCTGGGTAGTGGGGAACACGGGCATACCCAGCAAGGCAGTTGCATGTCAAAATGGATGCTAGCTAGAATCTACGTCAGCTGCGAGCAGAGTTATACAATCCGGGGTAGGTTCATAAGGCGCATAAATCGCATATTTACAGTGGAAACCTGTACCGGCTGGTGCTACATGAGACCGGTGTGGCGCCAGCGCATCGGCAACTTCAAACCTTCCTAGCGCTACCGGTACTGCTGCTGCAGTGGCTCCCACCTGCCCCGCCTTGGCCCCCGCCATGAGCCGAGCTGCGCGGTTGACCAGAGCTCCGAAGTAGTCTGCTCGACCCGTGGTGGCGTGCGGCACCACCGTCAGCGGCACACCCGTGAAGATACCCACCTTGGCGCGGAAGCCCCTGGGTGCGGGAGAGTGCACGGTAGGGCAGGGCAGGGGAGCTAGGGTATTGTGCAGAGAGGCAAGGCGCATGGCTGGAAAGGTGAATAGGAGGGAGCATGAGGAGCTTGAGGGCAGCTAGAAATTGCTCTGGACCGTAGAGCGCATGTGGAGCTTCCAGTAGAGCCCAACGTGGCCTGGAAGCTCCTGCAGCCATGCATGTTGCTGTGAGGCAAACGTATAGGCACCGGTGTCATACCGGTAACCCGGACGAAATATGATGTGTGCCTAGGTTAGGGAAAACGTGTGCAATCCCTGACAGCGTAATCCCCAGAGGTTCACTCGGAAGGGATGCTAATCATAACTTGTGCTGAGGGCGAAGTTGTTGTTCCAGACACTCCTCCATGTAAATGTTGGAGTCCGCTTTTCCCGTCTCCTCACCTCGTGACGGGCTGACCGTCCGACCCCAGCACTTCCCGTCCCTCGGACAGCTCTAACAAGTCCGCCGGCCAGTCCGCATGCAGCAGCCAGGTGTGCAATGCCAGCGCCGCCTCAGCGCCGACCCGTGGGTCATGGCACGCCACCATAAACGTACACTCGTACTCCTGACACTCGTACGCGCCGTACATTCGCAGCACATCACGCACGGTCGCGCAAAATACGGCGCCGCTGCGTTCCGCCACCTCCGGGTGGGAGTTGGCGACTGCTGTGTAGCCAGCTGGCTGGACGAACATGAGGGAGAGGCGCGGGAAAGAGGGCGGCTGACCGGGGCTGCGAGGCAGCAGGGCCTGCGGACGGGGTACAGGAAGGCCGAAGTAAGTACGGCGCTGGTGAAAGGGTGCAGAACCGCATTCGAGGCGGGCAGAAAATGAGTCGATCGCTCGGGATGCCGCAACCAGGTACACATGAGCGATAATGCCACATACGGTAGGTACGATCGCATGCATTTCCGGGTGCATGAGTGCTGTTGGGGTGGAGAGAAGCAGTGAAAGGCATGAAGGGGGACATGGCAAGCACGCCTGGTGGGGCGCGCGCATGCATGCCTGCATCCGCCCCACCCACCTGGCTGGCACCGGGCGCCTCGAAGAAGCCCGGGGCGAGCATGGCTGGGGACCTGAGGGGCGCGTGGTAGGCGGCTCGGTGCTTGAGGTGGGAGGGCAGGATTTGGATGACCTGCGGCAATCCACAGTTAAGGGCTTCACATAGTTTCGGAGCTCTGGGGTTGGGGTAGAAGGCGCACGCAGGCGGTTGGCCCTCACAGGCATGCATACTGCCAGGCATGTGGCATGCTGAGGCATCAGCCAAGTAAGCAAAGCGTGCAAGGCGATGATCGTGCTTCCAAACAGGAAACGCAAAGGGGTGGTGGGACCTTTGGGGAGAAAGAGTACGACCCAGCACACACACATACCTGGACACCATCGTACACATCTCCGTACGCCGCGCCTATGGCGGGGATGTTCAGCCGATGCACACCCATATCGATCACCACCAGGTCATGAAAGGCACCTGCTACAGTTCCGACTCCTCGACCCGCGCCACAGGAGCTGCTGTCCTCAGTATGGCCGTGTGCAGCCTGTTGGGGATGTTCGCTGTCAGTTGCTGACCTGCTAGCGGCTGCAGTCGCAGCGGTGGCGGCCGCAGCCATGTGGCCCATCACCATGCCAGCGCTGGTGCTGGTAGTGGCGGCAGCGGCAGCAGCGGCAGTGGCGCTTCCTTTGTGTTTGCGAGCGAATCGCCCTTCTGCGCCACCCCCGCCACCATCACCACCGCTGGTGAAGCCCGAAGGCGTCCTCCGCCGCAGCCGGTTACGTTGTCTGGTCCAGCTGCGAGGAAAAATGAGAACGTGGAAGGGGGAAGAAGGGAATGAGGGGAGGGAGTAAAATGAGGGGGGGCAGGGAGAAAAGAGACAGACCGCGGGAGGGAGTTAAGGAGGGGAAAGGAGGCTAGGCCTGGCTTCCAAACGCATGTTTGATAGCGGATAGCGGTACAATGTTAGAAAACCCGCATGCGCCTGTGTACCGAAGGCGCTTCTTTGGATACTTGGGCAGTCCTACCAAAGGCCCCCGTACGTCACCAAGCCGCAGCACTAGCCCGACCGTCTGGCCCCTCATGTGCGTGCATCCCAGCACCAGCCCAGCCCACCTCCGCATGATGACAGCCCTAGAGCTCAGCCGAGCAGCAGTCAGCATTGACAACGAAGGAACGCCTGCCACCGTGTCGCCTCCTCCATCCCCTCTTGCTGCTGCTCGTTCTTCTTCTCCTCCTCCTCCTTCACCACCACCGCCGCCGCCGCCGCCGCCGCCGCCAGCACCAGCGCCGCAGCTGCCATCCACCAACCCATCACCCATGCGTGCTGATACAGCTGCTGTTCCATCTGTGGCTGCTGCTGCTGCATTGGCTGCCATCCCGGCTGCCACCGCCTCCTCGTCCCCTGAATCCATCCCTTCAGCAGCCCCGTACGGCACAGCTCCAGTCGCCCCGGCAGCAGCTGCTGTAGCCGCCGCCGCAGCAGCAGCTACAGCACCAGCCACTGCTGCTCCTTCCCTGCCACTTGCTAGTGCATCCACAGCTGCCACCGCAGTCATGCTCGTCCGGTCTCCAGCCGGACGCTTTACATCGAAGCCTTGCATGGTGGCTACTGCAGCTACATGGCGACGGCTGCTGCGGCTGCATTCGTCGCCGTCGCGTCCCCGTTCCCTTTCCAGCAGCAACGACTTCCCGCTGCCTGCCAGCGAGGAGCCTCCCAACATGGTTCTTCGACCTGTAGTGAAAGATGAAGCCCCGCGGAAGGCTCTTAGGAAGCTGGCCGCTGAGGGCTCGTGCGGGTGCTGCTTCATGGCATCGCCGAACCCTAACGGCACATCGCATGATCGGCGACAGTACGCCAATGACGTTGTTGGCAGCTGGTGCTGCGAAGCCGAGCTCCGGAATGTCCGGGCTGTGCTGCGCAGCAGGTTCCGCAAGAAGGACATGTTACGTGCTGTACGGCGTCCTAAGATGCGAGTTGAGTCCGAGCTGCTCTCTTCTCCAGCTTCCCCTTCCCCTTCCTCCTCATCTGCCTCTTCCTCCAGGATGGCGTCGTTGTCCTCATCTGATCCTGGACGTTGCCGTATAACGACTGTGAAAGGTGGTGCCAGAGCTTTCGTGCCTGCGGAATTGAGTAAGCGTAAGGTGTGTGACGTCATGTTCCATCCCGGGCGCATCGTGTGGCATGGTTGCAGCGTGATAATACATCAATGTGCTTGAATGTCTCATCGGCCTCCTCGAGGAGATAGAGGCGGTAATGCATGCATGAATGCGTGCAGCAGTAGGGATATGGGTTGGCCTTATGGGCAGAGCGCAGCAGCTAACGACAAGTACAGTAGTACATATACTAGTCTGCTACCGCTGTATCGCAACATACAAACCCGTGCACCGAACTAGGAGATGGCACACCTTACCTTGCATCCTGCTGGCATGGGCTGAAGACGATGATGTGGCTCGGTGCGGCCCCACGTTATCCGGCAGTCCGGTGGCCGCTTGTGATGCCGAGGGACCATTTCGACCCTTGGGGGCGCCACCGGCTTCCGTGATTGGGTCCGCAGCGTCCTCCTGTTGCACCGTATGTTTCCGGGTCCGAGTCAACAGCGAGAACTCATGCCATGCACACAAGCCATGCGAGCAAGTAGCACAATGGATTATTGGGAGCGGGCAGGCTATGCGGTGTATAAATCAACTGAGGCTGTGTGTACCGGTAAATGGCGATGGATGCATCAATGCCAAAAAGGGACCGACGTACGGAGTCATTTCGGTCCGAAGACAACATCACGTGGCACGCTCACACAGTGCACTCGCGTCACCATTCGCACCAGTCCCCTGCATGCGCACGCGCTACTCCCACACTGCAGCATTTACTGCTGAACAGTCTTTGCAGCCCTTCTGCTGAGTGTGCAAGGCCCCTCCAATTCACTTCCACCCCCAGTCCCGGTCGCCCCCTTCCGCCACATTCCCCTGTCCGTTGGCTGTAGGATATATACATGCTTTCATGAACCCCCACATGCGCACCCGCATGGCCCAAGCCACGCATGCACCTCACCAACACTCACTCACACTGGCCATGTCTCGCGCCTGCTTGGCTGTGAAGTTGGCACGCAGGCCAGTGGCCTCCAGCAACAGAGTTGGCCGCAGCGCCAACACCTGGCGGCCCCCGCCGGCGCTGGTAGGTCCGCCACCTCCGGCCATCCCACCGAGGGCGCCCGCATCTCCCCCTAGGAACTGCTGGGGCAACGGCAGGTGCAACAGACCCATGGGTCCAGATCCGGCTGCAGGGGAGGGCAAAGTAGCGGTGCTTGATGGGCCTGCCGCCGTACCACCGGTGCCGTACGCAGCCCCGTACGGCAGGGCGTTGGGCAGTAGCAGGTCGCTCCTGTTGCTACTGCTGCAGCCGTCTATGTATGGATCTGAGCCAGCTGCAGGAGCAACGGCGGCGCTAGCTGCTGCTGCAGTTGCTGCTGTGGGAGCCGCTAGGGTTGCCGCCGCTCCTCCGGCGGTGCTGGGGCCCCCAAAGTTGGAGAACCTGCCATGTAGCGAGGCTGCACCCATGGGGAAAGGGGCATGCGGGCAGGGCCCGTGTGGAGCGTAAGTAGGAAGAAGAAAAGGGGAATGTAGGAAGCCTGTCTTGACCACCGGGAATCCATACCACGGTAATGAACTAATGCCCAAGGTGGACACTACAGAGTTACTGACATACTCGCTTCTTGCCAACACAGCTCGGCTCATAGTTAACATACCACCCAGCGTGTGTTCCTTCACAGCCAAAAGGTAAAAGCCTAAAAGGTAACATGCCCCAAGCCTTGGGGCTTGGGTACCCTGTACCCTGGCCCCGCAGTTTCCCCTGCTTGCCTCGAGTCCTGGTCAGCAAGCCGCCTCCCAGCGGCTCCATATCCGGCATGCTGCTCAGCGTCGCGCGCCGCGGGTTGCATCCGCCGCCCAGCACCGCATGTAAGCCCACCCCGCTGCTGGCTGCTGTGCTGTTGACGCCGTGAACACCGCCACCACTTCCGCCGCCACCGCTGCTAATGGTCGCAGGTACCACGGTCGATGGAATCAGTGGCGCCGGCAGCTGCAAGAGCGACTGCTGCGGCTGCAACCAACAGGGCGGAGAGGGTGGCACTACTGTCGTGCAAGACGCACTCCTGCCTCCAACTCCTGCTACTGCGGTTATTCCTGCTGCTGCCGGTATAGCTTCGAATGCCGCATTTGCCGTCCTTGGTCCTGATGCGGTGCTGTTAGTGCTTGTAGCAGTAACCATAGCGGAACCGTGCTTTCGACTGAGATTGGGGCTTGCAACTGCTTGTAAGACTGGACTGATGGCCCCTGAGTTACGTGATGTCAAATCAGGCGAACGAAGTGCAGTGGTGAGCTGCGATACCTTGAGCGATGTACGGCTGCCGCTGCTGCGGTGGTAGTTGCTGCTGCAGCGGCGGGAATTGTCGTGCAGGCCCGATCGGATTCCGCCGGCATCCATACCAAGGGAAGGAAAGGTCGGTGCAGGAGCAGTGGATGCACCGACTGGCATGGCGATTGTGCTTGTTGTCGTGCCTGCACCGTCAGTTGGTAAGGCCGGGGCCGATAGGAAGACCTGCTGACTGAGGCGTCTGAGCGAGGAGTGCTGCTGGTGCTGCGGAGGTGGCATGAACGGAGGTTGCAGTGGGCTGCTGGTTGTGGTCGCTTGTATTTGGGAGGCTGAGGTGGCGGCCTGCAAGGGAAGGGAAGGGAGCAGCCCGGCAATGGTGAGGAGCGGAGAGAGGGTAGGTAGGAAGAGGCTCCTGTTAGTGCACGGAGTGGCTTGAATCTTACCGCTTGTACCACAACATGCGGCCGGGATCCATGCGGAGCCCCTCCTGCCCCTGCTGCTCCTCCCTTTCATGCATGGCGGTCTCAGCCTCTTCGGAATAGAGCTCCCCTTCCAAATGCATGCGGGGATTAAACGACGCGCCTAAATCCCGCCCACCAGTACGAAATACCTGCACACCCCACATGCACCCAAACCCCCTCTTCAGCCACCCACCTGGCCAGGGTGACGTTCACCTGGCGGTAACACTATGAGCGACAACGTCTTCCGCACCGGCCGCTTCGACCTTGCCCCCTGCAGCTCTGGCCTCATGCCACCTCTTGGAACCCCTGCTGTTGCTGCTGTTGCTTCTGTCACCCCCGTAGCTGCTGCTGCTGCTACTGCTGTCGCCCTGAATGCCCCGGACGCCCCGGATGTTGCTGTAGCCCCTCCTCCAGCTGTTGCCACTGGCATTGCCGCCGGGGTCATGCCGGCCTCCCTAGATCCAGCTGCCATCTGCTGCCCAGGCTCGAACCTCGGCATCATGGGCAGGAAAGTGAACGTCTCCGCATGGGCGTCAAACACGTCTACCCTAACCTCGCCAACACCACCGGCTACTGCAGGCTCGCAGCGGCTGCCTTGTTGTGTGGCTGTGGGTCCGCTCAGGATGGTGAACCATGGGTCACCATCCGAGTGCGTTCCTGCTGAGCCGGCAGAACCCTGATGGCTGCTGCTACGAGCACACGTGTTCACCCCTTCAGAAGCAGGGTTTCGGAGCCCAACGGAACCAGCAGGCCCGCTGAATCCCCACCCGGCCTGCACCGCCGAGAGCTGAGGCAGCTGTGGTGCGGCGAGAAAGGGTTGCGGATAGCCGCCGTAAGGTGGGTTGTTGGCCACCGGAGGTTGGAAGGCAACAGCGGTAGCCGCAGATGTGGAAGCGGCGACAGGATCAGGAGGAGCCGCAGCTGTCCCTGAAAAGGAGGATGAAGAAGCGCGCGGGGCTATTTCCGCGGCCGTTGAGGAACTGACGGGAGCCGGTCTGACGGGAAGGCTGCTGGTGCCGCCTGGTCCAGGCAGGGGATGCTGTACCTGCTGCTGTGTCTGCCGCTGCGGAGGGGGTACCAGCCCTGGCGGCGGTGACAGCGGCCTTTGCTGTTGCTGCTGATGGTGCTGCGGAAACGCAGGGAGGTGCGGAAGGTTTGGTGTTGTGGAAGGCGTTCGTGTAGCGGCTGACACCGAGGGTGTTTGGCCAAAGGTCAGGCTCTGCACATGCCAATCGCTGCCGGTTAAGTACGGCAAGGCGGACTCCTGGGCCTCATGGCAATTGGATCCTGCCGTACCTAGCAGCAATTCCAGTAACGTGTTATCCTCGTCATCAAGACCTGCCAAGCCGGCGCCCACCCCGCCCACACTGCTGCCACCCAGATTGATCTGCTGCAGCAGCTGCTGCTGTAGGGCTTTGGATCCAGCCCTAACAGTAGTCGTCGCTGCTGATGTAGCTGCTGCTGCTGTTGCTTCAGGAGCGACGGCAGCTAGCATCATTCCGTTTGCCGCAATCCCCGCTGTTGCAAATGGGCCTGCCGGGGATCCTGGAGTTGAATGCTGCTTGGATCGTCTCGCTTGGACAGCCGCCAATCTCTCGGCTGCCATCTCCTTCTCAGCATGCATCTCCTGCTGTTGCCCCTCCTGCTCCTCACCATCTTCCTCCATAGCCTCCCCGATGGGACCCGGACGTGAGGTCCATGCCGCGCCCGCAACCCGGCGATCCCTGGTGCCTCCCAAGGGAAGGAGGTGACTGCAGGCCGCCGGTGCCACAGCCGCACCGCCACCACCACCGCCTCCACCACCGTTAACAGCAGTAGGCAACGGAGCCATGCACGGGTTGGCACCCCTACCTGCACCCACACGTGCACCCGTTGCTGCTCGTCCTGGCTCCCCTCTCACGCCTGCTGAGCTGTTAATGCCTCCGTCGCTAATTGCTGCACCGCCGTCACCACCACGACCAAAGCCCGCAGCAGTCCAAAGACCGCTGCTGCTGCAGCCGTTGGTCCTGCCGGCTCCCCCGTTGCCGCCCGCCACATATCCGCCCCCCGTGCTGCCCGTAGCTGTGCTGTAGCCGGTGCCGCTGCAGCCCACCAGCAGCCCCACCATGCCGCCCTCCAGGGTCACAGCCGGGTCCAGGATGTCCGAGGAGGAGGCGATTGCGGCCGCCAGGAGGCGGGTCAGGTCGAATGCGGAACCTGATTGGATCTCAGCTGCTGCTGCTGCGGCGGCGGCTGCCTGTGTCATGGCAGCAAAAGCAGGAGCAGGAGAAGCGGTAGCAGGAGGAGTAGGGGCAGAGGTTGCTGCAGCAGCGCCGGAGGCGGCAGCAGCTGGGGTGCCGAAGGAGATGGTAGTAGGGTAGGAACCGCCACCTCTGCCTCCTCCTCCTGTTGCACCCGAGACTGCTGCTGCTGCTGCTGCTGTCGCTGCTGCTGCTCCTTCCCCACTGCACCCATCCGTCCCTTGCGGCAACCTGTGCGGCGGCGGCTGCTGCGGCGGCGGCGGCTGCGCCTGCTGCCGCTGCTGCCGTTGCACTAGGCGCCCATGCTGGGATTGGTGCAGCTGTAATGGCAGTGCCAGGGGTTGCAAGCTTGGACTATCCGAATCTCCGGTAAGGGTGCGTATGAACAGGTTCTGTAGGTTGGTGGGCGGTCCACCGCTGGGTGCAGTAGGGTGCAGCAGCAGCTGGGAACCGGGACCTGCAGGGCTGCCGGCGCTGAGCGGACCCAGGCCGCCGTTGAAGGCGCTGTGAGGGCTTTCACCGTAGCTGGGCTGCCTTGTAGCCAGGGAGTCCACCGAGGCACGGCTGCCAAGCAACCGTGCGATTTCTGCGGTCGGGTAAACGAATTGCATGTGCGGAAAGAGAGAGGCAAGAGCTTGGGACTTTCGTAATGGTACATTGAACTGGAGGAGATGCCGGAATCAATGACAGCACTTTAGAAGAGAGGGGAACATGCAGCCTTTCCTGCTAGCTCCCTGATTGCCACAGCAACGATGAGTAGTAGAACGCCAGCACAACGAATGCTGATACCACGGCATCATACATGTGCGTCGTGCAAACAACACATACGGTGGCGCACGGAAAACGGCCCACGTTTCACACGCTTCAGGAGCAGCGGAGCCACGAAAACAGAAGTACAGAAACAATGTACATTGCAGCTCCTACATACAACGCGCACCTAGGGGAGTAAGACCCGTGGGTCCCCGGGAGTGTCGGGATGCATTGCTGCCGTACATGGATTGCATGAGCTGCTGCGTGGTGTGGCTGGCGGTGCAGCTCATGAGGGCTTGGTGCAGGATGGGCCTGCCAGCGGGCGCAAGGTGGACGGATATCTTGCTAGGGATAGAGGTTGGCCTCAGCGACAGCATGAGCTCTGAAGTGAAGCTTAGTGCCAGCGACAGCCATCATCTAAAGGTAGGGAAGCTGTATTAGCCCGGTTTCAAGGTTCCGGTTTGCGGGAGGGTTAGCGCATTTTGGCTACCGGTACTAGGGCACAGAACCTCGAACCCAACCCAACCCGAGGCCCACCAGTCGTTCGACCCGCGCGCCGTGCTGAGAGCGCCCCACAACAATCCGGCCGCCTGTGGCGAGCTGGCACTACTCAGCGCAGACGGCCCCGAGTGCTGCGCCGCCGCGGCCTGCAGGTAGCCTGCACCCGCACTTATGCCGCCCCCGCCCCCGCCCCCGCCCCCGGACCATGCGGCAACGGCGGTGCTCATCCCCCTTCCTCCTGCTGCTGCTGCCGCCGCCACTGGTGCGCCCGCTCCTCCTATGGCGTGCATGACGAAGCCCCCATGCGGGCCCGGAGCCGAAGAGCTGGAAGCGAACAGGCCCAAAGCCGAGGCCTGGTAGGAGGTGGAGTTGGAGGATGGAATCCACTGCAGCCGAGGCAGCGGCTGCTGCTGTAGCGGCGGGGGCGGCTGGTGTCGTGATGAAAGTGATGAGTGTGCTGCCAACCGCCGGCTGCTGCCATAAGTACCACTGCCGTTGTCCTGACCGCCGCCGCCGCCGTCACCAAGGTTGAACTTCTTCTGGGTGATTGGAACACCAGGGGAGGGGCGGGGAGCCGAAGAAGAACAGCCCGGGATTACCGGCGCCGCAACTGCTGCTGTTTTTGCTGCTGCCGCTGCTACTGCATTTTCAATGTTGGACGAGGTCGCTGTTGCTGTTGTTGCCGTGTCCAAGGTTGTCGCCGAGGGAGACGGCAGCATAACGAGAGAGCGATTGCGGGAAGGGGGAGGGAAGGAAAGAAGCTCAGCAGCCCCGGGCCGAAGCGATGCAGGTGAAGAGGACTGTTGCCTCGATGACAGCAGCGCCAGCGGCAACAGTGGTTGCGATTGTAGTTGAGGTGTTAGCCCTGGGGCAAGGCCAGAAGGAATTTCTTCACCACCGCTGCTGATGCCGCCGCGGCAAACACCGTGGGTGCCCTTGACATCGTTGTTAATGCTGTTATCAGCTTCCTTGTTACTAGCAATGAGCGGGGATCGCCTAGCAGCAAAGGCGTCAGAGGGGTAATCAACCACCGAAGCCGCCGCCGTCGTGCTTTGTGGGTGGCTAAGGTGGTCGTGCTGATACGAGCTGTGGTGGGGTGCGCCGGTATCTCTCTCAAGTTGGTCGCTGTTTGTTAGGACTGCTGCGCGAATGGCGGAGGCTATGGTGGCGGTGGCGGCGGTAATGACGGCAGGGGGAAACGGAGCATCCGGAAGGGGTGGTTGCAGGTCGGGCTGAGGCTGAGGCTGGGAGTGTTCATGAGGATGAGGGTGACCCAGGCGGCCATTAACTGAATAGTTGGGTTGCTGCTGTCGCAGGGACGGCGAGGATGGCGGCAGCAGCGACGGTGCTGTTGACACGGCGGCAGCCGTAGCAGCAGCAGCCGTGGCAACAGCCGCCGTCGCGGCAGCGGACTGAGTAGGAGGAGTAACACGGCTCGATTTAAGGGTGTCTTCGGCGTCGGGGCCGCTGCTGCGGCTGAAGGGCACATGCGAGTCCGCGTTGCCCTTCCTGTTGACCGTATCTGTGTGGGATAGGGAGGGTGCATGGCGTAAGTCCCAAGCCCCTGTCAAGAACGGCGACTGTACAACACGCCGCAGTACAAGCACATAGCACAACTACAAGATCTTTTGACGTGTCTTTCGCGACGCCTTCGGCTGACCCATGGGGCATATGACCCACGGATCATCAGAGGATTCGCCTTAAAAAATTGCAGCCCGAACTATCTCCCTCATTACCTGCCATTTCCTGCACCTCGCTCTCCTCCACATCCAACTCCTCAAACTTGTTGTGAATGCCCTTGAACGTCAGCGGCTCCAGCAGCACCTGACCGCCGCTGCCGAGCTCCGCAATACCTGTCGCCAGGCGAAGTACGGCACCCGTGTACTGCATGCGCCGCGTCACGGGGTGCTCCCGTACGGCTGAAGGCACTCCGGTGGCGATTCCCACCCTTACCGACAGTCCTTTAAACAGCACTAGCAGTGGAGCCGTCCTGTAAGATGCTGCAGCTGCTCCTGCGGATGTGGTTGTGCATGCAGCATCACCGATCCCGCCGCTGCCGTAGCATGGCCCTCCAAGTGTGCTACTATCGGTATTGGTGGGCCCAACGGGGATGAGCGGCCTGGGACGGCAGAGGGGGTGTTCAAGCAGCAGTGGCGGCCACTCCACCTTGAGGAGGGTGGACTGCAGCAGCAGCGCCCAGCGAACGGCATCTACCGGGTCGTGGAAGGCGACCAGGAAGGCATCGCCCTCCGTGGTGACCTGCAGGGAGGTGAGATGAGGAGGGTGTGCGCATTGGGATATGCAACGCGTGTTGCATTACGCTTATACGTATTTAGGCAAAACGTAGGAGAAGAAGATAGGAATATGGAAATCAGAGGATGCGGGAAACGAGGGAGGCGTATGGGACAGGGAAGCAAATGCGAGATGGCAGCGAAGGAGAGGTAGGGGGAATGGCGGGGGTCAGACTGTTCCCGGTAGCTGCCTGCTCGCCCGCGGACACCGCCGCGGTTGCGCGCAGAGACACACGGCTGCAACTCTACACCCGAGATGCGTGCAAGCATTCATGTCACGCGACCATCGCCCGACCTCTTCAAGGCCCATTCAATCCCGACCTCTTCAAGGCAGATGCTTCGCAACTCTCCCATGTCCCCAGCCATGACGCCCAGGAGCCTTTGGGCCCCAACCATCAGCCCCATCAGGCATGCATCATGCTTCCTATCCTATCATTTCCACAACGTAATCCACATTCACGCCCCTTTCCTAGCGAGTCGCCGACGCGAGTGAAACTGACCCAGCGACCCATGGGTCTCCTTACCTCGTATCCGGAGCAGGCCGCCATCGTCAGCCGCATGGCTCGGTCGTGCAGCGTCAAGGCGGCGTTCATCACGTCGGGGTGCCACTCCCACAACTCTGTGCTGCCCTCCACGTCTGAGGCCAGCACGGCGGGGGTTGTAGTGCGTGTCAAGTAACCAGAATGCTGGCACCAAGGCAAACCAGGAATGTTTCTCGGGTGTACGGCAAACACTGCCCAGCGCTCCGCCCACGGAAGCTCTTTCTCCCCAGCATCCCACCCACCAGTGGCCACCAGTGTCACCTCCTCTCCGAACAATGCGGGATAGCAACCTGCAAGGGGGTGCGAGGAGGTGGGTCAGGTATTGGCGCACCACGCACCATGCGGGAGGTGACCCATGGGTCACCAAAGCGTTTTGTTGTCAGCTGCGGAGCTCGTTGAACACAGGCATTTGTCGTGATAGCAGCCGGCAAGCGGTCGCCAAGTTGGCTATATTGTATCGGCCAACATCCAGGGTTAACAACCAAATAGTACGACAGTAGTCAATAGGCAGTTTCGACACTGCCCTAAAGAGAGACCACAGGAAAGACAGCTTCAGTGCAACACGCTCCATCCGCTACTTGTAAGGCTTGGGAACTCATCACCGATCTTTGTAACTCACGCTTCTCCCCCTAATCCCGGCACCTTCCTACCAGGCGGTTTAGCGCGCTTGGCACTCAGCACATCGCTGCTCAGCGCCCGAGTCGCCGCTCCTGCCGCCGCCTGCCGCCCCTTCCTCCCACCGCTTCCACCTCCACCTCCACCGCTACTTCCATCTCTGCCTGCTGTGCCCGCCGCCCCACCGCCACCAGCACCGCCACTGCCACCACCGGCGGCATCAGCAACAGAGGACGGCGTGAGGCCGCGACGACGCACTTGTGCCGGGTCCTGCTCATGAAGCGTGTGGTGGATGCAGCTCCTCCTCCGGGCCCCCACCTCCGCCAGCTCTGTCATGGAGGTCCAGCAGGCGTCGTCTGCGTGTCGCCTGTTGCTGCTGCTGCCGCCGGCGGCGCCAGCATAAACTCCGCATTGCGTCCCCTGCTGCTGATGCTGTCGTAGAGCTTGCCGGATCCGCCGCAGTTGCTGTTTTCGCGGTGGGGGTGACGGTGACCATCCATCGCCGTCGCCGCTGCCGCTTCCGTCGTCACCGCTGCTGCTACGTGCGGAGGAGGTGCCATTCCAGCGGCAGTGGCGGTGGCGACGACAGCAGAGTAGCGCCGCCAGGGCGGCTGAGGAGCAAAGCGCGAGGCAGCTCACCGGCAGCAGGAGCGCCAGCATGAGGGAGAGGGACACGGTGCGGCGCTGGGAGGGGAGAGGAGAAGGAAAGGAGGGCAAATGCGGAAGCCGTGAGGGAGGGCGTGTGCAACGCGAACTGGACTGGATCGATTGAGCGGCCATGAAGCGGAACAATGGATAGGCGACGCACCCCGCGTGAGTGCATCTCATGGCGGAGTGGCGCATGTACCTTACATCATCAACCCCGCTTACATCATCAACAGCAGCAGCAGCAGCAGCAGGAGGTGCTCCCGGTCCCGTCGACGTCGCCTGCAACAAAGCCCTTGACGAGGATGCACCGGCTCCTGCGGGTGTTCCTGCCGCTGCTGCCGCCGCTGGTTGCTGCGCTGACCGATCAGTTTGCCGTTGGATTAACTGCCGGTCGCCGCAGGTTACGTTCGTGCCGCGTGCGTCCACCTGCAAGCAGATGCCGTACCGAACCACACTGTTGGACGCACGTTTAATGCAGGATGCCATGCAAGCATGAGTAGGCACAGCCACTACTACTCGTAAAGGCAAAGAGCTCCCAACAGTGCGGCAAGGGCAAAAGCAAGAGTAGCCGCGCGGTAACACAGCGGGGACTCACCTCTATCAGGTCGTTCTTAAGGAGGAACGACAGAGGCACAGCACCGGATAAACCTGAGAAGAGAGGAGTTGGAGAGTATGTGCATAAAACTAAGACGGCAAGCAGCATCACAAGCCCCGCGTACTCCGATTTTCTCAGCACGCTTGTACATGCGCGTCCCAGCGCCGCCCCAACAAGCAGCTCGCATGCGTTCATGCATGCATGTAGGCATCAGTTTGCTTTCCCACGACCAGGGACACGACCCCGACCTGAGTTGCTTGCCCGCCATCTCCTCTCCTCGCCTCCCCTCCCCACCACTCTCCTCCCAGGATCTTCCTTCTATGCCATCCTCCCTGCCCTCTTCCTCTGCCGCCAGGTGTGTTTCCCGCATCATCAACGGGCGGGCCCATTCAAACAACCTCACCTGGGTTGCCCGCCAATCGCACCACCTGTAGGTACGGCAGCTGCCAGATGCTGCTCGGAAGCGCCCCCTGCAAGCCGAACCCCTCCAGCATCAGAGCTGCATGCATGCGGAAAGGGAGCCGGGCATGCACGGTCATGCAGGCAAGCCGATAGGCAGGTGGTTGGGTATGCGGGCGAGTAGGCAGGCAAGCAGGCACCGCGTTCCACAGGCAGGCAGGCAGATGGCAGCGAGCTAGGCAACAATGCTGCACAGACGGCTATGATACAAGCGTCCATGCACGCATGCATGAATATGTGCGCATGCAAGTAATAAAGCGTATGTGGCTCGGGCTAGTCACGAACAAGCCGTCACTTGAAATTCAGATTCGCCAAAGGCCCTCTCACCCAAACCCAACGGCGTGCGCACCCAACGCACCGCACCCCGGGGGGTCTCACCATGGACTTGCCCCTCGACTGAACATGCGAGCGAGCGCTGCGCGGCAGTCATGGTCGGCGCAGCGCGGCAATGGAGGAGGGGGCGAGGGAAGCGGGGTGGAGTAACGAGGCAGGGGTGGTATCATGAACCGTGTACAGAGGCTATGCACGGAACTAGACGGCAGGGCATGTAGGAATAAGTGCCTGCTTGGACGTCAGCAGAGCACACGGAGGGATGGCTGGGGGGCATGGAAAAAGATGTTGTGGGAGAGCGGTTAGGAAACGGATTACTACCCTGATCTGAGGCAGCCCCAGCTGGTCTATCCTTAGCGCCGGGTTATGTGCGTGAGGAGTTCGGCCGCATCTCATGCACCCTACCTGAACAGTAGGGTCCTGGCTTGGTATCGAGTAAGTTAGTCGGTTGCTTCCATCGGCGTCAGCCGAACAGCAAGCAACGCCTGGTTTGCATTGGGAGCCAGACATAGGGCAGCCGGGGAAAGGTCTGTTCGGGGTTACAGCTCACGCACTGCTGCTGCTCTACCACAATCCCGTACCAGTCCACTTGCATCTGTTCGCTGCGATCCGCCAGCCAAGTAGCGCGCTGTGGTTTCTGGGGTTTACCCAGTGGCTACCGTCAGTCGCGTCGTAGAGCTCAAGCAGTCTGTGGGTCAATGTGTGGACGATGGCAGCTTTGGCAATGAACGACCCTGAGTATTCGCAGTCTAGGCGCACTGGGAACGTGTTATAGTCGCTTACCGTTGCGTCACATATTCAGCGTTGTCCTGCGACTGTGTTTGGATCGCGCTGCAAGAGGCAAGCATAAAAGCCGCAAGCGCCAGTGCACGGGCTAGCATACTGTAAAGCGAAATCGCGGAAGGTATAAGAAGGCGTCATATAATTGACATGCTATCCAGTTGTTAGGGAGAGAAGCGCAGTTTGACGACGGTCACACAATCGGATAGCGCCTTCAGGTAGGTCACGCCGGGCATAGCAACCATACCAGCCTGGTTTTCAGCATGGTTGGATAAAAACATTATAGGCTCATAACCATCATCGCGGGCTATTACCCAACGTTGTACTACAAGGCATATGAACAAGATCACAGAAAGACCACCATTTCACTTCAGTTTATCAGCTTTCAGTTAACGTCTTTGGAAGTTTCCATTAAAGCGACTTGCGGGTATTGGTGTTGCAAAGGCCTTCAACGCGCCCAGGATTCGGTGGTTGAAGCCGATTACGCAACCGCTCGCAGAAAAGTGATGGGAGGGGATCAGGATTCCGTTTAATTGGGCCGTTCGGTTCTCCAATAACTCGGCGGAGATCCTTTTCAACGACCGGCGTAGGGTTCCGAAGCCCTGTTAATATTGGGGACGGGGAAGGTTGGTTTGTTGTAAGTTTGTTGGGCGCACCATGTAAGGCCGCCTATCCTAGCGTTCCACCGTTGCAATCGTGACGTGCTTCGCAGTTTGGTATTGTAAATGTATGAGCTGGGTGGGTGTGTGGTCGTGTGGACTTCGGTCAATGTTGTTGTGTGTGTACGGCGCGTCAAACGGTGCTGCGTTGAGCTAACTTGCCTCTGTAACTATTTTTTGTTTCGCCTGCCCTCCCTGGAAGCACGGGGGAAGCCAAAACGGTCCGGACAACTTGCACACAGACTGTCTTACAGGTGCAAAAGCGCGCCAACCGACCCACAAACCTAAACCGCAGCATGAAGCCGAACAGCGACCAGACCTGTCTTCCTCACCATACGCTCAATACCTAACCGCGCCCTCTACTACCACACCCATCTTAACCGTCCCCACTCGCTCTCTGTAAGCCCCTCCCCGCGGGTGTTGCTAACTGGAAAATGGGGTTGACACCAGAGTGCTGCGCCGGCCAGGGCCGTCCGCAGGTGCGCCCGCCAAGCTGCCGCTTCCTCCCCCAGGATAGGCAACCGCACGCAGGTGCACGAACAACCCCCCTCACCCAGTCGCTACATGCGTTCCACCACCTGCATGCGGATGGCCGGGGACAACCTAACGTAAGCCTGCACAGCTTCTGAACGCCAACGCCCATGAGCCTTGATAGCGTCCAAGCTCGCCCCCCCGTTAGCCGCCGCGGCGGAGGCTGTGCGCCGAGGAGCTGCCCATGTCCAGCCGTAGCTGCGGGTACGCCAGCTGCAAGCCGCCCAGTAGTGCCCGCATCCGCCTGGTGAAGTCACCCTTGCCCAGGGCCATGGGATGAGCTCCCCAGTTTGCGCCCCGCGTAAACAAAGGATGGTGCGGCTGCGCCCCCTCGGCCAGGGCGCGTGTCAGGTGCCTCGCCACCACGCCCTCCACCGGGATGCCGCTGCCCGAGTGCCTCGCAAGGACGATGGATGCCCCCGCTCCGAATTGGTCCGTCTTGCTCCGCGCCACCCCGAAGCCACGCCACCCCCGGTAGGCCTCCGATTTCCCCCACCCGGAGGCCGGCGAGCTCGCTGCGGCGCAGCATCCCAAAGAAGCCCAGTACGAGCCAGCAGGCGTCCTGAGCGCGCTCCGCCGCGGTTTCCGGGCTGCCCGTGTTAAGCCACGCCACCAGGAGGCACAGCAGCGGCGTGGGAAAGGGCGCCTTCTGCCGCGGGGCGGCGGGCACGGTTTGCGCCCGTGCCCGGAATGCCTCAGCCAGGATGCGGCGGACCATGGGGTCCCGCCGCACAGTCTGCCCCGCCGGGACCCCTGGGACGGGAACGCTGCCAGTCCACCAGGGCCGGCAGAGTTCCTTCTACCGTCGACGGGGCGAAGCACGGCGCTGCATAGGTGGTGAACAGGCGGTCGGCGAGGTGTTCCACCCGGCGGCCTCCAAGCTGCTGTCCCACACCTGCCTCCTGCAGCAGCGCCTCCTGCGCCGGCACTGGAACCAACTGCCCGGGTACCCGCCCGCCGCCAGCCCCAGGCAGCGGCGGTGCCACCAACCATGGCAGCGCTCACATTGCACGTCCGCCGCGTCCGCTCCTCCGCCGCACGCCTCGCAGCAGCCGGGCCTCCCAGCCAGAACACCTGCGCCGGCTGGGGGAGGGACGGGGAAGGAACAACAGCCCCCGCACGGTTAGCCCCCGGTCCCCAGCTGCAGCAGGAGGAAATCATAAGGCGCCGGCCGCGCCTTGGCGCCCCACGGCCACTGACACAGCTGCCTGCCCGCCCGGAGCACCCCCGCCACCTTAAACGGCGATTGCTTCCGCCTGACCCAGGACCGGAACCACGGCCTCTCCGGCCAGGAGGGCACGAGGACCAGCGCCCGCCTTCGCTTATCCTGCTGCCAGGCCTGCTGCAGAACGCTCAGCACCTCCCCCACTAGGTCCTGAGGTGGGAACGCCCACAAGCGCTGCCCTTCCAGCGCCGGCCCCTGGGCCAGGATTGAGTTCGCGGCGCTGAAGTACGTGCCGTACCCCGGTTGCGCGTTTTGCCCCTGGGCGTCGCAGCAGCAGTCAATGGTCGGCCACCAACCCGAGCCGCGGCACAGCTGGCGGAAGACGCTAACATCCTTACCTAACCATGTAAGCCGACTGGCAGGTATCACGAGGATGCGCACATGTCGGGTATCAATGTCCCAAGTCTTTATAGCTAGGCATATAGGTGAGCCGACGGCATCAACTGTCAAGTTGTGAGGATGCCGAAGATGCGCACATGCTCCAAAATCATTTCCTCAGATACCTGCTGCTGTGTTAGCGGACGCCATGTTACGAGTTAGGAAAGTGCCACTGCGGGTTTGTTCAACAACCGGGAGGGGACCTGGGGGATGCGAACACGTGGGTGGCTGTTGACACGCACGCCCAGTGATAATTACGAACATCGCACAACGTGGGCGAGACTACCCTTCCACCAGTTAGGCATACCGCATCATCGCACCACCACCACCATCATACACATCATGATAGATGGTGCCGTCCATCATCGTACACCACCATCGTGTTTTCTCCTGCACGGTGTTAATATCATTACAAGCCGGCCCATACGCACGACGTGCAGTGGCAGGTCTGGGAGACGGGTTGGTAGTAGGCGGCTGGGTGAGGCGCAACTTGGCCTGCCGTGTCCTAACCGAAGCTGCTAAGCAAGGTTTTGAGCACCAGGCTGGCCCCGTGGCTTAGCCCGGAGGCGTTGTCCCGTACTGGTTACGACTGCAATGTTTCCCGAATACCGATGCAGTAATGTGGCTTACATTCGTTATGGGTTAATGCGTGCCCAGCTGCGACGAGTTCACTACGACGAAGAATGACGGACGGCAATGTACAACACCGCTACGAGCGGCACACTACGACTTGTGCACACCCTGCTGGTCCCTTGAAGCATCTTTAGTGCACCAGTCTCAACCTCCATGACCCGAGAGATAAGTCCGCAACGTCGCCCTGCTGCCAGTCACGCACCCCTACCTCCAGTTCATAGCAGCACGTGCAACACGACTGGCGTAGATCATACAACCCCTACTGTACAACAGCGCCATGCACGCGGGGCCACCTGCTCCTCCTCTTCGCAGGACAGTCGGGGACAGTCCAGCAGTCCTCTTGCGACCATGAGTCCCCGCATACCCGAGGATGCCGGTACTACTTCACTCGCTGGTTAAGAAAAGGCAACATGGCATCAGCGTACCGGTATGATCATACAGTTAGTTACCCAGGACGCAACGAAAGTTTGTCAGTTCAATGCTGCTAGTATTCCAACCGTTACAACTACCCCTGCCAGCCAGTCAGCTGCTGTCAATTAAGCCCATGTGCCATACAATGCGATTTTAACTTACAGACATACCGTTAATTATCATCCCAACTGCCCAACCGCCAATCGCCGTGCGTGCATGCGTGCCTGCAATACATCACCCTCCCTTGCCTGCCACTCCCTCCTATTCAACTTTCAGTTCCTTTGCACAATTTTCTCTCGCTCCAAGTAGCCTTCATCTCCCTTCATCTACCTTCATCAGGAGCTATACCCTCTTAACTCCTACTCAGCACCTCACATCCTCCTGCTTCTCGCCAACCGTATACCGCCTTCCTCCTCGTCTCCACTCATACCTATCCTCTTCTTCACTTGTAGCGCTTGAGGCCGTAGTCCTTCATCGTGAACTCGTACACATCTCGGATCTGCACGCCGTTGTACGGCATACGGTGTGAACGTACGACAAACGTGAAGACGGTACGACAGGTGGAATAATCCGTATGGGTAGGATTGAGAGTAACCTTACCTTGCGGACATTGCTCGGCAACATGTTCGTTTACCATTTGTGTTGTACGGAGAATTGTCCTCGTACGGCGTATTCCCCCACCATGCATCTTCATGCGTCTTTCCCCTTCACAATGCAAACGTCGTACAAAACACACGCGAACCCCTCCATCCCGTCCCTCACCTGCAGGTGTGTGTTGAAGCAGATGAGCCCCACCCCCTCAATGGGCACCTGCCCCACCGGCTGCTCTAGCGCCTCCCCTGCCGCCGCCACACCCGCCACCACCCCCGCCTTCGCCCCCGCCAGGACCTGCTGAGTCTTCTCCTTCACCTTCTGAGCCAGACCCGCCTGCTGCTGCTGCTGCTGCTGCCCCTGCTGCTGTCCGGCCGCTGCTGCCCCCTGTGCCGGCTGCTGCTGCAGCTCCTGTCGGGGCACTGCGTTGGCGCGCCAGTGCTGGAAACCCAGCTGCGGTGTGAAAAGGGAGGAAAGAGAGGGAGGAGGGTGTAAGCCCAAGCACTCCGGACATCTACGATCCTGACATCTGCAGTTACGCCTTTTCGTAGCTCACACATACATACAGGGTACCGGTAGGACAGTGCCCAAGGGGGACCGTAATGGAATGCAACCGTACGGCACACAAGGGCTGGGCTCTTCTCCCGGGGAGTCGCGGCCAGTTTCCTTAACACACATGACATTTGCGCATCACCTTGTGTTCAAACGAAACGGCGTATGACACCAGTTGATTGCGGTTGTCGTACTGGTTGTGCGTCCTCTTAACCGCCTCCCGCGCCTGGTCGACTCCCTGCGGTACCGCAACGCACGGCATAACGGTGGTGGTTGGGTCAGGAACTGGGTGGGGAGGGGTGAGATGGGGTGGGGCGAGGAAGACAGGGCTGGCCAAGAGGCGCATTGGGCCATGGGACACTGCGTGTTCAGTCACTACCCAACCCACCCGCCAATGCGCCAACCCACCACGTACCCCAATGGGGGTCTTTTGACGATCATGGAAGCCCCCCTCCGCGCTGTCCAACCACCTAAAAACTAACCCACCAACCTGCCAAACAATGCCGTTGGGTTTGTTGGAGAATCCGTACGCATCGAGTTCTCGGCAGTTGGGGGCAAGCAGCTGTGGTGGTGGGAGAGGGCGGGGCGGTACGGTGATAAATTGTACGGCAACACTCGTGCACGACAGAACTACCACTAACAAGGCATTTGACGAGCAGCCACATGCGGGTGCGACATACTGGTACGGCACTTCACAAGCGGTCGTCTCTGTCGCCTGCTCCAACCCCACGCCTCCACCTCGCACCCCCAGCCACCCGCATCCCTTCTACATGGTACAACAGATAAATCAGGGTGGCTAGCCGACTATCGCCTCGTACACCACCATCATCCACACACCCCGCTTTCCTCCTCCTCCCGCCCCGGCCCACCTCTGGCAGCTTGTCCAGGGGCGCCTCGCTGCTCCACACGCCCGCCCACTTGGAGATCTGCTCGCTCATGAACTTGTAGTCGTCGGGCCCCTGTGCGTGCATGGGGCGGGGTGGGGGGAGGGGCGGAGCGCGGAGGAGGGGGACGAGAGGGCGCGGAGGAGTGAGACGGCAGATGGGGGAGGCGCGTGTTTAGGGCGGCGCAGAGCAGGAACAGCACAAGAATGGAAGCCCCGCATGGGGTCCCTAGCAGGCAGCAAAACCGGATGTAGCGCATTCTTTGCTGCGTGTAGTGTGCGCGTCCACTGCTGTGGCAGGAAGCTAGTAGAACAGTGGACAGCAGAAAAGGCTTAGCAACGACCGCAATTACGGTGAATGACCACGAGCGCCATGTACGACAACGACTCCTTATCACACGGCAGCCGCCCGCCTCACCGCGACCACGTCCGGTACGGCAATGAGGTCCTTCTCCTCCACTACTGCGGGTTGCCAGGCGGTGGGGTCGGGCAGCAGGGCGTCGCGCTCCTCCAGGGTGAGCTGGCGGGTGACCAGGGATGAGACGAAGTGGCCTAAGAAGGGTAAACGTAAGGTGGGGAGGGGAGAGGGTGACCCGTGGGTCGGGAGGGGGGTATAGGAGAGGAATGCGAGGTAGTGGTGGCTCGGTGGGTGGGGAAGTGGGTTGGGAGGGTGGCCAAGGAGGCCAGGTGGCTTGGAAGGGCCAGGTGAGGGAGAGGGATAAAGCGAGCACCGTACCACGTCAGTTGTGTGTTACAATGATGCCGCTGTCGTCCGACAACGGCAACGCCAACGAACGCGTACCCATGCCGAACCGATGTTGCATCAATTTGTACGGCACACCGAGCTACTTCCCTGCCGTACCTTCCTTGTCGAACGACAGCTTGTCCACCAAAAAGCCCTTGCTGATGCTGCAGCATCAACGAGAAGAAGCCAAGGAGGGAGGGCAGAGGGGCAGGCGGGTGGGGCACTAGGCGCAGCAGAGGCCTGTTCATGCAAGGTGCTCCAAGCGAGGCGTATGGCCCACCGGCGTATGGCCCACCGGCCCACCCCACCCCACATTCATGCAGGCAATCATGCATGCACCCGCCCCTCCGCCTTAACTTGAGTGGTCGCCTAGCTTGGTCTCTTTCTGGGTGCCCCCCCTCCCTAGCTACCTGCCAGCCGCTGAACAGCGACCCGTGGGCCCTCACAAGCTCCCCACACGCCCCCACCTGCCCCACTGGGGTACAGGTTGCTACTAGTCCCCCCATCTTACTTACGGTCAGATAGATCCTTCCACCTAAGTAACTAACACCATGCCCCTGCCCTCCGCCAGGCCCCACCTACCGATTAGTCGGCTCATCCCGCCCGAACAGCGACCCACGGTTCCGCAGCACGTAGTAGATGGCGCTGAACACCACCCCCTGCTCCTCATTTACCGCGGAAACCACCGGACGATACACCACGTGCTCGTACGCAGTGTGCTGACGTGACAGCGCGTTGGCAAGTTGCCGTACGTCTGCGAAGGAGGAGAGCCGTACACGCTTACTCTTCCTTGCCGTACACAGTAATTTGTTCCGGTACTACCGGTAGCCAATAGCCGCCATTAAATGGTTAGGGGGGGTTCTGAGTTGCGAGGAGCGAGCCCGCCCCGAAGGCCCCTACCCCTGCCATCCCCACACATCCCCTCCGCCGCCCTCACCTCGCGTCCTGTCATGCTGGTAGATCACTCCGTCCGCGAGGAAGGTGATCCCGCGCGGTCCAATCATGGGGCTCAGCGCAGCAGCCACCTCATCAGCAGACTGGTTGGCGGCACCGCCCGTCACCTCCGCGTAGCGCTGGGCGCGCTGGGGAGAGAGTGCGCAGTGAGGGAGGGGTGGAGGCGTTGGGAGAGGGTTTGGGTGTTCGAGGAACAAGAGGAGAAGGGCGATGGGAAGAGGAAGTAGGAGGGGATGCGTGAAAGCGCAGTCACGCAGTACCGCCGGACGTCATCTCGGCACAGCGCAGAATGCATGCGCGAGCGTTCTAGGCACATATATACCACAACCCTGTCGTGTCGCACGCACCTGAAGCATCAGGTCGGTTAGGGCCGAGCGGTACGACACCACCTGCGCGCGGAATGGTGGTACGGCCGACAGGTGTGTGTTTGGTTGAGAAGACGGACCGATTCAGTGCAGCGCGCTGTAAATGGCATAGTAATGCTGCGGTAATAAACCCCACAACTGAACGCGGCCAAAAAGGAAACACACAGCAGTGTCTAGAATGGTTCATATCATACATGCTACAGGTGGTCGTGACCCATGGGTCGGATGAAATGTAACAGTAGATTTTGGATCGGCAGATTCTTGCGATGCGAGCTCTCAGCAAGCAACCGGTTAGCTCCATCAATCAAGAAAGGGAAGTGCTCGCAACAAAGCAAGTAGGATGAAATAGGTCACAGAGAAAACGGCAGGCGGAAAGGGGGCACAGAGCACGCAAGATGACGACACAGACGCAGCTCTTGATACTCCCACCTGAAGGCGGCCCCGGGCGGGTGCGTGGCTGCGCTTGCAGGGCGCCGCAGCCAGGGCAGGATGCCGGTCGGCTTTGCGGGCAGCTCGGATAGCGGTTGGACGCGAAGAGGTCAACATTCTTCTTCCTATCGGCTCTTTTCTTACTCCTCTGTACTCCTAAGTCTTTGATGGCTGTGGAGCAATCAAGTATTTACTGACGGTATGCTGTGTTGGTTGCTGTGAAGAGGTCCAGGACTGTGCTTGCGGTTTTTTACGTAACAGGAAGGTTGCCGATATGGCTGTTAAGTGCCTGTGTTAAGCAGTTAATAACGAAAGGAATTACGTTCCGTGCACAAGGCTCCACGCATATATGCATCGTGTCTGACGCAATCGCAGCCTCGGACCTCGTCGATCCACCGGCAACTGTTTTGTCGTACGGTTGCTACACCTGCCGCGTCTAGGAGTCAGCTTTTGTTAAGGAAAAAAACTGGCCGCGAGGAAGAACGTACGGTACCCATATGTGTACTTCCTTGCCTTTGTGGACACTCCCGCAATATTTCCTTCGAAGCAACCGCAACCGTCCAGACTTTGAAACTTTTGGAGGGAAAGAACTTGTTACTTAATTGTTTGTGCTTGGAAGCCGGCCAGATAGAGGGCACGGGGAAAGGGGTTTAGGTAGGAACCGTGAAGAGCGCGGGTGCCAGGTAGCGGTGGGCCCTGGTGGGTGGGCTGTCAGGTGGTCGCAGGCGCACAGACGCGGGGGGTAGGAGTGTGACAAGAGAAAGCGGGGGTCGCGTTTGGCGTGTCCTGGGCAGCAAGCGGTGCGGGTAGTGGTTTGGGTTATGGGTTCGGTGCGGTGGCATGTGGGCTGCGGTAGGAGGTCCGTTTGCGGATGCGTAAGAGGAGGACGGGGCAGCTGGGGAGGATGAAGGCTTGGCGAGGGGAAGCTGGGGTCCCGGATCTCGATTGCTGTCACCTAGGGCTGTGGAGGGGCAGGGGGACAGGTCAACATGTTGCAAAAGGATAAGAAAAAGGAACCCTTGCTTTATGTGTGTCGCTGTTTCCCTTGTGCCGTGCCACAAGGCACATCTGTGCACCATTACTGCAGAGCCGTGCGCAACCCTCCTCCTCGCGGCACACCTCATCAACCCGTCCCTATCGCATCCCTGACGGCATCGCCCTCCGGCATCTTCCACACGTGTCAGGCCGTGGCCCACCTGGACCCGCTACTTCCCTTTCCAACGCGGAGCCCCTAGCAAACTCCCTGCTCACATGCACCATTGTGCCAGCGGCCACCCACGGCCCACCTGAACGAACTAAATCAACTAAAACCCTAGGAACTATCCACAAGCAACGCGCTTCCTCCAACCCCTATAATCCCGAAGAATGAACCCCTAGAGATTCCTTACCGCCCAAACCGCCCCACCACTTCCATCCCGTTCCCCTCCAGATCCGCAAACCCCTCCCCTTCTCACCAAGGGCATCGACAGCCTGTGGTGTTGTGAAGTACTGCCGCGGCTTGGGGGGTACTTTCGTACTGGGTGTTGGAATGTGGAGGCGGGGTTTTATGGCTAGAGGTCAAGGAGTATTCCTAGTGCAATGCACTTGGCATAATGACAAGTGGAAAGGGTGCAGCACGGTGACGTGCATGAAGGCAGGTTGGCGGGCTGACAGGCAGGTTGGCTGGCTGGACCGACGTGTATATGCAACCTTAGCTGCGAACCATGCACTCCGCCAGGTGGGATGTTTGTTGAGTACCTTTCGAGCATGGTGCTGTTGTTGTCGTGGAAGGTTTGCAGGATAGGAGGCCCAACTCACCGCACAGTGCTCAGGCTCACCGCTCAGTGCTAGCACAGCAGTTCAGGGGTCCACGCCGGTTCAACAATTGATGCCGCATGTTGCAACCTGTACGTCAAGACATCGCAGTCTTGCACAGTTATTTCTGGACATAGATACGCTCCAGTTGCCAGGTTGCCAGAGGGCGTGGGGAAAGGAATTGTAAGTGTCAACCGACTTTGCGCAACCCGCTTGCTTAGGAGGGGCGCATATAAGGCCGGCATTATCACCAGTGATGTAGAAATCTAACCTGTGTGACAATTCGTGCACAAACGTTACATAAAGACCCGACTGCAAGATTCCTGTATATTGCCAGGGAAGTACGGCAAAAGATGCTGTTTGCTTTCTGCGGCTCCTGCTAGGCCTTGTCTAAATCATAGAAGCGTTAAGTCTACAATTGAGCTAGTAATACCTGCATAACGGCCATCATAGGATACTCCTGCTCGCGGCTAACTTAACGAAAGCCGGTGTCTAGCTGCCATTTATATGATGCCAGAGCCAACTATTCGTCGCACAGACGCAAAAGCGTTCTTTGGTAAGCGGCCGGCTTGCCTGACTTAATCAGCCACCGCAGATGTGCTTATTGTTCCTCGTTAACATCTCCTGCAGCGAATGAGCGTACGTTTCTTCATTGGATGAGCACAGCAGTTACAATCGGAGGTATCGCGGCAGCTTTGTCAGGTAGGCACCATTCGTAAGCAGGAGCCTCTTCCAGTCGATGGAAGTAAATAGGCTTGCATGGCGGGTCTTGGTATACGCCAACATGGAGCGTTCCTGTGCAGGCGTCGCGGGACATGCCCACAGGCACTGGGGCGACGAATTCACAGAGCGAGCCATCGTCGTGCGCGTTGTCTCGCTAGTCATGCTGTTCATCTCAGTAGTCATCGCAGTCTGGGGAGGGCTAAACTTCCAGAAGCGAGCAATCTTCCTCGAGTAAGCAGGGATGGGTGGGACAAGGGGTCTTTAGGGTTTGGCTGTTGCAACCATCGCTTGCAAGCGTATCTTGCGTTTGGGAAAGCCGGAATCTCATGCTTGATCGCGGAATCACTTGCCATACATCAGCTGACGGCCACCCAAACTGGTGCGCCCTTTCCGTACTTGCAGAGCCAAGGCTGACGGTCCGTACGACAGTCGCTTCCTACCCGTCATGCTCACCGTGTGCATGGCGCTCTCCATGTCTGTAGTCTTCGGAGGTGCCGTGTACCGGTTGACCAGCACGTAAAGCGGAGCCTGGAAGACGTGCGTGCAAGTGGTTGTGGGTGGGGTGAGTGGGATTACAAGTGCAGGAGTGTCTAGGTTTAGAGGTTGCCAGACAGGACATACTCAGACGTGCTGAACTGCGGAATAGCGCAGCATGCTGCTACCGGTAGGTTCGACATGACGTGCTGTTGTCAAAGAGACAGGGCGGATCGAGAAGGGGGGTTGCTTCTGGTTCTGCAAGACGCTATGCTCCCAGGTATTGTCTTTGGACCCGGCACATGTGGTTTCTTACTGGAGAGCATTGGTAATGCTAGCTTTCCTTTCGAGTTTGGCATCCTGGTGAGACTGAAGGTTTGACAGGGGCTGACGGGGGCTTCGACACATGGGGGGTAGATTCAGATACTGACTGACCGTGTATCCTTGAGAGTTACTTGCCGAGTAACCCATATCCAACACGGTAACCCATATGCAACACGGTGCCATGTGCTTGGGTTCCTATATGCATTTGTATAGCTGTAGCGGAGTATTTTGCGGTTTTTAATGGTGCACTTCGTCATGCAACGGTGCAAGAGGGATTCGTGAGTCTCGACATGGGGGTTTCGGACTGGAGGGGAGGAACTGGTGCAACGACAAGCAGGCTGGTGCTACTGCTCACGATGTTATTGGGAAAGCGATATGTTGTTTCCGCGGATCCATGTGTTGTAGCCAATGGCAAAGAAATGTGAGGTGCTGCTACTACGACTTGTACCTCAACAAGCCCACAGCTGTGTTACTTCTTACGTTGTCTACGTGCACGACGTACGCGGCAACGGCTGTCCACCGCAGTGCATCCATTTACATCGGGGAAGTTGCTGTAACTATGCAAGGCGTTGTCCTCAGGCGCGACCGCTACGCTGCTATGCAATCGAAGAAGGTGCCCCATGTGAAGCGCGTATATGATGTCCTGACAAAATCCACCCCAAAAAACCTGGTTACACAACGACCAGTGCGGTAGCGCCATTCTGGCTTAAGGGCATCCCTAACAAATGCGCCACTGATGTATCATCGGCATCATAAAGAGCGTCAGTGCGAAGGCAAAAGAGAAAAAACCGGGAATGGGGTTTAGCAAGATCATCCATTCAGTATACAGAAGTATTACACAAGAACGCTAACTGGCTCTAATGCAAGGCAAATGTGGCTGGCATTGGGTAGGTCACATTGCGGTAAAGGCATCTTAGACCTAATCCGTACAGGCTGATACCTTGATGCCTTGCTGCCGGGTTAGGCAGGGCACATCGGATTTGACGTATAGCATATGCTTGGTTGCCCTGCGTGTCTCACACATCCAAATCAATTGGGTTACCTTTTGCGCCATTTCCAACGTCTTAGCAATCGCGGCCTAGCCCCCGTCGGTGCAGGAAAATGAAGTATGGAAAGTATATTGAAAGTAAGATAAAGCCAGAATGGAAAGATTTCTACATTGATTACAAGGGTCTGAAGGACCTGATTAAGGAATGCCAGAAGGAGGCGGAGACGGCCGGCGCCACCAGCTTTTCACCCCGCACAACCTCTCTGACTGTGCAACGCTACACCACGACAAAGGACTCCAGCCAGGAGCTCTTCTTCAGGCGCCTGGAGCGCGATGTAGGCTACAACGCTGTCTGACTGCTGAGCACTCGCTATCGATCGGTTTACCGCTACCCGGATGTCATTTGCATCAGCACTTGATGCAACCATGTGCAGGTTGTTTGCTTGCATGATACCCCAATTAGTAAAGGAAGCCCTTGCCGTGTGCAACGTCCCACGTGTGCAGGTTGAGAAGGTCAACAAGTTTACCAACAAGCTGGTGGAGGAGATGCGGGCGAGCCTCAGGAACCTGAATGCAAAGGCGGAGAAGGAGACGCAGCCGGAGAAGAAAGACGAGCTGCTGAAGGCACGTGCTTGGGTGGTTGCAGTGGTTGTTACAGGACACCGGGCATATACCACCAGGCATATTAATCATGAGCTGTAGGAAACGGGAAGAAGGGACGGGGTCAGGTGGGGTAGCCGTTGTCCAATCTGGGGTGCTACGGTACGGCTGCGTGCGGGTGCACCATTCCCCATGGGGCCTGAGGGAAGTCACGTGGGGTCGTACGTCGTATATTGCGGCACGGAGGCGGCTGGGAAGGCCTCGTCGCTGTGGCCATGCGTCGCATCTTAATACCGTTCCTGTCACCGCATGTTACACTGCACGATGTGTCATGGCCGAGCCGCTGTTCCGACGCCCTGCACCTGCTCCTCCCACCGCAGGAGGCGCAGCGCATCGGCGATGACTTCCTGGCGCTGGAGAAGTTCGTTAACATCAACTACCTGGTGGGTTGGTGGAGGGGTGGTTGGAGGAGTGGGGGCAGGTCGGGCATGGGGGGGGGCACGGAAGGATGAAGAGAAGGTGTGGGGGGAGTGAAGTGAGGTATTGGTGCGGGGAAGGGGCATGTGCGGGAGCAGAACCTGTCGGTATCAGGGGGGAGGGCTAGGGACGGGGAGGGGAGGAGCATGGGTCCCAAGAAGGGGTTGGAAAGAGGAAAGGTAAGGGGGAGGAGTGGGGGGAAGGAGGGGCTCCCTGGCGAGCTGGCGGGGGGCTTCAAAGGAGCGGGAGGGAAGGGAAGGGAAGGACAGGGGGGAAGGGGAAGGAAGGGGGAAGCCGGGAAGGTGGGGATGCGGAAGGAGAAGCGGGGGAGGGGAATGCCTGGTTGTATGGTTGTACGGTTGGACGGGGGTTCTGGCTGGTGTCATGGCAGAGGACGGGAAGGGAGGGCGAGAGGAGGTACAAGCAAGGTGGTGATTACCCCTCCATGCCTCCTCGGGCCTTTCTCTGCAGCTCTTTAGACCCATGTCCGGCCTAACACACTCGCCCTCATCTTCCCATGTGCCCCCTCCCCCTCCCCTCCCTCTCACATTGGGATTTTTCTTTTTCCCCTCCCTCTTCCCCACCCCCTCCCTTTCCCCAGGGTTTCCACAAGATCCTGAAGAAGCACGACAAGTGCCTGCCGCATGCGCCCTGCCGCCAGTTCTACGTGGCGCACCTGCACCAGCAGCCCTGGGTGCAGGTGGGGTGGGGGGGACTGGGGGGAAGAGGGAGAATACCCAGTGGGGGGTGCGTGCGCCGTTATGTAAGGTTTTTACGGGCTCTGAGGAGGGAACTGGGGCGGGCTGCAAGGGGAGGTCTTGTCCTCGGAGGCTGCGCCTGTCTTGATGACGAAATGGCCACCTTCTTACCCCCCTCCTCCCCCAGGGCAACTACAGCGACCTGCTGGTGTCGCTGTCCAACATCTACTCCAAGCTGCGAGGCGACTCATCGGGGGAGAAGAACGAGGACGCGGCGCAGGTGGGGAGGGAGGGAGGGAGGGGAGGGAGCAGGCGGGGGGGGGGGTAAAGAGGAAGGAACAGCGGGGAGGGGGACACGAGGTGGGAGGAGGCCGCAGGCCACATACACGGTCGGCGCGGAAGGCGGGGATGGGGGGAGTCGTATGGACGAAGGGTGGGGAAAGAAGGATACCCAATGTGTTGTGACACAGTGGTAAACTAGCGAGAGGTGGGAAGGGGGTTCCAGCAAAAGCGGGTATTGTAGGGCAGGCGGGGCATGGGGTGCCCGGCAGGGGTGCCCGGTATGCGGCAGACGGAGTAGAGCCCTTAGCAAACTCACTCGTGGAAAGACGCCTTGATTGCTGCCCTGTCACTAGCCCCTACAGCTACCCGCTTGACGTCTGCACCAGCCGCTACCATTACCCACCTGCTGTGCCTGACGCCCCCACCCAACCTCTCCCCCCCTCCTCCCCCCCTGCCGCAGGGCTTTGTCCGCAGCACCACCAAGTACTGGGTGCGCAACGAGGACGTGTCCACCGTGAAGCACCACGTGCTGCAGCACCTGCCGGTGTTCCAGTTCGACAAGAACAACTTCACGGGGGATGCGCAGGTGGGGGGGCGGGAAGGAGAGGGAGGGGGCAGGAGTGACCCATGGGCCGGGGGAGGCTTACACGTCGGTCGGCAGCAGCGCTTCGCCCCTACCTGTCCACCCAGTCCTACACACAAACCCTCACACCCTCTGTCCCCCCCACCCTCCGCCCCTCCCCCAGCTGATCAACTCGGTCTACATGGACAACTCCAACCTGGAGCTCTACCACGGCCGCCTGGACAAGAAGCCGGGCGCGATCGCACTGCGCATCAGGTAGGGAGGGGGGGGGGTAACAAAGAGGTGGGGAAGGAGGTGAAGGGGCCGGAGGGAGGAGGTGGAGGAGGGAGGACAAAGCCATACAGGAGAGAAAAATTGGAGGGAGGATTGGAGGTGGCAAGTACAGGAGGGGGCAGGACGGGCAGCTGCTAGGGGCAAGAGGCGGGAGGCGGGAAAAGGATGGGTGTTTTGGTGCGGTGAAAGAAGGGGAGGAAGGCTGTTATGGAAGGGCTAGAAGAGTGCGTATATGGGTGACAGTGGAGATGGCTGCACCGGTGGATTCAAGTATACACAACGAAACACACACGCACGCACGGACGCACGACCAGGGTGAGCCGTACCGAACGCCTTCAATGTACGGCATGCCTCCCTCCACTCCCGCGGGTCAACAGGTGGTACGGCAGCAACCCGCCCAACATGGTGTTCTTCGAGCGCAAGACGCACAAGGAGAGCTGGAAGGGCGAGGAGTCGGTGAAGGAGCGGTTCACGCTGCCCAGCGACAAGGTAGCCCGGGGGGGAGGGGGGCGGAGGACGGGGGCAACTGGGTGATGGGGCTAGGGGTGTTGGGGGTCAAGCAGGGATGTCGAAGACCGGGAAGTTGATGTGAGGCGAAAACGGATTGACTAGCACACGCCCCCCAGTCCGGTGGTTCCTGGGTGGGGCGCCGCGAACGTGAGCTTCCTTCTCCTTCGTCTTCTTCCTAGCATGCTTCCTCACACCCCTCCTCTACCTGATCCACTGCCTGCCCCCCTGCGCCCCCTGTTTCGTAACAAACTGCTTCCCTCTATCCCCATTGCTTTGCCATAAACTGTGGTTCTGGGTATACCCCCTCCCCCCTGCAGGTTGTTGCCTTCATGGACGGCGAGTACACGCTAGATCAGGCGCTGGCGGACCAGGAGGCGGTGGCGGCGCGCAAGGGCAAGTCGCTGAGCGAGGAGGAGCGCGAGTCGTACAGGACCCTCTTCACGGAGGTCTACAAGGCGGTGGACTCCAAGCAGCTCAAACCGCTCGTGCGCACGCAGTACATGCGCACGGCGTTCCAGGTGTGCGGGTGTGCGGGCGTGTTCAGGAAACCCGGCCGCGAAGAAGAAGAAGAGCGTACTGTGATTGCCATGGGTGTATGTGGTGGTGTTGGTGGTGGTCGTGCTGAGAGCGGGGAGCGGGAGATGCATGGCGCAGCCTTGCTTTCGTCTTCCTACCCACCCAAGTCCGCACCCCACCCGCCATCCTGTTTAAAATTTAGCCCTTTTGCTCCCTCCCTCCCCCGCCCCCCAGATCCCCTTCGACGCCACCGTGCGCATCTCGCTGGATACCAACCTGTGCATGATCAAGGAGAACCCCGAGGACGGCCCCTCCTGCGCCGCCACCGGCCGCTGGTACCGCGACCCCGCGCTGCCCGTCATGCGCACCGAGATCACCCGCTTCCCGCATGCCGTGCTGGAGGTGAAGCTGTCGCTGCAGGAGGGGCAGCAGGCGCCGGCGTGGGTGCAGGTGAGGGGGGGAGGAGGGTGTGGGGTGCTACTCTGGTTGGGTGGGCGGGTGGGTGGTTTGTGGTGCTGCTGCTCCTCCTCCCTCCTGTGCAGCATGCGGTTAGTACGGTGCTTACATCGCTGACCATTCCGCGGTACTCTCAAGGGTGTCATTCAAGTTACCGCGCCATGCTCAGTTGCATCCGCTCTTCCCGCTTTGTACGTTGCATCCCCTCCCACCCTCCCATTATGACCTCCCATGGCTACGGTCAGCGTTTCCTCACAGCTCTGTATGTCCATTTAACCCGCTACTCCCTTACCTCATTGCTGCTACTAACCATAACATTTTCAGTTGCACGCTAACCCGACTACCCAGCCTAATGCGGAATATGTATCCTTATTTTACCCCCCCACCCGCTCGCCTCCTCCTCCCCCCAGGAACTGCTGGACTCGGGCTACCTCACCGAGGTGCACAAGTTCTCCAAGTTCATCCACGGCTCCGCAACCCTCTTCCCAGGGGACGTACGAGCAGTGCCGTACTGGGTCGACGACGAGTCCGTACGCGCCTCCATGCTCGCCTCCGCGCCCTCGCCCGTGGACGCCGCAGCCGGCAGCGGTGCTGGCGGCAGCGCCGACGGCGGCTCGGATGTGGACGTTGAGACGGGCGGCGGTGGCGGTGCCAGCACCAGTGCGCCCTCCGGGGGTGGCGCGGCGGGCGGGGGTCGCAGCAAGCCCAGGGCGCGGCGTGGCGGGTTAGGCAAGGGGAGTGCGGAGCTGGAGGAGCTGTCTCACCCGCTGCTGGGGGAGCAGCCCACGCTGAAGCTTATGCCGGACCCCAACCGAGTGCAGGGTGGGCTGGGGGGGTTGGGTTCATATGGGGTTGGAATGGGGTTTGTGCTTTGGGGCACTTGAGGATGGGGGTGAGGATTGGGGCGGGGTGGCTTGGTTGTGAGGCGGGTTGGGTAAGGTTTATGGGTCCATGTTTGTTTCGCACATAGCTGGCTCCAACCCCCTCCCTCTCAAACCCGGCCCCTCCCCACCCCTCGCACCCCCCCCCGCACAGGTTTCCGCCCTCAGGCCCTCACTGCCTCCTCAGGCCACGGCGGCTCCTCGGGTCCCCGCGAGCCCGGCTTCTTCTCCCGCCTGCTGGGCCTGGTGCCCCCGCCCTCGGGCGCCGTCCGCACCACCCCCATGCGCATCGAGCCCAAGACCTTCTTCGCCAACGAACGCACCTTCCTGGCGTGGCTCCACATGGCAGTGACCCTTGGGTCGGTCTCCGCGGCGCTGCTGGGTTTCGCCGCCGGTTCCGACAGTGACGACTCGGGCTCCGAAACCGGCGGCCAGGCCATCAGCCGGCACCTAGTGGAGCTCATTGCGCTCATCTTGCTGCCCCTGGGGGTGGCCATGTGCTGCTACGCGCTGTACGTGTTCATCTGGCGTGCTAGCAACATTGCGAAGAAGCGTGCCGTACACTTTGATGATCGCGTAGGGCCCTTGTGCCTGTGTGGCGCGGTGGTGGTGGCGCTGGTGGCGATCACGCTGCTAAGCCTGGTGGACTTTTTCGAGTTGTTGGCGTCGGCGGATGAGTCGGCGGCGCCCCCGCCGGCGGCGTTGTCGCCCATAGCCTTCTAATGGGTGCTGCAGGGGGACTGCGGGGCCCAAACGTTTATGACGAGTGGGATTGGATTGGAGGAGTGTCACTGTGGTGTCTTGTAGGGTGTGGTGCTTGGTTAGCAGCTGCGGGGTTGCGTGGTGCTGTGTGCTGCGGGTGGTGGGACCAGGGTGGGTTGTGTAGTTGTGGGTGTGGGTGGCGCCTGGCTTTGTGGTTAGACAGGATAGGCAGGACACAAACCCATTCCTATCTAGCCAGTCTTCTCGTATGAAGACAAGCATTGCAAAGTTGGTGACGGCGGCGGCGGCGACCTTGAGGTTGAAGTGGTGGCTCGGCTCGTGACGTGCGCGGCGGGGCGCTTGTGCTGCTAGGAGGGCAGAAAGAGGCGGGCGGTGAGGAGGAAGAGGACGTCGCAGGGGGGGTGGATATGGACTATTGGCTTAGGGGTGGAGCTGCACCGCGGTAGCTTTTGGGGGAGCGTGCTTTTCAGGGGCAGGGGGGGCGCGGGATGAGGGGGTGGTTTCGTAGGGGCAGAGCAATGAATGGCAGCAAATATGTTTGGTACTGGTGCGAAGCCTGGGCCATTCATGCAGCCTTTGCGCACAATGTCGTTCCTTGGCGGCAACCCAGGAGGCTCGGGCATGCCACTTCACCGCAAGAGACAAACCAGAAATCAGCGCGGAACGACGTGCAGGCAGCAGCGCAGAACGCGTAATTGGGGGGGTAAGAGACAGGGCGCGAGAGAACTGAGTTGCTGCTGCCTGACAGAGCGTGTCAAGTAGTGAGGTTCAAGTGTTAGCTGCTGGCTGAGGGGGATCTTGCACGGACAACGGGATGTGTTATTGTTGGCGAACCCTGGGGTTGAATTTTCTCCAGGTTGTTTCCTCCGGCATGGGAGCTGCCGCGTTCTTAACGTGGATGTTTATAGAGCTTCACGGAATCCTCCTGTAATCTTAGGAGGGTAGAAGCCCCTGCTCATTTCTTAGCTTGCTTTGGACAGTAGCGGTATGTTCCAAGCGGAGGTTTACTTATTGATGCTGGTGGTAAGGTGCGTGATATGTAGAAGCGGGCGAGTTGCACAGACAACCTCCCGCAAAAGCAAAGCTGTTGTACGACAGCGACATTACTACCTCAGCTGCTTAGTGGGCAACAGTGTAAGCCTTGGTGTGCAGGTCGGCATGGCACGCACCACCTCGGGCTGCGCACACGTACCATGCATGTCATGTGTAAGTGCCTGTCATGCTCATTTCAATCCTCCATGCTGAGGTACCGGAGTAGCGCGGACAGACAGCACAACAACCTGAGAGTTACGGGCTATCATTCGGCTGGGGCTTCCACTCGTCAGGCTATGGATATCCGAGGGGCGTTTGCAGTCTATAAGTACGTGCACACAAGGCGAACATGTCGGCAGAAGGATGCGCTCAACCCTTACAAACGCGTCATGCGGCTTAGAAGCCTTCATCGAACATGAAGTCCGAATCCCCCTTCACGGGACCCCACTGTCTCCTCAAGGGAAATCCGCTGACCGCTCGCTGGTAGCGTCTTACTAAAACACATCACACACACACCTCCCGCCAATGAAGGTGATGCTGTAGAAGACTCCGCGCACGCTTAGTTCCTAACCATTCCACTAGTACGATTCTCCAACCTGAACGTACTACAACCCTGCCCGCCTTGGGAATCCGGCACGTCAGTTGCCTGGGAACCCAATCAGCGTTTACCCCGCCGCCACCGCGCCTATTTGTCGTCATGATAACTGCCTCCTCGGAACCCAAGGGCGTAGCGTCACGTACCGGAGGACTGGACTTCAGCATGCTGGTCCATGTCGCCAAACCCGCCGAACCCCCACACGTCCATGCTCGCCGGTGCTGTCGTAGATCAGTAGCCTGCTGCGCTTACTTCAGCAGGTTCAGGGCCTCCACGTCAGTGGCGGAGCGCATGTGGAAGTAAGCCACGCAGAGCGCGAGGCCGATGGCCGTCTCACAAGCGGCGATGGTGGTAATGGTAATGGACATGATGGCTCCCGTGATGTCGTTCAGGTAAGCCGCTGAGAACAGGAAGTTCATGTTGCAGGCAAGCATGACCGTCTCCGCGCTGAGCAGCAGAATAATTAGGTTTCGCCTGAAGGCCACAGCGCCTACGATGCCCGCCCAGAACATCATGTTGGTCGTGTACATGAAGGTCGTGCCAAAGATTTCGCCCTCCGTGTAGTAAGTGCGAGCCGGAGCTGCTGGTCCCATGCCGGGCAGCATCGGCATTGCCGGACGCTTCAAGCTCGACAGGGCGCCCGCGCGTCTCCGCATCGGCATGCCCAGCAGAGTCGAAGCTGCGAAGCCAGCCGAGCCAGCAATTGAGGCGGGCACTGGCCGGTTGACAATGTTCGCAAGCTGCACTAGGGACGCAGTCGGTGCCATCTGACCAAGGCTGCAAGGCCGCTGCTGCTCCTCCTCCTTGCTGCTGCTAAAGAAGGCATGCTGCTGCTGAATGCCTGCAAAAAGTAACCAGCGGGGTTGGCTAGAGCAGCCGAAAAGGATTTCGGTACAACCTAAGCAACTGAGGCCGCCTTTCCTAGATACCCACCGGAGGGAACAGCATTGCATGACTGCGAAAGCACGCCAGGGCTCCCAGGGAAAGGCAGCAAGCGCCGGAGTAGCTGCGTCCTCGCCATTTTCGCACACAAACTCCTAACGCGTGTTCTACAAACAGCCTCTAGCAAAGCTATGCATTCCTTGCTGGAAACAAGCTCAGAAGTACGGTATAATGTCTTCGCCGTACGGAAGCGTTCATAGGATGCGCATTTGAAAGCATTCCGCTCATTGTTGTCGCATTAAACGTTCACGTACCAGAGGTAATTGTTGGAGAGAACAAGTCAGACTGAAGGGCCCTTTTCCGTGCTGAAATTGAGGATTGCTTGGAACCAAAGCCTCTTTGCATGGTTGGCTCTCTGGCTTTGCGGCTGTGCGTTCCTTCCTCTATTCCGAAGCACGTTGTGCAGAGGGCTATATACTGTTGTCCTGCTTACACTGCTTACTTTTATGGCCCGCGGGTCTTGCGGAATGTGCAAGTTCGGACGGCGTCTTGCTCGTGGCGGCGTTGGTAGGCCTTACTGCATGCGCTTTTCTAACTGAACACGTCCGCAAGGATTGAGGACAAAGCGCTGCTGCAGCCCGACGCCCAGCACGCAGCAGCTAAATACCCAGCAGGTGCTTAACGTTCTCACAGCAGCTCACTGAGCCCATAAGGCGATAACTGCAAACGGTCAACAATTTCATGAGGATGGCCTGAGGAATGGGAACCCATCAAGTCACAAACTAATGATCGCAGCCAATGATGATAAGCTAATGAACTAATGAAACCGGTGAAGCAATTTTGCAACATCTCGCGTGGCAAGAGCCGTGTACTCGAGACCACCAGGCCTGCTCTAGCACGGCCTGCAAGAACACATCAACCCACACAGCCCAACATGGGAATACCTGAGCACCCACGAAGGCTCAGGTGCAACATTCTGTAAAGCAACTCAGCCTTTTACAACCCATAATCAGCTGTCACCTGCATTCGTGTACAAACATGGCTGTACTAGATTGAGGATACGGCATAGCTACTGCAGTACGCTTCTGCATCACACTGCTTTGCAGTGCCACTACCATATACAGTAAGTGATAACATTAATGAGTACAAGACCTCGCCGCCAACCAATGAAAGAAGGAACTGCTGTTGCAAACTTACTGGTGCAAACCGCAAACCCCAGCGCCACCCAACTAACCAACACCATGGTAAATAAATAAGTCCCAACGGAAACCTCCGTTTCCTCTCCAATCCTCTCCATGCCCCAATCGAAAAGAAGGACAACAAGGTCCAATCATGAGCCTCCTTTTGTAAGCTTGCATGCATGGCACCGCATTAACCCCACCACTATCGCCGCCATGGGCCCATCCCCATTCCAGCTATAATGTAAACCCTTTCCTCGCGCAAACTCTCCCACACTCGACCCAACACGTATTGCATACCAGGAACGGATCTGTGTCCTTTCCACACGCCCCACATGCATGCATCAGGCCACCCCAGCAGCCACCTCGCACCATCACGGGCAAGTACATTGGATCAGAGTCGGTTAGGCGTTCAAACCAAGGTAACCGAAATGTACGACAGTACTCTTCAGTAGGCATGGTGCAACACATCAAGCAAAGAAGATTAGGGCAAAGCAAGCAACAGCGCACTGCATCATAGGAATGCCAACCATCATGACGTACCGCGTCACTCAGCCCCAATAAACAATTTTTAGGCGTCATCATCACAACAAACCGGTTTTACCGCAATTGACAGCAGTACATTAATGTCTGTGTTTTTTCCTTTGTTCTTCTTTAAGTCTGCTTGGTCTTTTTCTCAGCATTAAAGTTCCACGCGAGAGGTGCACATCCCCTCATGCTCTTTTTCACATGCTTCTTGACAAACGCGGTCCTTGTCACCCCTTCTAGTGCAAATGACCAACAATATACACACCCCTGGCCCCCTCAACCACCTTACAACAACCTACACATGCACATGTGCCAACATTCATAACACTTCCTGCTTGCCCCTGCTTTTGCGAACACCCCTTATTAGCTGCACGCACCCATCTGCAGGCCCCTCAACCCCTTGCCGTACCGTCACACGCCAAACCTCTTGCTCGCTGACCCTTCATCACCCCAACACCTCCATTACTGCGCTCTGCCTCCGGCTTCTACTCTTTGGCTCCGTCCCTGCTGGTTGCCGCTGCCAATGCTGTTACTTTCGCGCGCTGCTGCTGCAGCTGCTGCAGCTGCTGCACTGCAGGGTAGTGCGCCAGGCTGCTGCTGCTGCTGCTGCTGCTGCTGCTCCAGGCTGTTCCGGCGCCCGCACCTGCACCTGCACCTGTTGCTGGTTGGTGTGACCTCTGTGGCTACTGAGGTGCTAGCGGTGGTGGCTGTGGTGCTGGTGGGAGGGGGCCCGGGTCGAGGAGTGCGAGGGCGGTGGCGAGGGCGGCGGCGGTCCCTCCAGCAGCTGCTGCAGGCACGTGACGAGGGATGCGGCGGTGGGGCGCCGGAGCGGGTCGCTGCACCAGCACGCCTGCGCCAGAGCCCTGTGTGTGTGGGTGTGGGTGTGGCGCAGAAGACAGCAGCACTAGTCAGTTGGCGACTGACCCATGGGCCGTTAGGCAGCCCCAAAAGAGCTAACACAGTGCGTATGGGCGAAAGGACAAGGAGGATACAGCCGCCGCAGCCCCACGTGCATTGTGGTGGTGTAAGGATGCCGTACTTATGACTGCCGTAGCTGATACACTTACACAGTGGCAGTGGCAACGTTCCACGTACCAGCCGCCATCAGAAACAACCACCATGATGACGCAACGTCGCAAGCCATGCACATACACGTAAAGCCGACTCTGGGCGACTCTTGAGGTGCAACTGACGGGCAGTATTCACGGCACGGCTACGCTATACCGGTATGTAGTCAGATGAGGCAGCACGCACTGCATGTTGCTGCTCATACCCCTCCGCAACTCGCCTGAATGCCTTGGGGCAATGTGCGGGGAAGCGGGGGCGCAGGCCTTGCACCACTCGGGCTGGCAGCTCCTGCGCGGCGCAACGAGTGCAGGTGGACAGGAGGCAGCCAGCAGCCAGCCGGCAAGCAGGGTCAAGGGGAGGAAAAGGTGCAGGCGGGGGCCAGGGGGAGCAAGGTGCCGGCAGGGTCAAGCGGGGGAAAGGTGCCGTTGGGAGGAAGGGCGGAGGAAGGGGCCAGGCAACACGTTGTGACCCCAGACAAGGGAAGTCGCTAAGGGAAGGTCGGGCAGGAGGCATGGAGAGAGAGGCACGGCAGGCATGTGGTTGACACAGGGCAAGGGGGCACATGCATGCATGCGTTCATGTACCAAGCTGAAGCACAAGACACATATACACCCACACACTAGAAAACACACTCGCTTTGTGGGTTTAAAAAAGCACCGAGCGTGCCGGCGGTCGTGGTCCGCCTACCTGCGCCCTCCCTGCAGTGCCGTGCATACCTCAAAGTCGGGTGCAAACTCCGCATACGGCGGCTTCCGCGTGAATACCTCCCACATCACGATGCCGAACGCATACACGTCCACCGATTGGTCCAACTTGCTGCCTGCATGGAGGTGTGCGGAGTGTTACGGTACACAGCATCCCAGCCCGTACATACAGCAGTGCACATCCCCGTGTGGCCAGCCCCCTAGCACTCCCCTAGCAGGGTATGGTGGGGTGGGCATGTCTGAGACCCCGTACCCACGCAACACACGCCCATGGGAAGTGCACGAGCGCACCTTGGACGAAGCATTCGGGCGCGAGGTGAGTCACCTGGCCACGTAGGGGCAGGAAGGAGAGGGTAAGAGAGGGGAGGGCAGTGTGAGGGTGAAAAATGAAGCGGGTTGCGCTTGGAAAAATGGCTGCAGCCAGCTAAGGCTGAGGAAACCCCTATACGGGTAATGAATGAGCGCGGACGGCAGATTACATTAGCTCCAGCTCCTCCCTTTTTAACTGGTCTTCGTTACCAAAACACGCGTGCTGCTAAGCACATGACCCTTCACCCTACTGGGCCTTCTCCCACCAGGCGCCCCCACATTCCCCTTTCCCTTCCTCCTCTCTTTCGCCATGCCATCCCCCCCACCGTGCTGGTTTCCTATGGTCTGGTATGGTCTTTGACCCACCGTGCCGGCTCCATCCGCGTTGCGCATCCAGGGCTTTGCATCCTTCAGCATGCTATCCCCGTTCTCAACGGAATGCTGCGATGTTCCCGCTGCTGATGCGAATGCCGCCCCGGCGGCGGCGGCGGCAGCTGCAGCCTCCTCCTCCTCCTCCTCCAATGGCCAACCGCCGGGCGAGGAGTGCTGCTGGCTGAGCAGCAGGTAGCTGGTGAGGTTGGTGTGGGTGGTGTGAAAGTCCTGGATGTCACGTTGATCCTCGTCGCGCCGCAGCAGGTTAACGAGACCAAAGTCGGACAGCTTGCATGTGAAGCCGCGGGGGTCACTGGCGGAGGACTTGAGCAGCACGTTCGCGACCTTGACCTGGAGGGGGACAGGAGGGGGAAAGCGGGAGGGGGAAGGAGGCAGGAGGAGAGGAAGGAGTGAGGAAGAGGAGGGGTAAATGAGGAGGATGGAGAGTAGGGCTCTTGCCGTCACAGGGCGGCACAATGCGGCGTACGTGTGGACTGCAACGCGAGGCATGGAAGGCAAGGATCGAGGCAGCAACATGGGAGGGGTCCAAAAGGGAGGGAAGGGTATGCATGGGGCTTCATGTGCCTCCTCCCAAACCCAACCCTCCCACCCTCCCCCCACACGTACTGGCTTCGCTCTTTCGGGCTGGGCGGGTCGGGCTGGCTCACATGTTGCAACCCATGTTGACGCCTTATCCCTCAGTCAGTTAGTTGTTTCCTCTTTACTCCCCCCACACCCGCCTTCCCCCCCCTCCCCCCCCCCGGCCTCACATCGCAGTGCACCAGCTGCATGGCGTGTAGGTGCCGCAGTGCCAGCGCCAACTCCAGCAGCGTGAGGTAGATCGCCCGCATGGGGCCACAACCACCACCACCACCACCACCACCACCTCCGCCTTTGCCGCCAGCAACAGCAGCGGTGCCGTCTTGGTGCATGTGGTTGCCTGCTGCTGGGGTTGTCGTTGTTGTTGTTGTGGTGGTGGTGGTGGTCAGGTTGAGACCGGCTGCTGCGATGATGGCTTGCTTGAAGAGGCCGTTGTCAAGGGCATCCGCCAGGGAGCCCAGGTCGCAGCGCTGCAGTGGGGGGGGTGTATCATACATGGGGTGCATACATGGGGTGCATACATGGGGGGGGTGAGGGGTTGACAATTCCAAAGGTGAAAGGCAAACAGGGTTAACATGTGGCGTCACAGAGATGCGGGGTAGGGGCGGAGGGAAGCCGAAGCGAGAGGGACGCAGCTAGGGACGCAGAACAACATGAGGGGAAGAGGAGGGGCGGGAGCATGTGAGTGAAAACGGAAGCTTGGATGGAGAAACGGACTATGCACTTCAAAGGGAGAGGGGCTTAGATGGTAGCCCTCTTCTCCCTAGCAAGGACAACCCCCCCCCGCCCACTGTGCAGCTGTGAAGCACCTGCGGAGGCCCAGGCATGCTAGGCCCAGGCATGCTAGGCCCAGGCAGGCCACCCCTCCTCAACCCTCCGGGGCCCCATGCATCGTAGCCGAGTCCCGTTCGGGTTAACCCGCCGAGACCCGCACCCCCTAACCCTTCTCCTGCATGGTCACCTCGCAGCTCTCCCCGGCCCCCTGCTCTCACCTCCATGATGAGGACCGAGTGCAGGGGCCCTGTGGTGGCTGGGTGGGGGAAGGGAGGAGGGGGAGAAGGAGGGAGAGAGGGAGGAGGGACGTGGGAAGGGCCAGACGGGCAAACCAAGCGGGTGGGTGTGCGAACGTTGCGGGAGCTGCAGGCAGCGGCCCAACCAGCCTGCAAAGGAAGTAACAGGGGTGCAAACCAAGCAGCACAAAGTGGGACGGAGGTGTGCGCAACCTCGGAGGCGGCGCATTGGGGTTGCACACCACCCCCCTAGCAGCACCCTAAACCACTTCTCCCGCCCACCCGCCCGCCCCCTCACCTCCCGCCTCCTGCTCCTGCTCCGGCACCGGCACCAGTCGCGGCAGGGTCTCGGGGCCCCCGGGTCCCGGCAGCACCTGCACCCGCGTGTGGTAGGAGTAGACCTGCAGGCGGGGTCAGGGAGGGGAGGGCACGTGCAAGGAGGAGCGCAAGCCTTACTTGGCAAGGTGCAGGCACATGTCCCCATTTCCTATTCGCGGCCAGCTTTCTTAACGCGCAAGAGAAGGCATCCACACACAAGCCCCCCCCAGGGATTGTCAGCAACTTGTATCATTATGACACCACACTTGGGAATTTCTTTTTCCCCCCACAAGTCACACTGGGTGTCTCTAAACCCAACACCCTTCCTTCCTCCCCACCCCTCCTCTCTCCCGTCTTCCTTACCCCTCCACCCCCGAACCTTACCTGCACAATAGCCGGGTGGCTCACCGATGTCAACACCGCACACTCCCGTGCACTCCGCATCAACTCCCGCATCTGAGCCTGCCGTACAACCGCCGCCAGCTCCTCCAACTGCCGCCGCTGCTCCTCCTCCTCCTGCTCGCCTTCCCCTCCTCCTCCCTCTCCCTCCTCCTCTCCCTCCCTCTCTCCTTGCAGTAACCTCATCATGCCGTCTTTATCAGATAAAAGCACCTCTCCATCCTCCACCCCGCGCCCAGCTCCCTCGCTACCTCCCTCTCCTCCTGTCACTGATGCCCGGCCGCCACTGTTGCCTTGGCGGTTGCTGTCCGGTCTGGTGTTGTTGCCTCTGCTGCGAGGTGGCGTTGCCGACTGCTCCCGCTCCAGGTACAGGCTGCTGCCGACTGCCGACATCTTGCTGGAGGGTGCACAAGAGGGTATTGACGAGGACGGTTCGGACGACTGCTGCGGTTGCTGCTGCGGATGAGGGGATGAAGAGGCTGGCAGGGTCTTGCCGGGAAGCACTGGTGCGGCTCCAGCAGCACTGAAAGCGCTGTAGGCAGCAGCATCGGCAGCGGCGGGGGGTGAGGCGGTGGAGGGCAGCAGAGGCAGCAGGGAGGACCGCGCGGCGGCTAGGGCGGCCATATCCACATCGGGGGGCGGGTGAATCACCTTGACCTGCGAGTGGGCGAGTGGGAGGGAGTAGCAGTATGTAAGGTGTTGGGGGAATGAAAACAGCCGTAGCAGGCTACCACAACTACAGCCAACGAACGGGCACGGAGGGTGGCGCGGACGGAAATGCGTGCCCTCGCATGGTGGGTGAGTGAGGTGAGAAGCAAAGGCCAAGCAACGGTGGCTCCTGTGTCTCCCCTACTACCCCCTGCCGTGCCGTACCTTTCCCGCTTCACAGCCCCTGCTTCCCTCATCCATCCAATTCCCTGCATCTCAACAACAAACTTCTACAACGACCATACACTAAAAAATATAATAAGTGCTTCGTCGACTGGTCCAATGTAGATCAGTTACCTCCAAAGCCTTCAACCCCACCCCCCACCACCACACCACACCACACCCTCACCGCCACATCCTGCCCCAGCAGCATGCCCGCGAACACTGAGGCTGCCCCGCCCGAGCCCAGCCGCCGAACCAGGCGCAGGAAGCGAAGGTCGTCATCCGCGTAGGACCTGCAGGGACAAGCGGAGGGGGGGGCAAGTGAGGCACGGTCCGGGCATTAGGGGCAGGCAGGCTGGGAGGGCTACATGTGGTGGTACGGCATGGGGGCGTATGCAGGGAGGCGCAGGTCGTCATATCCGTGTAGGGGACCATGGGGCGGGGGTGCATGCGAGGGCACGCATGCGGTGCCTGGCTTCAAGGAGCCGCGCATGCAGGCACGTCATAACGTGCATGTCACCAAGTCAGGGTGTCTGCCCCCAGCATGCAAGTGCCGCACCGATCCCACCAGACATCCCCACCACTACTCGCCCATCCCTCCAACACCCTCACCGCGGCGTGTTGCCCTGCCATGCCCTCGACTCCCGCAGCATCTCCCAAAAGCTGTTGACCCACACATCCAGGTTGTCACGCATGCTGGTAACCATATCATCACCGCCGCCGCCGCCACCAGTGACTCCTTCCACAATGCAACCCTCGCCGGTGCTGACGCCGCCAGTGGGGGCCGTCGTCGCCGTCGCCGTTGTAACCGTCCTGGCCGCATCGGCATCCCCCACAACCGCATCGTCAGCACATGACGCTAGCATTGTCGCTGACGCGCACTTCGCCACGCATTTGGGCCCCATGCCGGATGCCAGAAGGCTGCTGGTGGTCGTACTGGAGGCGATAAGATTTCCGCTGGGAGCAGTGGCGGCGGCGGCGGAAGCTGCATGTCTGGGTGCCGCGGCGACGGCGGCTGCCGGCGGCGGCTGTGACGGAGGCGAAGGCGCCGGCCATTGCCGCTCTGCCAGCAGCATGGGTGGCGGCGCCGCCGCCGCGGACAGATCTGCCGTACTGCCGCCACGCGGTGCCACCGTCAGACCGTCCCTGGCCAGCGGCGACACCGGCACGCTGGCGGAGGCGCCCTTCTGGGTGGTTGTATGTGGGGCGCTGTGGCTAGCAGTGGCTGCAGCGCCGCTGCCGCCAGCACCGGCGGCATTGGGTACGTCCGCCGGCGGCGACAGCGCCAATGATGAAGCTGAGGCTGAGGCCTTGAGGGGTTGGCTGGCTTGGTTGCGCCGGCAGCCTCCGTTGGCGACGGATCCACCGCCGCCGCCGCCGGCGGTCCGGTTAGCTAGGTGTTCCAGGTCGGCTCGAACGGGCCCGCATGACAGGGAGGTCAGGCAGGCGGGAAGCAGGAGCTACAGTGGGGAAGGGGTGGCGGCGGCAGCGGGGTAAGCGGAAAGTGACGGCTTGGTTGCATGAGTTTCGGTTACCGGGGCAATCCATACATGGCTAGCCCACAACCATCATGCGAAGGCAGACAATAACTCATAGCGGAAAGGCTCTAGGCAGGGCGCCCGTTAAGGGTTTACAGTGTACCGGTACGGCATCACTGATGCGCGAAGCGAACGCAAGCGTCGTCCCACCTCAAGTAACGTCTGGGCTCGCTCCTTGACTGCTCGCAGCAGTGATGACGGCAACCGTTCCTGCGCCGTAATGTACAACGCCACACAGGGCCCGCATGGGCTAATGCCGGCACTGTCGTTCCGAACTGTCGTGCCGCCGCCAGCGCCGCCGCCGCCGCCAACACTTCCACGAACGGAGAAGTCCCCGCCAGCTGACATCCCCGCCCGCAGCGACACGTCCAAGTTGCGGACCCACTCATCGGAACGTCGGCCTCCCGTCTTGCTCGACCGTGCTGCTGCTGCGTGCACACTTCCATTGGCAACAGAGGCAAACCCTCCGCCACCACCGCCACGGGAGGATGCGGCACCGCCCACCACCAGCACAAGACAGGCTGGTCCGGCCCCGCCGCCGTTGCCGCCGCCGCTTCCACCACCACCGCTGCCGGCGGCGCCGCCGGTGGTGGCGGTTGCGCCGCCACCACTGCCGGCAAAACCGTTGTTCGTTGACGCCAAAGCCGACCCACGGTTGCGCATCAGCAGTAGTGAAACATCAGATGAGGGCAGCTCGACTTCTTGTACCCAGGCATTGAGGTTGGACACGACGACGCTGGCGACGGCGGCGCCGCCACCGCCGCCACCACCACGACCCGGTGCCACGCTGCCGCCGGCGGCGCCGCTACTGAGGCAGCTGTACTGCGCCTTCAGCTGCGAGTCGTTGGACGAGCCGGCAACCGCCAGTGCTGCGGCAAGGCGTTGCGCCTGCAATTGCTGCTGGTGTTGGGCGTGTTGCGCAGAGCGACCGTTGGGACTCAGTCGATCCGTGGATGCCGCTTGATAAATGTTGTTAGCATTTCCGTTGGCAGCGTAATCGTTAGCAGCACCGTTGCTGTAACCAGCAACAGTGTCGGGGACCGGTGTCTGTTTCTGTTGCTGCGCTGAAGGTAATACGCGGGTGATCAGTCCGCGGACCGTTGGCTCCTCCGGGTGATAACTGAAATAACTGCCAGCATGTACGGAACCGTGCACTGAGGAGTTGCTGAAACCGCCACCGCCATAAATGCCATTGGCGCCATGGGAGGTACCGTTACCATGGACAGTACCGTTGCCGTGAACGGTACCGTTATGTGCCGTACCGTTGTAGTACTGGTGGTTGTGGTGGTTGGCCTGATGGGCTGCCTTGAGAGCAGCGGTCTTCAGAAGCTGCGTCAACAGCGCTGATTGAAGCGCGAAAGGCATCGCCTGAGGGTTCTCGCGCATGCACATGTTGGGGTTTCGGACGGTAGGTGAATTATATTATTATTATTATTTGACGGTAATTCAATAGCGACAATAGGTAATAGAGGGCAAGGACATCTAGGCACCATCACCCACGCTTGAGCACAGTACAATCCCCCCAAAGCCAGTGCAACATGCCAAAAGCAAAATCTTGGCTGTAGCAAGCTAGCAACCCTTCCCCCTAACCCTATAGCATCGCCGTTACATCCCTTGTCACCAGCCCCTATCAACCACACCCAATCCCCCCACCACCATGCAACCCCACCACCGTTACGACACTAACCCCACTTGAACAAACAGAAAACACAAATATTAAAGATGGTCCTTAAAAGATTGCTCCCCAGCCTTACCTTTGCGGTGACGCCCCCGGACATATTGGGTGATACCAGCGCACCGGGCGCTGACGCCACCCCACCGCCTCCCCCCGTCAGGCTGTCCGTACGATCTGCCGTACAACCACCACCTCCGCCGCCAGCGGCAGCAGCGCCCCCTAATGGACTGGCTGATAAGGACGTTGGAGCCGCCATAAACCCTGACGCCGTTCGTACGGCAACTGACGCCAATGCTGCCGTACTTATGCCATCTGATCCCACCGTCCGCATGTGCCAGTCGTGAGCACTGCACGGCATGAGGTCAACCTGGCATGCGGGTTGTTGACCGTTGCCGCAAGCTGGAGCAACAGCTTTCCCAACGAGACCGTTGGATCCACAACCGCCGCCGCCGCTGCAACCCTTGTTGTTGTTGCTGTTGCCGTACAAGTATAGTGGCGGAGTTGCACTGCCGTGCGCCTGTTTGTGAGTGTCCGCAGCAAACAGGTATCCGTGCTGTCCGTACACGGGTGGTACGAGCGCGAGTCGTACGGCGAGATTGACATGGAGTTCCGCAGCGAGGGCCTCCGTGACGGTGTACGACAGAATGGAGGCGAAATCTTGAAGGCTGGCGGCAGATGCCAGGGACTGGGTTGCCGTACAGATCTGTTAAGAAGGCGCCAGGTCGTTAGTGTCCTTCCGGTAGTTGAGAAGGGGCAGACGGGTGCGTCCATACGAAGTAATTTAGAGTAGCGTGGAATGGGACATGTTGCTTCGGCAAGATTTGACCTTACGAGCCGGGTGCAAGCAAGCCCAACCGAATCCCGCTAGGATTACTCCTTCCCGTCCGCCTTCGCTGACTGCTGCTTCGCACGTCAGCCATCCCGGAGCTCGCCCCGCAAGCAAGGCACCGAACCAAACCATGCCAACGAGACCTACCCCACCCATAACCACAGTTGTCTGCTGCAGGTATCGGTATGTATTGCCGTATAGCTGAACTTCTATCCTTCAAACCCCATTCATGCAGCATTCAAGCAACCTACCCGCAATATGGGCGACAGGTGCGGCCCCATGGCCGCCTGCGCCACCACCGCCGCCAGCCCCTGCACCCGCTCTGCCGACGGGAAACCGCTGCCGACACCTCCACCGCCGCTGCCAACACCCGGTGTTACAAAGCCGCTGGCTCTCCGTCCATGACGTGTCGACGCCTTCCGAAGGCCCATCCAGCGCTGAAGCCGAAAGCAGCCGCTGCTGATGCCGGCCGCGGCGGGCGGTGCGTCCATTTGCTCCCCGCCACCGCCGCCACCAGCCCATGTGGTCGAGGAGATGAATGGCACCGCAGGTACCGATGCTGCTGTTGCTGCACATTCTAGCTGATGCGATTGTTTGCTTGGAATGTAGCTGTACGGCAGCATGAGGGGCTCGCCGTACGACATGACAAGTAGTGCGCCGACGAGGCGGCGGTGGAGCTTCAGAGGCTCCAGGGTGGCTTGCAGGGAGAGGCTTTCTGCGTAACGCACTTGACCCAGAATATGGTGCCAATCGTATGGCAGGGTTTGCTGCGATCCGCTCTGCGGAAACAAAGAAGGATGTTCCTTGTATGGATTACGTTAGGTGGGTTTGCTTGGACGCTTGGATTTAGGATCAGCCAGGGTTTGATGGGAATGATTAACGGGGGGGAAGGTATTTTATGGCTCGTGAGTAACAAGGGGGTTTCAGCTTCCTCAAAGCTGGAAAAGGGCGGAGCCCCTCCTCTTTAGTACAGGAACGTATTATTACCACTGGAATGATTGCGATTATTACAGGGGAGTGGAACGACTCAAGTGCGACGCACAACCCTATGGGCCGTATAGACCTGGAATGCGCTCCTGTGACTCCACGGCACCAGTTGACCTAACACACCTCGTTATACGGACGCTGAACCCCCTTGTTTACTGTAGTTTTAGTGCTCGTTGCATGGCTAGACGGGCCCTTGTCCAGCCGAGGCCGGCCGCCTTGTTCACCCATGGCGTACATAGTGTCTTCACTCATTGCACACATTGTTAGGTTACGCCTGTTCAATCGAGTACTTAGTAACGTCTTATCATGCTTGATAACACCCACGCCTTAGGCTACAGAACCCAAATCGACGGCGTAACTGCCACATGGAAGTGCTTTCAGGGTCCCGCAGAGTTTCACCTACATTAGTAACATGATGAGGAGGTCAGGCTCCTCAATCTCGGCATCGTGCTCAGAAGGACTTCAGCCATTGCGCCGTCACATGACATGTTAGCTTATAAGCGAGGTATCCCGTACCCGTTTGCGTTACAGTTCATACGCATAAACCCATAGCAAAGGCTTGCAACATCGTCCCAAAGGATTGTGTGGGCTCTGAGTAGCACAGTAGATGCGAGCATGCTCCCGCCGACTTTCACAGGTAGCCCTTTGGCGACACGCCGCTGTTACCAATTCACTAAATACTGTTTACGGTACCAGGACAAACCATAGAGGAGCGCTAATCGCTGTTGCCGAGGTGGTCCTTGTTCAATGGCTGGTCAATAAATCGTTTGTTGCGAAATTAAGTTTGTTTGGCTTCCAGTTATTTTTACTGAATACAGATAACAAATATCTATTAGGTGCAATAAATAGTTTTGTCTAGATTGTATGTTTTGCCGTTACGGACACACGGACACACGGACACACGGACACACGGACAGGGGCAATCCTGGGGGGCGAAGCCCCCCCGAAGCCGCTTCGCGGCGGGGGCTCCGCCCAAAAAAGAGGGAGAGGGGTGTGGTGGTCGGGCTGGACGCTACTGAATGTTTTCGGGGCATCAACCTGCATCAACCCTAAGTACTGTGGAATAGCCATCAAAGTCATATGACGGCTCTGGGATGAAGAAATTGGCTTTGACAATATGTTGTTCAGATGTCGCAAGCAAGCAGACAGTACTCAGCAGGTCAAGACGGCGCGCTCAAGCACAGATAGCAACACGCATCAGCAAAATGTAGCGTAGCTATTCCCCCGAGTTCCAATCGCAAGAATTGGCCACACACAGGTGCCATTCTGATTAAATTCCGGATATCAACCGACGAACCGTCTTTAGTTTACCACGTGCGAGCCGCGACGTAAATGCCGTAAGGTACAGCAACATACCTTCCACGTGAGAGCAGCGGGCGTTGCGCCTTTCGCAGCAAGCTCAGAGCCAGTGTTACCGGCGCTTGACCACGGAGTAGGGAGAACTCTACCCGGAGGAGCCGCAAACGCATCTTGACCGCAACTAGCGAGGATCGTAAAAGTTGCTGCGGTATGCGACGCGCCAAGGACGCTGCAGAAGGATAAAACAATTATGCGGATAGCTACTTGTTACGTGACAATCATAGAGGTTCTCAATCCTCCTGAGGCGAACGGGTTGGGTCGTTCAGGTCAGGCATGGCTGTCAACGCTGCGGTGAACTTGCCTCAACACGCCTATTATGTTATGTCAGGACAACATGCACGTTGCCGGTGTACTAACCTGACAATAGCGGTGCCAGGCCCACACGCCTTTAATACTTTCTCGGCGCATGTCGCCAAGCACGCAGCAAGAGCCGCCTGACCCGAAAGTACAGCAAGCTCGCACCTCAAGTCATCGAGTGTGTCACTCTGTTGTGTAATGATATAGTTAAAGTCGGGCTAATCAGCAAGTTGATACATCGTCACCCTAACAGCGAAAAACCCTTTTTGTGCCAGTCAGAGTCGCATTGCAAAACATGCGTGAACGCGAATGCGTGTGCCATTCAAATAAGAGGTGAGGTTCGTTATGCCTTAGCGAGCGTACCTCCACATTTGAGCGGTCGTTGCTCAGCCTCCAGCAGAGCATCCTAGCTCACGGCGTATGACAATGCCCGACGGGGCATAAAACAGGAAAAAATACCCCCAAACGTACAAAGCAGACAATATGGATTGGAAGTCGACGCCGAAAATGTTCCTCAAGGAAGCTAAGCAGGTTCAGGCTGTCAGGTAAGTTATATATGTGTAGAAGAGTGTGAGCAGTATTAAGAGTTGCAAGGAACGAAAGTCATAAAGGGTAAGTCTTTTCGCGTACGGCGTTAAAAGTGGTTATGATGGGGTGTACAGCGGGACCTGCATCTCACTGACAGACTCATGTATCCTCATTACCATCTGCTCGTTTGCTAAAATTACATTTCAAAGGCCCTGGAATGGCGCTTGCTGAAATGTCGATGCACTTCTAGGTTCCGCTCGTCGATCGACAATCCTGTAAACTTGTCACTTGTTAGGGTTATCTCACGTTCTGCTTTCATTTATTGGACATAAACACTTACAGTCCTTGGCATTTAGACCTTCGAGCCTGACAAGGAAGAACCAAAATACGACATCAACCCCGTCGTACTTTGGACCCATGGACCATGGACCCCAGGACCATGCGAATTAATTATCGGCTTGCGACATTCTTTAGTGCCTGCTACGCTTTGGCATTGATTTCCTTAATTATACTTATAATGCAGCACCTACAAAGCCCTTGGCAGATTAGCCCAGTACTTGCTTTAGGTGACAAGATCGGTTACGCCTGATGCTGCACCAGCCGTGCCGAACGCATGCACATGCCAAATGCCACGCTACCAGCCCCATGCATGCATGCAATACATTCAGCGGGATATGCAAGACGTCTGCTCACGCCAGCACCCATGCTGTGGGTACATGGTAGACGTACAGGGTGGGACTCATGAACATGTTGGTCTCTTTCACGCAGGTGATAGCGCACAGCCAACCGCACACGGCCTTCAAGGCGTTGCAGCACCGCTATACCGCACGCACCTCACCTGCCACATACATTCAGTGGAATGCCGTACACGCACAGGTCCCAATTGCCTGCCTCTGCAGCAACCGTCTGCTTCCAAGTACGGCATCATGAAAACCCATGTACGGAAGTAACCATACCGCAGTGAGTTCAAGTATCATGTAAATAAGTCCACCACGGTTCCTAGCTCCCAAACCCTACCCAGCGCTACAGCCCTAGGACATCAGTAACACAACACCGAGTCCACCGCCCGAAAAATGAAGCAAGCCTGTCTCAGCCCCTTCGCACACATACAGGTAGCTGCAGCTGCTCCTAGGCCCATCATGCTTATATAAGACACAGCAGCCATGGGCAGCTGCAAGCGACCGCCCCTACTCCTCCGCCCCTAAGCGTGCACGCCTAATAGGAAAGCCAGCGCAGTTCACGTGATGTTGGTAAAGGGCCCACAGAGCTTCTACACCCACCACACCTACGAGACGGCCTACCAAATGTCCCTCAACACAAGCAACGCGCCTGCTGCGATTGCCTGCCAGTGTGTTGTTGCCTGAGTGCTACTTCTACTGCTACGGAGACCCATGCGCTGAAGTGTGCCCCAGGAAACGTGCAGCAAGTACCAGAGTAAACGGACGCCGCACCGCATAGAAGAGAAAACTGACCGACTTCTGGTGCCGTGTCGCCGCATGGAGCTGGCCCCTACCACGGCACTCCATGCAGCACCAACCAGCCACAACACGCCAACCCAAACACGACCTGTGACACCGGGAAGACTAGCCAAAAGCCGTCGCCTGCCACCCCGTGGACCGCCTATCAATAAATGTTATGATTGCGAAATACATGTCCACTGAACTACTACCACTACTTCGCTAATCACCTCGAGCGAACAGGGTTTTAATACCGTGTCATGCTGTGCCTTTCCGGCCGAACAAGTTGCCGCACAGGTTCTATTAAGCCTAGTACCTAATGCCGGGTGCGGAGCCGACTACCGAGCTAAGCGCAGTTCCAGTAACGCCAGCCGTCCCCATACCAGTACCCGACCATCAAGCTGCCTCCTAGCACGTACAAACATCCTGGTATACCCTAGTGCAGACAGCGCAATGGCGCCATGTAAAACATGTGCATCTCCCTAACCCCGGCGTTGTTGCACGCTTCAATGCAAAGCGTACGGCATCGAGCACATAATCATGGGCCACCCAAATTGTTACCGAAGAAGCGTGGACGTTCCGGCGCTATCTCATTCACCAATGCCAGCCCCCAAATAACACAACCATCCCTCATCTTCTACACAAATGATCCCCGCTTGCAATCGCCCACTCCCGGCATCATACCTCCTTAACCGAAACCCCAGCTATCCTTTCTCGCCCACCCACACCTCACATCCGCTGACCTTCCTCGCACTTCCACATCCCACCCTCCTCACCTCAGCCGCCACCCTACCTCAAACGCCTCCCCCAGGCCTCCACTCCCGGGACCCCGGCCGGCTCCCTCCCACACCTCCGCCGCCGCTTCCTCCTCCCGCCACCCCACCGCTCCGTGTATGACCCCGCGCGCTTCCGCCGGGTCGCGGCCGCCGCATGAGGGCCTCAGTGGCCTCTGAGGTGCCGCCCTGACCCATGGGTCGGTGCCCGCTGCCGGTCTGCGCGTAGTACTTGCAGAGCAGGACGTTGTTGAGGCGGGGCGTTTCGAAGAGGTTGAGGTACCTGTGGAGGAGGGAGGAGGAGGGGACGGGGGGCGGGATGAGAGCAGGAAGGAGGGTTTGAGGGCACTAGTAGGAGTGATAGAACGGAAGGATCGACATAGATGCCATAGAAGCAGAGCCAGCCAATGATTTGGTATAGCGGCTTTCCGCGGACGTAGATCCTATTAGCCGCCCCAAGACCCGCCAGGAAGAGAATTAGGGGAGGTTTGGCTTCCCTACCACCACCCCTGCCAAACACAGCCTGGCGTCTGAACACCCCTACGGACATCGCCCCTGCAGGGCCTCCACCCCACCCGGCCCCACCTGCCCGGGTCCTCCTCGCATGGGAACACGCGCTGCCAGCTGCCCCTGCGCGCCATCTCCGCCTCCGCATCCAACACGATGTCGGGCAGCTCGGCGGGGCTCAGCACTGGCGGGGAGGGAAGGTGGGGTTGGGAAAAAGCGGAAAAAGGTTAACTACTACTAGTGGTAAGAGCCTCCTGGACTCCATCAGCAACCAGGATAATCGTGTAGTTGTGTAAATGCATTTGAACACCGACTCACTCGAAAAGTCAATCGTGTCCAGCTCTTGCAGCGTGCGCGGCTGTACGGCGGCGGCGGCAGCAGCAGCAGCAGCCCCTCCCGCGCTGCTACCCCCACCGCCGCCGCCAAAGGAGTGCTGCGGGGTGCCCAGACCACCCGAGGGTGTGGGTGTGGTGGGTGTGGTCGGCTCGTCATCTCCGCCTCCGCCTTTATCCCCGGCAGCGGTGGCGGACGCGGCGCCTCCCCGGGAAGTGGAAGAGGCGGAGGTCGCGGCGGTGGCGGTGGAGGTTGTCACTGGGAGGCCGGTCAGCCGAGCTTGGCGCTTCGCCTCCGCGGTCTTTTCGTACACCTTTGCAGGTAGGAGGGGAGGCAGGAAGACCATTCGGGTAATTCATTAGGGGAGAGCCGTCCTGTGAAGCAAGCGTGGAGGCAGCGTGGTAATGCAAACTGGTTGGTACTGAAGTAACTGCCCAACGGCTAGCGTGCGTCATGTTGTGTTGGGTTAGGCTCCTAAGGCAGCCCGCTTCCTACAAGCGAGGAGCAGCAGCAGCAGCAGCAGCTGCTTCATTAAACAAGGCACGGCACCCCACATCCATGCACACCGTATGAACACCCCAGAAATTACTACTGGGCTGGTTTGCTCCTGCTTCACCACGCACGCACGCAGCCACGCAGCGGCCACGCACCTCCACATCGTACGGCACCACCCCCAGCAGGTGCATCAGCTCCGAAACCATGCCGCACTTGACACGCATGTCCAGTGCGCTGTCGGCCGCCAGGGAGGGGCAGGTGTTGGCCTCGATGAGCCAGGCACGGTAGGAGTCGGTGAGCATGATGTCGAAGCCCCATACCTGCGGAGGGCAGGTGGTGGGAAGTAAGAAGGGGAAACTAAATAACCGTGTGGCAGGGCTGTAGCATGGAGTGCAAGGTGGTGGCCGACCCATGCCGCCCTGGAGGTGGGAGGAGGGGGGCAGAGACTGCGAACGCGCGCAACGGGGAGAGGACTTCAGGAATGATTGGATTGGGGTCGGGTCAGGGTGTCAGAAGGGTAGGTCGGCAGGATGTGGATGTGGAAGTCCCACAACCGAGGGGCACACGACCAGGGGAGGCGGGCGTTAACAAGGGGAGGCGGGGTTAGCTGCAAGCACAGCTCGTTGGGGACATGGGACAAAGGTTAGGAAACTCGAACATCCAGGGGAATGGGGGTTACTGCAGTGTGCACACCGGCCCCCCTGTCCGCGCTGCCGCCCGCCCGCCTGCTGCCCTGGCCGTACCTCGAAGCAGTTGTTGCGGTGCGGCACCTTCATCTTGAAGTCGGTGTTCATGCGCGGCTCGGCGGCGATCACCGCAGCAGCAATGATGTCACACACCTGCATGGGAGGCCAGGGAGGGGAGGCAGCGGCAACGGCAGCAGCGGCAGGGGGGTAGGGAAGGCAGGCAAGGAAGAGGAAAGCCAAGCTCCCGAGTATGGGCAAGAGGAGGAGCACCACCCATGCACAAGATGATCAGGTTGTCCGCTTTCCCTGGCGCCTGACAGGCATGCAGCATCCCGGAAACACCCCACCCCCACCCCTCTACCGCTCCTCCGCACCTGCCTCCACACCATCGCCCAGCCGGGTCCCATCCCCCGCGCCTCCAGGTACGCCCGCAGTCCTGACAAGCTCCACTTGCTGCCCTCGCATTCGGAAGCCGGACCGCCTCCACCTCCTCCGCCTCCCGCAGGAGCAGCCGTCCCTCCGGAGGAAGCCGCTCCGCCCTCCTCGCCCCCGCCTTGCTGCTGCTGCTGAGCTGCCTTGACGAACTTGGTGGACTTCTTGTTGACGGAGTAGTTGGTCAGGTGCACGCAGCGCTTGCTGGGGTGGGGGTAGGGAGGGTGCGGTGTGGTGCGGGAGGGTGCAGGAGGGTGCGGGAGGGGCATGGTGAAGCCTCCACTCCCCATTGCTTTGTCTCGCAAGTTTTCGTTTCCCACCCCAGGGGTTTCCCATCCCAAGGGTTTCTCAACCCCCGCACCTCAGCTGCGCCCTGTCCGCCGAGTAGGGCTCCGTGGCCAGGCGAGCCAGGCCGTCCGGGAAGACGTACAGTCGCAGCGGGTCCAGGCAGGTGGCCGCTGCGTAGACGCGCATGTCGAACTTGAACCTGAGAGGTGGAATGGTGATGAAAAAGGGGGGAAACCGTTGATAGGGGTTTAGTAGAGGGGAGGGGAGGGTGTGAAGGTTAAGGAAAGAGTAATCAGATGGGGCGTGTTTGTTGTTTGTCCGGCCCCTCGCTCCCTTCCTCACGAGGTGGCCCCTCCCTTTACGCAATGAGCCGCGTTCCTCAGCTGCCACTCACTCTTTACCCCCCCCCCTCTCCGCGCCCTGCTCCTACCCCTCCTCACAAACACACGCACGGCTCAGTTCCGCCGAATACACGCCACTATTGCCTTCACAAGCATGTTGATCTGCAAGCCCGCGCCTCAAGCAGCACCGCTGCACCCTCCCACCGCCACCCACCCGTTCAGCAGCAGCGGGTTGGCGATGTAGTGCTGCACCAGCACGTCCTTGCAGTCGCGGGAGATGGCGTCGGGGCGGGTCACCATGCGGATGCCGCGGCCGCGGGAGGAGTTGGTGGGCTGCGGGGGGGGGGGGTTTGAGGAGGGGGGGGGGGAGGGGCGAGGGGGGGGCGAGGAGGGGGGAGGGGAATTTGTAATGGTTTGTTCCATAGCTAGGTTGGGGTCAGGGCAGGAGGGAGGAGGCGGTGGGGCTACGCGGCGTCCGGGGCTGGTGTTGGAAGGGAGGAAGCGAGACACACATGCGCACATGCCCACACAAGCCCAAGAGGGCTTAAGAGGTCTTTCATCTATGGCATCCAGTCTTCCCACTCCCCCTTGCCTTTTCCTCCCCTACCCTGCCGAACCCCTTCCTTTCTACCGTAACTTCCTACCGCCCTCCCTGTCCCCCTCCCTCCCCGCCATGCACCCTCCCCCCACCTTCTGGATGTACAGCCGGTCCGGGAAGCGCTCCGAGTCGCTCCGGAACTCCTCGTAGTCGCGCGGCATGATGTAGAAGCGCGGCACGATGTCGAACGCCTCCGCCGCCGGCCCCCGCGCCCGGCGCCGCGCGTTGTACACGTTGCGGTAGAGGTGCCCCTTGTGGCCCAGCTCCCAAGTGCCTGCGGGGGGCGGGGGGGAGGGGGGGAAAGGTGAGATGGGGGGGGAGGTAAGCAGCTACCGGTGTCATGGCTAGGCCTACTCGACTAAGGGAAGGACAGATGGGCTGTTGCACCGGGCCGACACATGACCACCCCAGCCGCCACCCCCCTCACTCTCCCACCTGGGAAATGGTTGACACGTTGGAAGCAGTGCAGCTTAGCCAGCGAAGCAGCATCCAGGATACCCCCCCACTGCACGATCCAGCGCTTGCCCTTGCGGGTCGGCCGCAGCCCCGCCTCACGGAATGCCGTACGGACGGGGGTGTTAGCCACTCCTCCGTACTTTACAAACAACGTGGGATTCAGCAGCGGCGTCATGCCCGCAGCCTGCTTCGCAGCAGCCGAGCCCACAAAGGCAATGGTGGGGCACGTTCCTGGGAAGGCCGGCTGCAGCACGTAGGGAAACGCCCGACCCTTGGTGTCTGTTGGAACGCTGGAGGAGGCCAGGAGCTGCTGCTGCTGCTCGGTAAGGCCCGCGGACGCAGCCCCGCGAGCGGCTGACGGAGTGCTGGCTGGCGCCGCTGAGGGTGTGAAGGGCAGGTCAGGGAGGGCGAGTACGGCAGGGTGCAGGGGCCGCGTTGGAGTCGGCGGCATAGATCCGCCGCCGCCGTTCGTACCGGCCTTTCGGCCGCCGCCGCGACTCTGCGTCGGCGCGCGGTGGCGGCGAGCGCCATTGGGAGACGGCGGTGACGTAAGGCCCAGCGACGCAAGCAGCAGCATTGCATGCGCGGCGGCGCCGTCGCCGCTGCCTCGGCTGCTCCCTGGGCTACTGCAGCGGCTTCGGCCGGCGCTGGCGGCTGCTGCGCCGCCCCCGCTGCCGTCGCTGTCCCGCGTCTCCACCACCGTCAGCATCACCTCATCCGCCCTGGGGTGGCCCACGGGTCGCCAGCGGCCGACGCTGCCGCCCCCACCCCCGCCCGCGCTTCCCCCGCTACTGAGAGCAACGCCGCCGTCAATTTGAGCCCCGGACAGACGCAACCCTCGAAGCCCGAAACCCGTAACGCCTGCGCTGGGGGAGGTATTGCAGCCGCCCAGGCTGCCGTAGCAGCCGTTGCTGGCAATGCCGTAATAGCCGTTGATGCCGCCGTGGCTGGCATTGCCACCCGGGGCAAGGCTCCGGATGGAGATGGGGGCCCTGGGATCTGGCTGTAGCAAGTCGTACGACGACCAAACGGAAGCGGCCGTGTTGGGTCGTGACCCAGCTTCAGAACCAGGCGCCGAGCCGTCACGTGAGCAGCCGCTGAGGCACGCGGCGACCACTGGGGATCGCCGGGTCTGCGGGCGTTGGAACGTCAGGCACATCACTGGGGGTTGTGGCTGCGGCTGAGGTGGATACGGTGCGGCCGGCGGTCGACCGCCGCCTCCGCTGCCGATTGCTTTACCGGAAAGGGATCTAGAAGATAAGGCACGCGTGCGGTGCTGAAGACCGCTGATGGCGCCGCCAGTGGATGAACGAAGCGTCGCCGACGCCCCCGCAAGTCGCTTTAAAGCGAGTGTGCCGACGACGGCGGCAGCGGCGCCTCTTACCGGGTCCTCCTCGCCACAATCCTCCTCACATCCAAACTCGCCTGTCGCCCCCCCTACATCCTCATCGTCATAATACTCGTCCTCCTCCTCACCCTCGCCGCCGGCCTCATCCTCCCCACTGGCTGCGTCGCCCTCGTAAGCCCCCAGGTACTCAAACGCCGAGTCAGCGTCGGCGCCACCACTACCTGCAGACGACGCATGCCTCCGCTCCGCATGCTCCATTTGCCACAACGGCACGGATAACCGTTGTACGGCAGCACGAGCGCTTCCGCCAACGCTGCCGTTAGGTGAAGGCTCCGCATGTGGGTACTGCGCAACACCACGCGCACCCCCATTGGAGGTCAGCACAACAGAGCCGGGGGCTAACCGGCCGGCGGCGGCGGCAGATGACGCCGCTGCAGCAGCGGCAGCAGCAATAGCGGCACTGGCAGCCGCTGCAATCTCCTCTGCTGTGGCACCATGCTGCGCGAAGGCTGCCATGGACAGGCCGCTGCCGTGCTGCCCCTGCGCAAGGAGCCCCTGTGTTGTTGCGGGTTGCCCGCTGGCCCCTGTGGCAGCGCCGCTGCTGCCCATGCGACGCAACAGGAACTCTGCACTGAGGCTGCTGGCGGGCTGCAAGAGGGTGGGCGCGAAGATGGCACCAGAGGGGGCCCCCTGCGCTGCCGCCGCAGCAGTGGCTCGGCTGCCGCCATGGCCGCTGCTAGAGGCCGAGCCCCCAGGCCCGGCCGCAGGAAATGGATGGTTGGGGAGTCCCCCGGGCGTGGTGAAGCAGGCGTTGCCGTTAGCGGCGTAATGCAGGGCCGAGTCCGGGAGTTTGGGTTCGGTCGACGGTCGACGTCGGCCCGTGCTGCTGGATTGGCGAGGTAGGAGTGGGTTGTATGCGTATGGGCGCGGGGCTGCGGCTGCTGCTGCAGCGGCAGCAGCTGATATGGCCCCGACACGCGCGGAGGTGAAAGCGGCAGCGGGTGAACGGCCCGCTGTTGTGCCCTGGGAGGCTTGTTGGCGCTGACTCCGGCTATGGGAGTTGGCCGCGTCGGCAGGGCCTGAAGTGGGCTGTGTACGAGCTGATTGCCCAGAAGTCGCTGTAGCAGCTGAGCTGGGACCGACGGAGCCGGAGCGAAGGGCTAGCTGGCTTGTTGTGCCCGCGATAGAGCCATGCGCTGACTGTCCAGCCAGCACCGACAAAAGGAGAGCCGGATGCGTTGGCTGCACTCCTGAAATGCTTCCTTCGGCCGTGGATAACGCTTTGTAAGCGTTGGCAGGCTTCCATTGCGCGGTTTGCTGTGATATCGCCTGAGACTTGCTTGCAGCACCTGAAGCAAGCCCTCGACAATCCAGATGCAGCACGCCTGGGCCTCTCCTAGGCCTCTTTGGTGACATAGCACCATTCGATGCGGCTTGACCTGCCTCTGGCGTGTAAGCCGCGTCCAGTACCCATTGTGCTTGGGGCATTCACGCCAAACAGGGCCCCGCCTAATTGTCCTAAAGTAATATTTTGAGAATCATGATCACTACAATAACAACTGTACTCTAAGGAGGTTTCTCGAGGAAAGTCAGTTTGCCGATAACCTAATCGACTTCCTCCATATCGGCAAGCTTTATGATTTCTTTACCGTTTATCAAACTTTGTTATGAGTATATTGTTTAAGAGCGCGCTGGCTTGGGAGTCGTTACGGCTCCACAGCTTCGTCCTTCGTGTAAGGATTGCCGTCGTTCAAGTTGTGATCATAGGCGAAAGCCCTGATATATCCCAAGAACATCTAATTGTTCCTTCAGATGGACTCATACGATAACAAAGACTCAATACGGTGTTGAACCCCCTGCTGTGGGACCCACGGGCCCGGTCACGTGGGGCACACCAGTAAGCGCCCTCAGCATGCCAATCCTGCGCCCCTGTACCGCAAGCCAATGCCTAAACCCATCATCTGGACTGCTACCTCACGCTCAGCGTCGTGTCGGGCCTTTTACCATCTTTCATACATGCGCCACACAACAGTGGTGAGAACGTAGCCATGCGGCGCGGCTGCCCTTGACCCCATAACCCATGCCTGTGGATAACACGTGCTGCCGTATAACCATTCCCAGTTTTTATGGAAACTCGGGCCGCAGGCTGCCTGTGCTACACCTCCCTTGTCCACACAGCTCCTGTTGGGAGCGCCTAAGACGTCGAGGCTGAAGGTGCTTCGTCCAATGTGGCAAGGTTTGGGGCATTGGGGGCATTGATTCCGCAATGGTTTCAAGCAAGGCAGACAGGCAAGGGAGCTGAATGAAGGTGTGTGGAGAGTTGCGCTACGCCGCTAGCCAAGCACAGATTGTGCTCATAATCAGGAATGCAAGTCGCAATGTCATGAGAGATCGGAAAGTGGCAGCCTTGGGGAGGCACTGAAACGCGGACGGGTGCAATGGAAAGCTCGTGTTCAGCATGGCTTCCTGTGCCGTGCAGTGCAAGCCGGCGGTTGGTAACGTGACAGTACGTCCCCGTTTTTACGCAATTGGGTACCATATAATCGCACTGATGCCTTGAATTGGACTAATGTGGGCTGCTTTCCATGCAGTAATAATTAGGCGCCTTGGAGCTGGCGATGCTCTTAGCACTTCTATGCGCACGGTCGTGAACTTTTCTTCGGGGCTAGCATACATATCACCCAGGTTTCGTGGTGTTGCCTGTAACGCTAATAACTTTGCAATGGCAGCGGCCGTGGACCTTCGTGAGCAAAAGCAGCTGGCAAGGAAGCAAGTGAAGCTGGCGCTCCGCGAGCTGACGCCCAGTCAAATGATGGATGAAAGTGAGCTATCAGTTTATCAACACATGCCAAGAGTAATGTGCACACCTTTTACAGTCCTTGCGCACGACAGGCGCTCGCATCAGCTCGCGTATACTGGAGCTTAAGCCTTACCTTCAGGCTAAGACCTTAGGCATTTACCTTCACTGCGCAAAGCTCCGGGAAGTGGACACCACAGCCATCCTTGAAGATGCGCTGCAGCAAGGTACGGCCACGGCACGGCCGACTTTTTATGTTTGTTCGCCATAGAAGTATAGTTGCAGCAGATGCTGAATGCGCGAGCTGTAAAGTGTGGAATAGCGCTGTTTAGTCCGGCATCATTAGTGATGCAGTGACCCTCCCCTTCGGGCCGACCCAGATGTCCGAAGCAAAGTCACGGTTTTCTCCACAGCACCGCCATTTATCACAAGTACCCCAGCTAAGCTTTGCACACCCGACTCGCAGGCAAGCGCATTTACGTGCCAGTCGTAGAGGACAAGCAAAGCAACATGAAGCTCCTGCATCTGGGTACGTCTTTACTTAGAAGCCCGTGCAAGGCACGGTACGCGCTCGGCGCTGGGGGGACGGACATGCCAAAAGGGGGTTAAGCAGTGATATCACGGGGAGCATCTTGTGCACGGGAAGTACGGGGCGGCTGACAGTAGCAGGCGGACAGGGACATGGGGACGGATTGGTTCATGGTTACATGCTGGGCTTTGTGTCTTTGGGCGGGCGCCCCCCGCTTTTCCCCCCTTCTTCACTCCGTAGTCGCGCAGCCCTCATTTCCGTCATTTGCTACTCGGCTTCCTGGATCCGCTAGCTGGCACCCACTTGCCAAGCGCCATGTATGTCTTATGTATGCCGCCTGTTCCTCCCACTCCTGTGCCACCTGTTACAATCCAGACTACAGCTGTACAGGTGTAATGCCGTGTCCAACACTTTCCCAACGTACAGCTGGTCCTAGCTTGTCGCCTCATCCGCCTCCTTAACATGCCCATGACTCCGCCCTCTGCGCCCCTTGAAACCTCCTCCTCCTCCTCCTCCTTGCACTCCCCCTCCCTCCGCAGACGACATGGGCTGCCTGCAGAGCGTTCCTCCCTTTGGCATCCTGGAGCCTGCTGCGAGCTACACGGACGGAACTCCCCGGGAAGACCGTAAGCCTCTGTTTGCACCACATGCCGGAATTGTTTGGCGGGCAGGTCACCTCTTGGGGCTTGCCTCATTTACCTCATGGCTGCCGTACCTAGCCTCTCTGACTCGGGATGTGCCTAGACGTGCTGTTGCTTTTCCTCTGTCCCTTTCCCCTCACCAACAGCCTGATTCGGGTAACTCTAATGGTGTGCACATCAACCCTTCCCCTCCTGCTGCCTTCTTCTCGTCGTCCCTCCCTGCAAAGTGATGAACAGCGACATGCACCTGGACGTGCTGCTGATGCCGGGACTGGGTTTCGACCAGGCTGGAAGGCGGCTGGGGAGAGGAGGCGGGTGCGTAGGGCTGGAAGGCGGGACGGGAGGGGTTCAGGAAGCTGTGCTGTGGTTGGGGTTGTTGCCACCACAAGTGGCTTGGCTTTCAGATGGGAGGGTGCGGTTGCGATACCATGCTTTTTTGCAACACCGTACTACCTATGACTATCTCTATAACCTCTTCTACCGGCATCTTGACCGACGCCATTTGTTTGCATGTGCTGCCCTCGCCCCCCGCCCGCATGCCCCCCTGGTCCGCGCCTGCGCTTGCATGGGTATGTGTGGGGTGTAGGTACTATGACAAGATGGTTTCGGGGCTCCGGCGGCGGGCACTGGAGGCTGGCCGCGAGGCACCCTTGCTGGGTGAGACTGGGTAGAGGTTGATGGGGGTGATGGAGATGGCTGGTAGTGGTGGTATGTGATGGGGTTAAGCAAGGTGGGTTGGGGTGCGGTTGCATGGGAGTGAAATGAGTGGAATGGGACTGGTGCTGGGAGGCGAAGCGCCCCTGTAGCTGGGTGAGAGGGGTGGGGGAGGTGGCAGGAGTCCGGTGGGCATGGTGTTTGCTCTCTCCGCCCGCTGAGTCCAACCCCCAAACCCCTCTCTCCCCCCTTGTCCCTCTTGCTGGCACGGTAAACGGCATACTCCCGGCTCCCTTGGTTGCTGGGTAAAACAACGATCACGTTTTACCTTGCAACACACATATGCGTGATTATGTACAACAACTACGGACAACCAACACTCCTCAGTTGCTTTGTCGTACGAGGCGCAAATGCTGCCCGCCGTACCGGTGAGCGAGTACGACCAACAAATTGACGTGTTGGTGAGCGGCGCTGGCGGTGTGGTTGGCTGCTCTCAGCGCGGCTGCGAAGCCATCGCCACGGCCAACACGGCCTGACACCTACCCGGCCGCATCATCATCACCTAGCCTCTCGAGAGCCCATGTGGGCCTTCAGGTGGTTCTGGGGCGGTCCCTTGACCCCTCCGTTTGAACTGCCCTTCCAGTTGAGGCACCAGAACCAGTACCGGTAGCCATTCCCCTTTGACGTTTGACTTTGATGGATTGTGTGAGTTGGGACATCTGGGTGGGTGCAGAAGGGTGTTCAGAGCCGTGACGAGCGAGAGCGTTGAGAGCTGTGACTGGTGACGTGTGCGAGGTTTCCTTAAGAAACAGACGGCTTGTCGAGGAATGAACGGGGGTTGTGCAACAAACCTCCGCCGTTGGCAAGCGGCTTGTCATGGGGAGACGGCCTTGTACCTCATCACTGTGCTGCTGGGGTGACGTTGGCGTGCGGGGTGGGGGGTTAGGGCATGACCGCTCAAGCTAAGAGGAGGTAGTGAGGGAAAGAGTTTGGGCGCCCGGCTTTCAACCAACTGGTCAGGACGCAATGATATGCTAGGGGTGACTTGGGGCTAATGACCGGTGACTAGAGGTTCTAAAGGTGTAGCAACTTGGGGATGTACAAGCGCCCTCCTGCTATGATTCTGGCACGGGCATGTGTGTGTTTGGGTGCGAATAGGAGGGTCCTCATGCCACTGCTGGTCGATGGTGATGACGTTTGGGGCCTGTCTGGGGCATCAAGTTTCGGGAGCAAGGGATTGCGTGTGGTGGTCTGTGAGAATGGACTGCAAGCGCGCCGGCATAAATGCTTTGCCGTCGCACGCTTTTGATCTTGCTGGCTGCGCCTAGCTTCCGTTTTACAGTGAACAGCAGTGTGCTCATTCCTTTGTTGGTCATCAGCGTCATATCCATGCATGCTGGCTCGCGCTTCGCTATCACACATCGGACGGTTACTAGGTTACCATCGGAATGGCATATGAGACTATGACGACATTAATCTTACTGCAATGAACTCAGAAAGCATAGGAGCGCGCATGGTTTTAGGCTCAGGGAAGTTAAAGGAAGTCTGTCGACGGGCAGTTGGCGATCCAGGACCACCCAACTACGTTTTCATACATAGTCTTAACGCACAATCCGCACCGCATCCGACGACTAACCAAGGGAACCTGCTAGGGCAAGCCATCCATTCTGTCGACTAACCAAGGGGAACCTGCTAGGGCAAGCCATCCATTCTGTCGTGCCAAACCCTAAAGGCTCGCCTGCAGAAGAAAGTGAAGCATCCCCTGAATTAAAACATCGAACATATGCCATATTTGGTTGCTTATCTTGCTTATAGACCTAGGCTAAGCTGGTACAACAGTGTTCGACAGCAGTGTTAGACAGCAGTCATGCGTGCGTCATCGCATTGGTAACGCACAGCTTCTTTGCAGCTTGGCTAAGTTGTGGACAAGGATGGTGGGCCGTAGGCTCTCTGTCGCTAGGTCGCAGCGCGCCAGCAAAGATACGACAATCAGAATTGCTCTTTATCCTTGAGTACCAGAAAATTATCATATGCATGTGCATAGCAACTTGCGGCTTGTGCGGTGCTGCCAATGCACCTCGCCCACCTCCTTCGCCCTCCGCCGTACTCTCTTAGCTGGCGGGCGGCATCCTTCTTTATTATGGTCGCCTTCTTAAAAAGTCTTATCTCTCTACCTGCTACGTTTGTCCGCAATTATCTCGCAGGAAACAAGCTTGGCCAGTGTGGCCCCTGCCCGACAGACAGAACAGGACTGCCGTACGTTTGCTTCGATTCTATTCTCGAGACAGCATAAAAGGCTTCAAACTATAAGCCTCGCTATCACTAAACCCGACCGTACCGTCGCTGCTCTGAGCTCGCTGCCTGTTGCTGCACTCCAGAATACTTGCCAGAATGGCCCGCTCCTTCCGCCCGCTCCTGGCGGTGTTCCTGGCTGCCCTTGTGCTCAACATGGCCGTCGCTCAACAGGTAAGATCTATATGCAGTTTGTCGCGCGCTGTCTGCATCCTGTTTGGGCAGCATCACAATTATGCCAGCAAGGTCCGAGGCACCCCTACGCCAGGCATATATCGCCTAGCAAGCCTTGAGGCATTCGTTCATGTCATTGTCACTTTTTCACTGCCACCAATGCGAAGTTCGGCCGTCTTTTACGTTTGCCAACATCTACGCATGCTTTTACTTTAATGGGCTGCGCATTGTGTCTTGTCGACAAACCATCATGTCGTCTTCGTCTTAGTGCGCTCGTACCATCCACTTCGATGCCGCCCTGTTGACATCCTTTCGCCACTATTCTGTCGCCTTGCGCTTCGCCTTGCGCTTCGCCTTGCGCTTCGCCAAGCTAAGCTGACAAGCCAACATATGTCCCAAACATTAACCCCATTCCTCTTGCTTGTTCGCAGAAGCCGCAGCTTGGTGGCAACCGCCGTCTGCTGGAGCAGCCCATCACCATCCTTCCCAACCCGTTTGGCACCTACGGCAGCCCAAGCCCAAGCCCTGACCACACCCACCCTGTAGCTAGCCCCCCTGTCTCTCCTGCTTACGGCGATTACCCACCGTCGCCGACGTATGGTACCTACTAAGGCCGCAACATCCCTCAAGACATATAAACCGAATCTTCCCTCAAGACATCTATGAGTTGGGCAGGAGTAGGGCCATGCATTGTTTGGTGAGCCGTGTGTCATGTCCTGGCTGAACGAGCCGCCAGTGCGGCAGCAGAGATGTGACCAGCAGGCTCAGGTTCTGTTGGAATCCTGAGGACGGCCCATATTAGGCGTTGCAGGCGTGCCTGACTGACCGTTACCACTAGTGCCACGTACATGTCCTGTTTAGGCTGCGCATTCGTTCTATGCCTCTATGTGACACGTTAAGAAGACATGCTGTGAGAGCGTACGAGCGAAGGTCATTAGCATTGTGATTCCCCGGTTAGTGTTGTGGTATCCGGATATGTATTGGTAGGTGCCGTAATGTTTCAAGCCAGTTCGCCAGAGCGATGGCGACTATTCACATGTCCTGTTGCATTTGTAGTGCGAACTGAAGCATTCTAGTTTAGGTTAGGATGGTGGTGACATGGGCGACGTATAAGAACGTTACAAGACGAGGTCACTCGCGCTCCCTACCTGCTTCTCCGACGTCCTGTGTGCCGCGATTAGACGTGAAACTACCAGTCGGGATGTATATGGACATTTATTTATTGAAGGACAATACTGAGCGGTCACCATTGTGACCCCCCGCAGTCGGCAGACAGTGTAAACCTGTTACTTAGGCTCCCCTTGTCTCTTTTCACATCTGTCGTACAAACCGCATAATCAAATACGGTTGTGTGTCGATTAAAGTGTCCTTCTGCTGTTAATCTGTGTTACCCCTTGCTTAGATGGTCCTAGGTACTCTAAAGACGCATGCGGATCATTAACATATCGAGAGAACCGCAGCATACGTTGCCGTGTGAATGTGACATCCCTGAAGACAGCTGCTCTTTCTTACTCCAAACTAGTCTATTCATGATGATACGCCCCGTTCTGGGAGGGACAAAATGTCGGTGAGAGGATTCTGTGGACAGCCACGTGCCTAGAAGCTGAGCACCGGCTTTTGTGCACACACGCTTTTGACTGTACGACAGAGATACGCCAGAAAGAAAACCGCAAGCGACAAAGCCACAACTCCAACCCCGGGCACATACACTTACACAGCATCACGAGTTACCTTGCCAGCAAACTGAGCATGCCGTTACCGGTAACAGGACACATAATATTGACCTGCTGTCTATTGGTTTGGCTTTGATCTATCCATGTCGGATCCGAAACCAATATCCGTTCCAGCATTCCAAGCCTCCGAGCCCCTTCGAACATAAAAAAAGAAGGTACTACTTATACTGTACGAGCGAATCGGCGGAGTGCAGGCAACATTTACGCAACCGCTTAGCCTTCTTCTGCGGTAGGGTAATCCGCAGCAAACAGCAGCAACATCAGCAGAGCAACGGAAACGCCACTGCAGGCTACGTGTCCACAGATATGACCCAGGCGGTGCACTTGGGAGCGCAGCTGCAGCAGGCGCCCAAGCACAAAAACGACGCAGGGCGCATGCATGATGCCGGCTACACTCATCGCTGGGTAGCGCGGGCCGCCAGAGAGCTGAGGCAAGGCTTGCACCTTGGTCTCTCCCACGTGCTCCGTCTCCCCGGCATCGTGCCTATTTACCCCTTCATTGCAAAACGGCGGCCCGCTCGCATGGCAGCCATCGTGTCCCGCCCCTTCACGCAGGGTCATATAAGGCGTTGACAGCTACACGCCCCTCACAGCAGGGACATGTGCAGGGGCTCCACCGCCTGCCCCTCCTTGACCAGCGCCGAGATCTCCTTGAAGCGCGGGTGCTTGGCGTCGCCCATCAACTGGAACAGAGCCAGCTCGCTGTTGCTGATCAGCGCGCCTGGAGGGAGGGAGTGGGAAGAGGGCAGGACGGTGAGGGGGCGGCGTCGCAGAGACGCAAGGGCTGGGCAAAGCAGGTGGGTAAAGCCAAAGGTAAACTGATACGGAAGTGAAATGCGCCCGGCGTGGTAACCCTCAATGCACGTTGACCGCACTGCAAGCAGTACACGCTTTTCGGCCTAACCCCGCCCACCCTAACCCCGGCTCAATACACCCACTCCACTCCAGTAGACTACAGTCAGGGGCAGTGTTTCCGCGGCGCAGTTTATCTAATCACCCACTCCATCGTCTACGCCAAAGACGCCAATCCGCCTGCAAGCAGGACGCCCTCCATTAACCCCATCCCTTGCTCCACCCGTCCAGGCCTGTCCATTCCCTCCGACAGCCCTCTATCGGGTCAAAGCGTAAGCTCCCCCGTCCCCATCCTGCCCAAGGCCGTTCCCCTCCAAGGTGGGTTTCCCCGCTCGCTATGGCTATCCACGGTGCCTACGTTGCTCCTCCATACAAATCCAATCAGCCATGCGACGTCCCCCAGCTCCCCACCAACGAGCCGTACTGCCCTCCCATTGTGCGTACCAACTCGCCCAACCACATGGGGTTATATGTACGTGCTTCAGACTCACCCGCCTGCGCCAGTCGCTGAATGCCGGTAGCGCGGTGGTGGGGCCGCGTGGAAGAGACTCCGTCCGTGAGGAGATGCACCTCGTAGCCACGATCCAGCAGGTCCAGACCCGTCTGCAGCACGCAGACGTGCCCCTCGATGCCAAGCAGCATCACCTAACGAGGGGTAGAGAAGTTGGGAAGAGCGGGAAGAGCTGAACAAAACGCGTATGGAGGGTGATAGCAATTCTGGTCCAAGCAGCAGCTGGAGAAGGGACGGAGAAGTGCGAAAGGACGATATCATTGAGTAGTAGCAGGAAACTTCCAAATTTGGGCAACAGCTATCTTTGGCTGGACCATATGCTTAGAATCAGATAACGTCTCGTAAAGTAACAGCCATGTGAGACGCGCACTGCTCAAGGCTCGTGGCCATCAAAATCTATACGCGTTGGCCACGAAACAGACCCCGAGAAGGTATCAGACATAAAACTTACTAAACTAACACAGTTCCACGCACATGCGTTTAATGCTCGCACGACAAACCTGGCGGACATTTGGCTTGGACTCCAGCCAGTTATCGACGTCAGGGGTGCACATGGAGAACATCGTCTTGGGGAACACCGACGTGCCAGAGGGCAGAACGATCTCAGACACAGTGGAGCCTAGAGCCTTGGGATACTGCTCGGTAACCAGGATTGGGATTCCTAGCACGTCAGCGCCTTGAACCATTCGGCGCGCTGTATCAATAACAGTGGGATAGCCGGAAATAGCAGGCCGGAACTTTTCCTGAATGTCGCACACGAACAGGGCGGAGCTGTTAGCCCGCAGGCGCCCAAGGACACGAGAAGCCCCGGTCATTTTCAAGCGTAGACAACGAAAAACGATGGCGAGGGCGATCGTGTTCAATTAACCAACGCTCTGGGTGTGTCTCGGATAGACAGTTCCACAGCTACACCGTGATCGGCTCCATTTGCTGTCGTGGCGCCGCTCCGAAACTGTGTCCAATCCTCCAACGCCCAAGGCCCAACCATGATTTACCAACACAGCTGACAAAAAAACCTTCTCGTGTGTACAGGTATGCTACTGTGCTTAGCAGCTTCTGCTTATTCAGCAAGTCAGCCGACTCATGTGTAAACAAAGATTGTCACCGCCTTTGCAGCACGACCAATGGAGTATAGTAATAGGAGTTGTTACCGTACCATATAACGGATATACATTTAGCTTGCAATACATTTCAGTCTCAACCCAAGCTGACCCTATAATCCCCTGCCCTATCCGGTCGTTCCTTCTCCAGTGCTGGGACGACCCAGCTAGACACCAGGATGCCCCCCCTTAAAGTTGAACGCTCTCTCTTACTAGTCATACGCCAGTAACCACAGTTAGGAAACCCTACATGACCAATCACACACGCATGCGACTTTCGGTAATCCGTATTTGTAATGCTGAAGCCGTGACATGACCTTCTCTGGCAGTCCTCTCCCGTCAGGGTTGTTACTATCTAGCGCTCTTGTGCAAGTGGCCTCAAGCGGAGAAACCGCTCGATAGAGCGACCCATTTGCATTCCTGAAGCAAGCACCGACTAGGCATATGGCCAGCCCACGCGCTGGGCGACTCGTAGCAACATTCGCAACCTACTCGCCCTTTGGGACCGATGTACGACACTATCGTGCATGCGGCCTAGACACGGCGGTGTTCAAACTGCGCTGCTTCCCACCAGCTGTCGATATTTCGCCTTGCATGCACGCGCAGGGATCGTCAGGGATGCCAGGGAAAGTTACCGCATAATGGATAATTGCCGGCAGCCAAAGCTAATATAGCGGCTCAACCTGTTCATGAACATCACAAGGGGCAGCCCGTTGCCTTCTCCGTCCCCTTACGCATTGCACTTCACATTTATCCCCTAGTCCGCATGCCGCCGTCTCCATACGCCGTTTATATGCACCCTAATTCGACCCCGGCAAGTAGGTCTATACAGATCTGCAGGGGCCCATGGAAGCAAGCGCTACAACGGAGACTATCCGCAATCAACACGTCCCCCGCCGGATCCATACAAACCTGCGCTCATCGATTCACAGGAGACAGACCACATGCTCAGGAGGAAGGGCAGGCAGCGACGCAGTAGCCAGGGCACCGCATGCACTCGGACCTCTGCTGCCAGCACAATGGGTTGACAGCAGCATTACAAGCTCAGGCCCCCCCCACGGCGTTCCTACACGCCCCATGCCCACACCGCGGCCATTCCATGGGGCTTATTCGCCCGCTCCTCCCTCTTCGTTTCTTGCTTCTTGTCAGCTTTGCATCCACATCATTGGCTAAACGCAACGGCATCAAAGCAACACTTAACTCTCCTGCGCCGTCTGGGATGCGAGTGTGTGTGCCAGCTCGAAAGGCGTAGCAAGTTCCGTACACCACACACGACTTACGTAGGCGAACCGCACGCCTAAGCCTAGTCTCCAATATATGGACGTGCCTTTGCCCTGAACACGTGGGCAAAGGCTAGCACGTGCTACGTCGCCTGTGCCGCCGCCGTTGCCTTTTTGTCCACTCAATCTGACTCAGTCCTCCAATAAGTGCTAATTCACTCTTCAGACGGTTTGCTAAAACGCACCCCATCCAATGTGTGCTGACGATGCCTCCGCTTTCCTTCACCGCCCCCCTCGTCAGCGTCATCCTAAACTGCTCTATTGCGCTCCCAAACGGACCCGTTGTGCCTCCCTCATACGCAGAAGCGGTAGGTAACGTAGCGCCCGGCGGTTTCGGAGGGTCGCACAATCCTGACCACCTGCCCGCGTTGCAACCCCAGGTAGCGAGCCACGGCGTCCGAGGACTTGGGGGGGAGCAGGGAAGCGAGTGTAGGCGGGAGGTGGGCAGGAGTAAGAGATGTGACGGGGTCGGGCTATCGAGGGAAGGAGATCGGAACTGACACTATCGGAACTACCAATGCCACTCTACTTGCCCCGTCAGCCGCTAACTTTCCCTTCTAACTACCTGCATGCAACACAGCCTCTGCATGTATGCCTGCAGGCGTCTCATCCCTCACACCCCCAACAAATGAAAGAACCTCCAATGGCCCCTTAAACGACGCCCTCCTTCTCCACCACGCCCCTCACCACACCCACCCCCCACCTGTATGCGCGGCAACTGCGTCTCCTTGATCTTGTACCTGCCCAGCAGCGTGCGCTTCTCCTCGGGGCTCAGGATGCGGTGCTCCGGCACCAGCACGTGCTCCGTGATGTTGACCAGCAGCTCGCTCTCCAGGAAGTGCTCGATGTGGTACTTGGGCCGCATGTCCTCCAGCGCGCTCTTGGCAAAGGGGGTGAACTTGACGGCGGTGACCATGATGGCGCGGTTCACCTTCTCGTCCTTCATGCGCTCAGCAAGGAGCTGGCGGGAGAGGGGAAGGAAGGCAGGAGGGCAGGCAGGCGGGATGAGGGGGATGAGGGAGGAGTTGTGGATGAGGGGGTGTAGGCGTGTAGCAGCCCAGGGCGATAAGGAGGGGATGTCTGAATTCGTGTGTTAAAACCATGCGCCGTGGGGGTAAGGTTGCAGGATGGGCACTACGTGGACCAGGCGGGGGGGTTCCTTAGCAGGGCTCTGCGGCAAAGGGTTCAGACGACGTGTTGGGATAAGGAGCGTGGTGTGGGGTGGCAACCGAGTCCGATATGCCGCTGCTTCGTTTGCCGGCAAGCCCGAGCCGTGGAAAGACCAGGTAGCAGTTGAGCCAGCAGGAACGGGGTCAGGTACTCGGCATGTTGGGCGCGCGGCAGGGGACGAGGATGATGAGGCGACGTGGGAGTGCCGCATGCTTGTGTTCATAGGGAGCAGCCAGCCGGCAGCTCTTACCCCTGCCTGGGCAAAATGCGACGCGCAGGAACCCCTCTTTTTTTCCTATCGACCCCTAAAGGGCCGTTTTGCTTTTGCCTATGGGAGCCTTTGCAGACAGGCGCAGCTACTGTACTAGTCATTTGCAGCGCAACTCCGCAAGGAACTAGCAAACCCTGCACACCTCCCCAGCAGCTCCCATATCTGCATCCATGCAACTGCTGTCTCAACAAAGGTATGTGCTGCGCCATGCTGTCATCTGGCATTGTCGCACACAATACACACGCGGCCAGTTTTGTACCCATACACGCATCCCGTGCTTCCCTGAGCTATAATCCCCACGCGCCGTACACTGGTGCCGTACCTTGATGGTCTTGACTCCAACTTTCTGCTCCTCCGGGAAGAAGACGAAGATCTGTACGAGAACGGAGTCGCGGTGAGGTTGTAGGTTTACGCTGTTCGCGCTGCGGGTCAGGTGACGACCATGAAAGAGACATGGCCATCCTCCGGGTTGGGCACTTCAGACTAGCCCCGTGTCCTAGTCCCATACCGTCCCTCCACACCCACACCCCCGACAATGTTTCCCCTACACCATCCGATAGGCGCCGTATGTACGCTGTAGGGCTGCTGGCAATACAGGGTTGCGATTGCTTAACCCCGATGGCCCCGTGGTCCATCGCATGCATACCTGCTCTGTTGGATCGTCCTGCTTGGGCACCAGGATAGTTAAGTCATCTTTTCTGGGGTTCTCGCCAAAGCGGTCGCGAAACTGGTCCTTAGTCGTGTGCATCTCCTCTTGGCTGACGAGATAGCCTCTATCATTGAGCATTTGAAGACATGTTCGCCGCACGCGCCAAAATCGGGTGAGGTTATCCATTTTCGGCTATGTTACGCAGCCCGCAGCCCTTGGCGCAGTCGGCCGGCCGGGTTCGGGCGGCCAGCTGGCGGCGCCCAGACACAAGTAGAGGCTTGTATTAAGCTGTATGGAAAGGTGGGGTGCAACTGCGTTTGGTAAAAGGCGCACAGTAAGGGCGTGGGTGTCAACTAGATTGCGCAGAATTCAAGAGGAAAACTACTTTGATAGCGGTATGCGTAAGTTTGGGAGCGCCGTTCTTAGCAAAAGCAATAAGCGTGCCAGCTAATCGGGCAAGTTGTTTGGTTACCTGCAAACCGGCAAACCGTGCGTACAGCGCACGATGATCGCTTAAGCAAAACTTGCTGCAGTATTCTCTTTTTATATTCAATAACGCAAGTGTCACATAATAGCCCTGCTTATCCCTATAGCCTACCAGGATCTTGCAAGAAAATGTTCTCATAATAACATAAGCTCGTTCCAGGGGCCACACAGTAACCATGTCTGATAACGAGGACCTTGAGGATAACTTAGCCGACCAGCAGCACGAGAACGAAGATGCCGAGGAGGGCGCTGGTGCTGAGGGCGACGATGGCGAGGGGGCGGCGGGCCTAGTCGAGGGGGAAGCAGATGATGAAGACGAAGCAGAGTATCAGGACTCCTCGGAGGTGAGCTCCTCGCGAGAATCGCTGCTTTGGGAGCCAGGTCAGCAAAAGTCCATGTTCTGCAGGAGGATGAGGACGAGGAGCAGAATGAATACGAGGAGGATGGCTTCATCGTGAACGATGCTGAGGAGGAAGAGGAAGAAGAGGAGGAAGTGAAAAGGCGGGATATATCCAAGAGGCGGAAAAAGAAGAAGCGGGGTCGGGACCTCCGACTTGACGACGAAGACTATGACCTCCTTGAGGAAAATCAAGTGGTGGTGAGTTGGGCTATAGTCGGGGAGCGGGGGCTCTTAGGCGGAAGCTGTAGGGTATTGGCCTTCCCCATAACCCATAACCCTGCGAAGCACCCTCTTAGCTGGTGTATTTCTCCCCTGCGGCATCTTTCCGTCCGGGAGGGATTAAGCCATTTTATGACCCCGCCACACACGGACTCTTGCCGGCCGGCTCTCCCTGTGATGCCCTCACCGGAGCACCCCTCACCGCCCCTGTTTGCGATGCCTGTGGCCCCCGCATCGTTCTGCTCCTACTTGCAGGCAACCGTCGTCCCACCTATCGCAGCATGCAACCCCTTCCCTCCTCATGAGCCTACTGCTCATGCCCTTGGCATCAACACTTAACCATCGTGCTTACCCCGCCACGCTCATCCCAACCCCAACCCCACCACGCCCCGGTGTTCCCAGGGCATCCGCCGCCCCACCGGCCGCAAGCGCCTCAAGAGCAAAGCGGATGATGCGCGCAAGGCGACCGACGCAGCGGACATTCAGAAGGAGCTGTTCGGATACGAAGGCAGGGCAGGGGAGGGGCTATGAAGGCGGGCTGGAGTGCGGGACTCCGCCGCCGGGGTTACCTCGCTCATTGGATGCAAATCCTGCACCGTCCCCGTGTACCAGGCCCGTTGGTCTTTTCGTTTCCGCGTTACCCGCTATCCGGCCGTGTTGCGCCCCTGCGCGCCCCCTTATTACCGGTACTTCCCTCGCACCCGCTCGTGCACACCCCCAGAGCTGGAGGATGAGGTGGAGGAGGCGGGCGGGCAGGACATGGGCCGGGACACCTACGAGCAGGTGGGCAAGGGGGCGAGGCGGCTGCCAGCCGTTTGCTGCGGTGGCACGCTACCCCACGGTTGACTCCCTGCTTGCCTTCACGAGTGGGCTCCCTTTCTTGCTGACTCTAGCCCTCACCTTGGTGCTGCTGTCCTCGACGCTGCATACCTACGCTTATCCGCGCTGCCGACCAATAACAAAGCACATGTAAACAGGGTATTGGTATGGCATGTCCTGCCGGAACCTGCCGCGCCGGAACCACGACCATGCCAGGTCGTCATGACCGCAACCCCTCCTTCACTGCTCCCCCCCAGGGCGATTACGAGGACTTTGACGACCAGGATGACGGCCTGGGTGACTTCATCGTGGAGGGAGACGGCACGGCGCCGCGGCGGCACCGGCGGGGACCCACCAGCATCCCGGGGGTTAGCAGCAGGGCCATGCAGGTGTGTGTGGCAGCGGGGGGCGGGGTTGCGTCGGGAAGGGGTTCAGAGTTGTAGGGTGCGTTGTTCAGGGCTGGCGGGGATGTAAAATTGGTGAAAGGGAAGTTTGAGCAGCAGGGCTATGCAGGTGATGGGGGGCGAGAGGGGGGAGTGAGGGTTTGAAGTTGAAGGGGGTGACTTTTGCTGGTATGGACTGCACGTCAGGCCCAGGAGCGGCGTTCCTGTAGGGTTTGAATAACGCTGGACGCCAGTTGCATCGAAACCCCTCACAGCAATTGGGGACTGGGAAGCCTTTTGCATGCTTCCCACGCCTTGTCCGGTACCTGTAAACGTGTCCCTGCATCAGGCTCCGCTAAACTTGCCCCTCCTGCCTGTACCGCCACGCAGGATGCATTTGAGATCTTCGGTGACGTGGACGCCCTGATGGACATGTACGAGGCGGCCAAGCAGAAGCCCGCAGCGGGGGGCCCGGGGGGCGGGGAGGCGGGCGCGGATGAGGAGGAGGGAGAGGGGGAGGAGGAGGAGTACGGGGAGGACGATGATGAGGCGGCAGCGGAGGCGCGGCGGCAGCGGCGGCAGCAGAAGCAGCGGGATAAGACCTACAAGCAAGCTATGAAGGTGAGTGAGGCGGGGATGAGGGAAGCAGGGGTTGGGTGGGTGTGCGTGGTGGGGTTTACGGATGGTAAAGGAGGTGGTCAGGTGGTCGGGTGTTGGGACCAGGGCAAGAGGGAGATAAAAAGCACTGCATGGGAGGAGGGCATAGTCGTTGACCGCTCCCGCGCAACCATGCGAAGCCTCGTGTTCTTCATTCCCTGGGTCGGTCAGTAATGCCACATACACCTCCCCCCTGCTGCTGCTCACACACACCTCCCTTGCTGCTGCGGCCCCCTGTCCCCACCCCTGCCGCCCCCAGGTGATGGACCCCGAGCAGCTGGCGCGGGCGCACCTGCGGCCCGAGGACCAGGAGATCAAGGACCGCGACATGCCGGAGAGGCTGCAGGTGGGGGGAGGGGGAGTGGGGGGGTGAGGCTGCGTGGGAGGTAATGCAATATGCAATGTCGGTACTGGGTTACCCACAGTAGAAGCTAACATGAAGAGTAGTAGGTGCTGGAACGTGGTTGGTAGGTAACTAGAAGGTAAGCAGCAGCAGATGCTGTGTGACAAAGTGTCTCACACCCGCGTCCTCCCCCTCCTCCCCCTCCTTTTCCCCCCCTCGCAGGAGACGCTGGGTCCCGACGGCGGCGGCCCCAGCGGCGGCATGGACCTGGATGCGGCCGCGGAGTGGATCTACCGCACCATGCGGGAGGCCAACAGCCCGGAGTGGCAGCTGCTGGCGCGGGGGGTGGAGGAGGTGGGGCGGGGGAGAGGGTGGTGGGGGTGGTGGGGAGTGCAGGAGTGGGCTGGGGCGGCGCATGGGCGTCTCTTCAGGGTGGACGTGCATGCGCAGCAGTGAAAAAGATTTGCCTTGGGGGTGTCGAGAAGGGAAACTTGTTGGTGGCGGGCAGGGCAGGGCGGGTAATGGCACTGAATGGAGCCACACATCGCCCTCCAACCCCTCCTCTCCTACCCTTCCTGCCCCCCACCGCAGATCGACGGCACGTACGACAGCAGCACTGCCAGCGGCCGTGTGGATGACCCGCGGGCCGGCGAGCAGCGCGGCGAGGTGGAGGGCGACGACGTGCTGGGCGGGCCGCGGGAGGCGCTGCTGCGGCTGAGCTTCCACCGGGCCATCCTGATGCCGCGCAGCGAGGACGGCATCCAGCGCTGGAGCGAGGATGAGACGCGGCATGGGAGGGTCAAGGCGGCGATTCGGCAGGTAGGGGAGGATGGGGGTCCGGAGGAGGGGGATGGTGGGGGCAAGGAGGGGCTGTTGGGTAGGGTGGATGGCTGGAGGATGTGTGGAATTTGGTTAAGAGGAAGAACGTAACGAGGGGGTAGGGAGCGAGTATGGGACACGGATTGTGGAGGAGGAGGAGGAGGAGGAGCCCCAGCATGGACCATGCAAACCCACGCCCACCTCCGACCTCCCTCTCCCGGCCCCCTCCCCTACTCTCCCCGAATGGTTCCACTCGCGAGGAGCTTGCCATTTAGTTTGCCATTTTCATTCAACACATTGGGTATTCCTCTCTCCCCCCTCCCTTCCCCAGGTGCTTACCCAGTTTTTCGAGCGGCACGAGGAGGTGCCGCTGGTGGCCATGTACCGCAAGGAGCTGGCGGGGCCGCTGCTGGCCATGGGCGGCGAGGACGTGCCGCTGGTCACCAGCCAGGAGGAGCTGGAGCGACAGCGGGACAAGCGGCACAAGCGGCACTACGACCAGGGCTTCGTGCAGCCGCACCACAGGAGGATCAGGAGGTGAGAGGAGGAGGTGCTGGGGGGAGGGGGGAAGCTACAGCATGATCCCGCACCGCTACTGGGCTCCAATCTTACACCAAAGTCACCATGCATGCCTGCTGCAACATCCCCTCCCCCCGCACCTCTCCCCGCACCTTCCCCCCTGCCCCCCCAGGTGGGCGGTGCTGTGGGCTGTGTTCGACTCGGCGCTCCGCTTCCGCTCGCTGGTGCAGCGCCGTGACCGTGCCGCCGCCGCGCTGGCTCGCAGCCGGGAGCTGCTGCACGCGGCGCTGGCGGAGGTGGCGGACCCGGCGGGGGAGCGGGCGGCGCAGCTGGACTTCGACCTGCGGGCGCTGGACGACTGCGGGGAGGCGCTGCAGGTGGGGGGGCGGGAGGGAAAAAATTGTATAAGTGGAACAACGAGTCCCAATCCCATATCCCGAATCATGCAGTGGGCGGGAGGGGGGGTTGGAGGGGGGTAAGGAAGAAGAAGAAGTGAAGCAGTGTGGGGTGGCAGGAGTGGATGTGTACAGCCTCGTATAGAGGTGCGATGCGCTGAACGGTAGCTACCGATATTACCAGCGTCGTGACCGTGCCTACACCGTATCGCCACCATGTCGCCGCCACTGCCCGACCTGGCAATGCAGCCATACCACCCATCCACATCGTCCTGTCACGGCCCTGCGCTCAACCCGGCCTGATGCCATATCCTCCCTGCGTGGCTCCCTCCCCTCCTCCCCTTGTATCATTATCATACCACACTATGGAATTTCGTTTTCCCCTCCTCCCCCCACCCCCCAGGCTGCCGGCACCGCCGAGGCGCTGAGTGACGTGCAGCAGCGCATGAACCAGGTGCTGTCCTCCTACCCCGAGGTGCAGATGGCGGCGCTGTCCATCAGCAGCGGGGCGGCAGCGGCAGCAGCGGGGGGAGGGGGGCCGGGAGCAGCGGGGGCGACGAGGAGGCCGAACAGGGGCGCGGCGAACAGGGCGGCCAGGCTGATCGGTGTGCAGGTGGGAGAGGCGAGAGTGGTATAAAGGGTGGGAAGCGGGAGGGACGGTATGCAGTGGAAGGTATAGGTGGGACTGAGTGGATTAGGACTTTGGAGCCTGTGTTGCATGCCCGTGTCCGTCTAAACACGCTTGCATGCATGCAAGCTTCTGTCCGTTTCCCTTCCTCGCCTTCCTTCATCCACTGCCCTTCCCCTCGTGCCCCTATTTAACCAAGACACGTTACCCCTCGTGCCCTCTTCCCCCCCCCCAGGAGCTGGTAGCGGACTTCTGCCTGCCCCCGCAGCAGTTCGTGGCCAACCTGTCGGAGGCGGGGCACGGCGGCCTCACGCACGAGCCGCCCACCCCCGTCGCCCCCGTGCTGGAGTGGGCGCAGGCGGCGCTGGCCAGCCTGCAGGAGCGGCACCCGGAGGTGAGGGATGCGGGTGGAGGCGGCTGAAGCGACCCGTGGGTCGGGTGGGTCTAGGCGCTCGCAGCAAGTGGATTGGCGAACAGGGAGTCTGGTAGGTGAGACCCGTGGGTCATGTCTCTCCACAGACGTATCCCTTTCCCCTTCTCCTTATCTAAACCCCCGCTCCCTCTCCCACCCCGCCCCGCCCCCCTCAGAGCGCCTCCTTCTCCGCCTACACCCCCGAGAACCTGGTGAGCCAGGTGCGCCTGACCGCGGTGGCCAACCTGGTGAACGACTCGGGGCTGCGCAACTTCCTGCGCCAGGAGTTCTACGGCAGCGCGGTGGTGAGCTGCGAGGCCACGGAGGCGGGCGAGGCGGTGCTGGACCCCTTCCACAAGTGAGAGGCGGGGGGAAGAGGGAGGGAGGGACGGGGTTTGGGACGGGGTTGGATGGGGGTTGAATGCAGGGGGTGGCGGGTTGGTCTTCCATCCTAGCAGCCATGACCCCCATGAGTGAGAGCCAATGTGTGTGCCTTCTATGCATTGCTCTTCCTGAACCGTGTTCCCTTCCCGCCTCCCCTTCTCCCCCTGCCCCCCCCCCCCCCCTCCAACCCCCTCCTACCGTAACACGCCCCCCCAGGTACGCGCTGGCTGCCCGGCTGCGCAAGAAGCCGGTCACCCGCTTCGGCGGCAGCGACCTGATGCTGCGGCTGGACGCGGCGCACCGGGAGCGGCTGGCGGTGCTGCGGCTGCACCTGGACAAGGGCGTGCAGGAGAAGCTGGTGGGGGATGTGGCGGAGCTGTTCCAGTCCAGTGAGTGGGGCAGGGGGGGGGGCAGGGCATATGTGCTTGCATGCATGCATGCAGGGAGCGGGGGAGGGCATGTATGCAGGGGGTTCGGGATGGGGGGTAAACAGGAAGAGATGAACCACGCATGCAAGGGGGGCTGCGTACCGTACCGGTATTCGACGGACGAGCCGCACAAGCAAACGCTGTCTGTGGCCACACTTCCCCCACCTCCTTATCACCCCCGCCCCCGCCTCCTGCTCCATCCACCACCTCCTCCTCCTGCTACCAGCCGACCGCGGTGCCGTTGCGCAGCAGTGGAACGCGCTGCGCCGCGAGATCATCAACACGGCGCTGGAGGAGCACCTGCTGCCCGCCTTCCGCACGCACTTCACTGCCAAGCTGCTGGCGGAGGCGCGGGAGCATGCGCTGAGGCAGTGCGTAGGGGGGGGAGGGACGGGGAGGGAAGGCAGGCAGAGTTGGGGAGGAGACTGGCGTGGTAAGGGCGGGAGGGTAGCAGGACTCCGTCCAATTGGTAACTCGCTCCGTATACCAGCCTCTGGTGCAACATGCAAGCCTGCCCCTCCCTCCATATCTGTTCACCCCCTCCCTGTCCCCCCCCCCCCCTGCGCAGGTACGCTGACGCGCTGTGGCAGGTGGCCACCGCGGGCCCACTGCGGCTGCCGCTGGCGGACGCAGAGGACGAGTTCCTGACCAACCCGCGACTCTGCATCGTGGTGTACGGCAACCAGGTGCGGGTGGGGGAGGGTGAGAGGGGCGATTGTACGGCAACTCTACACGGGCGAGGCCGAGAGGCCCTGCTGTGCGCATCCCTGTTGAGCCCCGCCGCCGTAACGGCCGCAGAACTACTAGGGCGGGTGTTCCCCTCCTCCGCCCCCATCCGCACGTGCTTCCTTTCGTATCCCATGTATCACAGCGAGAAGCCAGCCCCGCCACCGGTTACTCCGGAAAGACCGTACTGTTACTCCTCTCCTCCCGCTCCCCCCTTCCCCCTGCCCCCCCAGGAGATCAACCCCGCCACCGGCCACCCCAACAACACCGCCGTTGTGTTCCTCAACGAGCTGGGCAACCTGGTGGACTTCTTCTTCGCGGGCCAGCTGTCGGGCAACATCCGCCGCAGCGGGCAGGGGGCGGGCGCCGTGTTCACGGACCCGGCGAAGGTAGGGGCGGGTTCTGATAGGTTATGACCCATGGGTCGATTTCTAGAGGGCAGGCGTTCTTCGGATTTAAAGCGCGGAGAGTGAGGAGATGAGTGGAACGGGGTCAGCGAGGACAGAAGCCGAAGGCGCGGTGGTGCGGTGTAGCAACTAGTAACCCGCACACCAAAGCATCCTGCTGCTCCCACGTCTCTCTTGTTTCCCTCTTTACTGACCAAACCAAACCCCTCCCTCCTCCCCGCCACCACCCTCCCCCACAGAGCAAGGACGCCGCCCGCATCCGCGAGAAGCTGCTGGAGCACCTGCCTCACGCGGTGCTGGTGGGCATGTGTGCACCCGCGTGCCGGCAGCTGCAGGAGGACATACGCAACATCGCGGACTCGCTGCTGGAGCACAGCGCGGAGTGAGGGGGGGGGGGCGGGGAAGGGGGGGGAGAAAAGGGGGAGGGGAAGAAGTGAGAAATGAAGCGGGGGCGGGGTGCAGGGAGGGGTGTGGGGAGGGATGTAGTGTGGAGGCAAGGGAGGCGGGGAGGGGGTGGGTGGGCAAACCGGTGAATGAGGGTACAGCACCACCGGGGTACCGGGAACGACAGCAACCCCGGCGTTTCGAGGGCTCCATGTTGGAACACCCCGCCCCGGGAAAGCTTCGCCTCACGTCCACCTTACCCACCACGCCTCCCACCCCCCTCCTCCTCCCTCCTCCTCCCAGGGCCCTGCAAGACCACGAGACCCGCGGCATCTACTGCTACCCCGTCGACGAGAAGCTGGCAGCGCTGTGGGAGAACAGCGGCGCGGCGCGTCAGGAGCTGCGGGAGCACGCGCCCCTGGTGCGGCGGGCGGTGGGGCTGGGCAGGGGCGCGCTGGACCCGCTGGCGCTGCTGGCGGCGCTGTGCGGGCCGGACAGGGAGGTGAGCAGGGGGGGGGAGGGGAAGAAACGACTAACGAACCGTGCGATAAGGCGTCATCATGAGAGGACAGCGGGGGTGGGAGAAAGAGGGCAGGGGTGGGGGGAAGTGGGAAAGAATGGGTGTTAGGAATGAAGGTTGGGAGCACGTGGAGCGGTTGGGAAGGGGTAAGGAGTTGACAACCTTGTACGAGGAATGCCGCCTCTTTAGATTTGTTCCCTCTCCTAGCTGTGTCCTGCTTCACCCCTGTTTCCTGGACCCCAGTGCTTTACAACTCCCACCCCTGCTGCCCCCCTGCCGCCCCCCGCAGGTCCTCTCCCTCAACGTGTACGACATGCAGGATGCGCTCGGCAAGGACGAGCGCATGGCGGCAGTCACCCGGGTCATGGTCACTGCCACAGCGCAGGTAGGGAGCGGAGCGACCCCTGGGTCGGCCGCTTGGGATTTAGATCACTTTCCTCCTGAACCCCCCCCGAACCGCCCCCGAACCTTAAACACCTTGCAGGTGGGTGTTGACGTGAACCTGGCCTGCAACGTGGCGTGGCGCTCCGAGCTGCTTCAGTTCGTGCCGGGGCTGGGACCGCGCAAGGCGGGGGCGCTGCTGGCGGCACTGACTCGGAACCGCAACAAGGCGGAGAGCCGCAGCATGCTGTACAAGGACCTGGGGGTGATGGGCAAGGTGGTGTTCAGGTGGGGAGGGTGGGGGGTGGGTGGGAAGCATGGTGTTTGGGAAACATGGCATGCAGATGGGACACAAGGGGTGGGAAGCAGCAGGAAAAGGTAGCGCTTGCACGCTTCCTCCCACACCCCTCCTGGCATCACCCTCCCTGCACCAACACCATGCACTCACCAACGCTTTCCCTCCAACCCAATTGCTTTTCCCTAACCAGTCGTTCTGATACATCTCTGCCCCCCTCCCCCCGCTTTCAGGAACGCCGGCCCCTACCTGCGCGTGCAAAAGGTCCCCGGCATCCGGCACCTGGAGAACCTGTCCTTCCGCACGCTGGACGGCTCGCGCATCAGCCCCGAGATGTACCGCCTGGCCATCCAGCTGGCGCAGGCGGCGGGAGGGGGCGGCGACGCGGAGGAGGCGCTGGACAAGCGCGAAAAGGTGGGAGAAGCGGGGGTGGGTGGGTGGGTGAGGGTTGGTGAGGTAATGGCCAGCCGGATTGCACTTCTCGGAGTTATGTTTATCCGTAATCATAGTTGTCCTCGCAGTCCAGCTCGTGTACCTTCCTCACGTTTTTGCCTCTCTCTCCTCTTCTCCAGTAGCTTGACTTTTCACTTACTTCCCTATACCTGCCCCCATCCGCTCCCCCTCCCCTCCCCCTCCCAGATCGAGAGCTACGACCTGGAGGCCTTCATGCGTGACGCGCACCTGGCCGGGCCGCCCGCCACCCCCGGCCTGGCCTCCCTCATTGACATCGTGGCGGAGCTGGTGGCGCCAAACCTGGAGCTGCGGCCGCACTGGGCGGAGCTGAACCCGCTGCAGGTCGGGGGGAGCGGGGCGAAGTGTGGAGGGGGGCGGGGACCGACCCGTGGGTCGTGATGGGGCATGGGCGGGGAGTACGGTTAGTGCAGCGGTAATGGCTTGCAAGGGGGGATTGGTGTGGAGGGGAATAGGCGGTATCGGGGGAGCCGAGACCGCATTAATTTAGGGAGCCGAAGTGTTCAAACCGTTTGGCCGCAAAACTGAAGCTGCTCTTGGGGTGAAGTGGCTCTCTGCGTGTGGATGTGTCTCCTTGACTGCACTCACTTGTCTTGCTTTCCCCCCGCCCCCGCAGGTGTTCATGCTATGCAGCAATGAGAGCGAGGACAGCCTGCGGCCGGGCCGAGTAGTGGATGTGAGTGCGAGTGGGGGGGGCCTGCCCGCATAAGGCCCCAACAGGGCACGTGGATTGCGTTTGCGTAGGGACGGGGATGGTGTAGTGGATATACGTTCCACGCACTGGTATATACCATAAATATACCCTTAGGCCGGCCCTGCCCTTATTCCTTCACCTGCTCCTTTTTTACTCCAGTCGCCCGTTCCCGTTCCACCCGCGCCGCCTGGCTTCTCTCTGTTGACTTCTTCCTCCCCTCCCAGCCAACAAGCCAGCCTAATGCGAACTTGTATCCCTACCCCCCCCCCCCCGCACTTCCCCCAGGTCAAGATCACGTACGTCACCCGCGATGCGCTCAAGGTGGTGCTCATCAACACCGGCACCGAGGGCATCGTGCGGGCGGAGGACGTCAGCTCGGCAGCGGCGGCCAGCGGGGCGCGGGTGGGCGGACCCGAGTGGCAGGCAGCCATGCAGGTGGGTGTTAAGAAACTGGCCGTGAGTGGGGGTCTGGGGTGGGTGTGAGGTGGGGCGCGGGTGTTGTGCCTCCTCATGCATCAGCCATGCAAGGTGGCCAACCACACTGCGCACTCTTTTTGGCAGTCACGGCAGTGTCGCGAACGACCCACGGGTCGCTGACCGCGCCGTCACCCTCCCCTCCCCTCGCCCCCTGTCATGCTCAGAGTCGGCTGCAAAGCGTGGCTCGGGCGCGGATCCTGGCGGTGGAGGAGCAGCCGGACGCCAGCGGCGAGGGCAAGAAGTTTGTGGTGGTACTGTCGACAAAGTGAGTGGGGCTGTGTAGGGTCCATAGCATATGCGCTTTAGCGCTTCCGGATTGGATTGAAAGGCAAGTTAGGTTCGGTCCAGTACACTTCTAATTGGTATCTCCGTAGCCCGCCTTGTCAGATGCCTGCCCCTGCTCTCGTCCCGCCCCCTGTCAGGTCCTCCGTGGTTAACGACGAGGACGGGCACTACGAGAAGCACTACTGCAAGGAGCGGGAGCCCTTCTATGTGTGAGTGCACGCGCGCTCGGGGTGGGGGCTGCATGGGTGCAACTGTTGGGGTAACTGCTGCAGCTGGGGCTCCCGCGTAGGCATGTGCATGTGGGTTCTTGGGAGCAGTTAAAAGGGAGTTCAGCTTGCAGTGCGCACTGTTTCTTCCGCTTTGCTCAAACAGCCACCCTTCTTCTTTTTTCCCTCACCATCCGTTCTCCCCTTACCACTCCCGCCCCTCCTCCCCCCTCCCTCCTCGTCCCCCCACCCCCCCACAGCCCCCGCGAGCGGCTGGACGTGTCCACCAAGCGCCGAGCCGACGAGCCGCATCGGCCGCGCGAACAGCAGGTGCTGGTGCGGCCCATCCGCCACCCCATGTTCAAAAACATATCGCAGGTGAGGAGGAGCGCGGGGGAAGGGGGGAGGAGAAGAAGAACTATGCGTTGATTGGCAGTGGCAGAACTGGGTGGGGGGTTGGGGATCAGGAGATATACGTGGTGGGGTTGGGAGGTAAGCATTTAATTAGGGCGCAAGGAAATTCTTACCTGGTGCGGAACTCCTATTGGCACGCAACACAGCCCCACAGCAGGATGTCCTTTCCCTACGTCCGCTCCTCCGCCCCAACGGTTAGCCCATCACCCATGCCTGACCCCTATTGCCCCGCTCCCCGCCCTCTCCCCCCCACTGCAGTAGTCGCACTTGTTGCACTTATTTATATACCCCCCCCCCTCCCCCTGCGCCCTCCCAGGTTGAGGCCAACACCTCGCTGGCCAAGCCCGAGGTGCCAGTGGGTTCCGCCATCATCCGCCCCAACGTGCGCGGCAACCAGCACCTGCTGGACGTGTCCATCAAGACGGCGCACGGCCCGCAGAGCGGCAACCCGGTCATCATGGTGGTGCAGCTGCAGGAGGCGGACAAGCCGGCGGGGAGAGGTGAGGGGGAGGTTTGGGGGGGCGAGGAGGAGGGATGGGGGGTGGGAGAGAGACGTGTGGCGGAGGAGGAGGCGTGTGCAAAGTACACTTGAGTTACCATCTTGTTTTCAGGATCAGGCGTTCATGTGGCCCGCGTCACATGTGCACATGTGCGTACTGCATCGCCGGTGTGTGCACTGCCTGGGTACTGATGCGTGTTGCCCCTTGCGCCGCCCTGCCTGGCTTCCCGGCCACTGCCCGCCACAGCCGCTCACCTGACGCTGGCGCCGCCCTTCAGCATTGACCTGGGCTACTGCGGACTGGGAACCGTGCAGTACGAGGATCTGGACCAGGTGGGGTCTCGCATCGCGGGGTTGGCAGGGGATGGCGTGCGTCAAACAGGTGTGCTTCAACCTACCTACCGGTATTCATCCCAGCCTACATGCTTGACGTCTTTTCCTACCCTGTCATCCCTCCTAAGCCTCTCCCCACACTGCCCCCCGCCTCCCCTGCATGAAGGTCATTGCGGACTTTGTTGAGCCCCTGGTTCAGAACTGCATGGCCGTCACCAGCCACCGGTGAGTGCGGTCTTCTTGTTAACACGCCGTTGGGGTTTGGGCGTGTTCGTTGTGGGAGGTGCGCATGGGTTTCATGCCCTACGCATGCATGCACATGACCTTCACGCCCCTGTGTGCGCACTTTCATGCTCAGCACCCCCGTTCCTCCGCGCAACTTTTCCGTCACCGCTTCCCTCCATTCGCGCCCCCCCCCCCCACATTCTCTCCCCACGCCTCCCCTCCCCCATCTTCCCCCACTCCAGCAAGTACATGGACGCGGCTCAGACGCTGGTGGAGGAGCGGGTGCGCACCGAGAAGCAGGCCAACCCCAAGGTGCACCCCTACTACCTGACCATGCACAAGGTAACACCATGCGCACCAAGGGGGTTGTGAACCGGAGGTTTGCAGGACTGCTGTAGGGGCTAGGGCTCTCGGCCACACTCATGCGATAGATAACCACCCTTAGCCTCCTGCTGGCTTGCCCTGGCTTGCCTTGAAGCTAAGCCGTCCTCACACAACTCACACACCACCACGCGAATCCGCACTCCACCCCACCCCGCAGGGCAACACCTTTTACATCATCTTCTGCGTGGCCTCCTCGGTACACAAGGAGCCCTTCCACGCCACCCCCAAGGGCTTCTACTTCCGCTCCAGGACCTACTCGGACATCGAACACGTGCTGGGGACGTTCAAGAAGCAGCCCGTGGATCCGTGAGTGGAGTCTGGCGGGGGGGTGGGGTTTGGGGAGCCTGGGGCTGGGGTTGCACGTTGCTGGGGTCGGGCGTTGTGGTAGATTCGGGGTTGGCGTTGGGGAGGGGCACTGCGGTGTTGTGCATGCGCTGGCCTGGAACGAAGAAGCAGTCCCTGGACCCATGGGTCTGCGGTTTATCCCACTTGCCTTGGATGTCGGGGGAAAGTGCGTTTGCATTGCCTAGCAACCTTTAATAAGCTGCCCTGTGCCTACTATGCGTCTTGTTGGAACAGCATATTTGCTGGAGTCCGGGACTGTGATCAGATCTTGGGAGCTGGTATTGGGTGGGGTAACATGTACCACCGAACCCCGCCCCACTTCCCCTCCCTCTTGCTCCCCTCCCTCCCCCTCTTCCCCCCAGTTCCAAGCGCGCCAGTGCGCACCACCGCACCGAGCAGCTCGGCTACTCCGCCCCCAGCGCCAACCTGCCGCACATGCGAACCGGGGTGCAGGTGACGAGGGTGGGGGGGGAACAAGCAACTAAGGGGAATACAGAGTAGTGGAGAGGAACAGGATCATGCTGTGACTGGTTCCTTGGGGACTAGGTCCGGTGGTCCTTGTACAGTGCTTGTGTGCGCGCAACTACACCCCATAGGATACCCCCTCCGCCTCCTTGTCTGTGGCCGTTGCCTTTCCTCTTAATCGGCACAAGCTGTACATTTTGACATGCGCTTCTCACACTTGAACCTCATGCAAAACCCACAACGCTCCAACCCTCGCCCCCAAAACCCCAACCCCGCGCCTGAACAACACCAGCCCCAGGGTGGCTACACCGGTGGCAGCGGTATGCCGTACAGCCAACAGCAACAACAACCGTACGGCAATGGCCAGTACGGCGGTGGCGGTGGCGGTGGCGGGGGTTACCACCCAACACAGCCATACGGCCCTGGATCGGGTATGTACGGCGGTGGTGGGGGCGGAGGTGCCGGCGGGCACTTCCCGCCGCCCCCACCGGCGGCGGCTGCGTACGGGTCTCAGGGGCATGGCGGCATGGGTGGTGGGATGGGTGGTGGGATGGGTGGAATGGGGGGTGCGCCGCAGCACTTCAGTCAGCCGTACGGTCAGCCAGGGGGTGGCGGGGGTGGCGTGTACCGGGGCTGGTAGTGTGGAAGGGCGGAGTAGAGGGAAGGGAGCATGGGAAGAATGGGCGGCGGTGTTACTTCAAGAGCGGCTTAGGTGGTTGGGGAGGAAGGAATGCAGGAAGAGAGGCCGGCTGGTAGGTTGGTTAGGGACGCTGGTGTGCTAGGTTTGGCGTTAGGAGGAGGAGACATAGGAATACAGACACGCACCTGGCAAACGAAAAAAGACCCAGACAGCATCCAACCAAGGACGCTTCAGCGCCGCCGGGCTGCTGCCGCCGCCGCAGCCCGGGTGGTTGTGGCCTGCCTTGTTGAAGCGGCGAAGGGCGTGGATAGCGACATGCGGGTAGTATACGGACTACGGACCCTCGCAACATGACAAGTTACGCCTGACAATCACGGGTGATTTGTGCTATCCTCATTTATAGCACGTACGGCTTGCAAAGCTTGTTTCGGATGCGGTCGCTTTCATTGAGCGAAGCGCGAAAGGTGTGTTAAGTTGCGTGGTATGTGTGGTTAAGGCGGGTTACGGAAGGTTAGGGCGCTTCTATTTGGCGCTGAGTTCACACGCCCTCGTGGCGCTTCCAACCACTGCTGCTGGTGTCCGTGCCTGCTGTGCCGTGCTGCTCTGGTGCCTTCACGTAGATCGTCTCTGCACGGCCCCGACAGTACATGGTACGTTTCGACGTGGCTGAACATGTTTGTGCGTCACAGGGCTTTGCTAATAGGTTGTGTAGCATGCAGTGGCTGCGCGTGTTTTCCGCCAAGTCTTAAGGAAGGCCGTACGATTAGATAGGAAGCATCCAGTAAGGAGTTGCGGTGGCCTGTTGCTTCTGCTAACCTTATAACCAACGCAGCAAGCCGTGAACATAACCCCAGACCGAATCGTTCTGATGGCCCGCCCGCCATCGTGGATGGCATTCATGCCTGGAGTTGTGTGGTTAGATGCGTACGGCAATCAACGCTGGTCGCGTGGACGCGTTAGTTGCCTTGAGGTGGTTAGCTGCCGGCGCACATACCGGTAAGCTTAAATGCAGCGTACCGGCTCGTGTTTCACTGAACAGGGCAGCCTGGTCATTGAACCCAGACGCAAGCCTTGCAGTATCCAGACGACGTTCGAACTTTGGCACCGGTACCTGAAGCTCATTAACCACATGACACCCAAAACCGGCTGACCCGCCAGGAAGGTGAGCGTGACCCAAGTGATAAGGTGCGCATACTTGCGTGGCAACTACAAGCTCAAGCACAAGAAAGAGGCACGGAAGGTACCGGTTCCCTCCGCAATATGCGCTTGGAGGGGAGGCCAGGAACCAGCTAATGCTAGCGGCCAGACGACGGACTGAATCCCAGACGAAGACACGGCTGGTGCCAGGTATGAGCGCCAATAGAGACCTAAAGTTGAGAGTTGGTGTCACCTTGGCGTTCCTGCACCCAAGCTGCAAATTGAAAGGGTTAGAATTTGTCTGTAAAATCAGCCTCCTGACGGCTCGGTGCGTAGCGACGTGTGCTTTTTGCTAATGGGATCGCACGACGTAACTGTCGATTCCTCTTCCGACCGATAGCAGACATGCGACGAAGCGTCTTCTTAAATGTTAATGCTTTGCTTTTACCAGTTACATGGAATGTATTTGTACCAGAAGCTGGCCCTAAGGAGCAAGAAGCAAGCCCAACGCTTCCCTTAAGCTGCTGTGTACGCTGCCGTCTTTTACTTTAGCACCGCTCGCGCCTTTCATTACTTCATAGATTAAAATTATTACAGCCATGTCCTGATCAGCTATACCGGTAGCTGGACATGGCTGGCTACTCGTCAAGGCAAGGCCAACTCCTAATGTGCAAAAGGTTTTGAAAGAGGCGCAAGATATGTTAATGTAGCTGCTGATGGCTGCAGGACCGGCCTTAGCGCGCGGCCAGGGCCGCAAGGGCAAGAGCAGGTGGCGATACACGTCGGCAAGTTCGACTTTGACTCGGAGATTGAGGGCCTTCGTGGACATGTGAAAAAGATTAAGCAGGTTGGATTTCATTTGGGCACGCCTTAGCTTCTTGCGAGTTGCAACTTCCAAAACGACATCCATTACCCGCCCTGCAACAGCTTTCATTGGCTATCGAGGATGAGCAGAAACAGCAAGGGGAGCTCATCAACTCCCTGGTAAGGCTCTATGCACTTGGGCCGGGCAAAATAGGACGCAACTAACCCGTCATCCCAACTGCTCATGCCCTGGCTGCCCTGGCTCGGTAGGAGGATACCATGGAGCGCGCAAAGCTGGTCATGCGGCGAGCCATGGGACGCCTCAACTTAGCATATCGGCAGGCGCAGAGCAACCATATGCTGTACCTAATACTGTTCGCGTTGCTAATGTTCACAATCCTCTATGTCCTTGGCAAGGTGGGTACTGGGCGTGCTGGAAGCACTCAGGTGTTACCCCGCATTCGGGGGAGGATGCACATGCTGCGGTCCCAATAGGTTACTCCCCTGCCACTGGTTGTGACTCGTGACTCATGCATGGACCTTTAGATGTGTAGTGACTTCCAACCCTTGCCTGATGTATGTGTACGCTATCCCCCTCCGTTAACCCTCTCTTGGCAGGTCTACCGGATAGGACGCGCAGTGATTGGAGGGTGATTATGCCTTGTTGGCGCAGTGGTCCTTGCAGCAGGGGACATGGGTGGGCCGGGGAAGGGGTCTGTTGCATTAACTGGAGCCAGCAGACTCTTGACTCCCGAAGGACAAGTGCCTGGCAATGAGGAGTCATGGAGCGCTCCTTAGGATGCTTAGGTGGATGATGGCTGGCACTGGACGAAAAATATAGGAGCGCTATGCCGATTAGGGAGAATAACTATAGGCGATGTGACACTTTAGCTGCTTGGGCGCAGCGCCCAACTTTTCGGGTTGTCCTGCATTTATAAGGCGGAAGTAAGGTCTGCTGGATGGTTTCGGTGGTTTGGCCGCTTAGGTGTTTTCTGAACTTTAACTTCTTCACTTGAACCGAAGCACTGCCTGTACCCACCTGAGATAAGACCGTAAATCAAAGAAGCATATAGTAGAAAGCTGATCTGTGGAACGGTACCATGCAGTCCTCTCGCACGCGTGTGCCGCTGCTGCTGAACACTGCACTATCATTTCAACAAGAGTTGGCAGTATGCAACACCGTAGCTCGTGCGCTCCGTCAGGGTGAGAAAGGTGTCCATCGCTCGCAATGCTTACTTTGGCGGCCTGTGTGGTTCTTCATCAAGTGGAAACGGCTTATGTAGGCGAGGTGCTTCGACAAGGCTTTAACCAACAGCAGCGGCTATTCGGTAGCGCGTTGGCGGCCCAATCGGGGCTCATTGGGCTTGCTCGTCAATTGACGGTAAGCTACCATTCAATACCGACGCCTCACCTTCGGCTTATAATGGCAACTCACTTCTTCCCGGTGCAGCTCAACCAGTCACCGCTAGGGCTGCAGAGCCTGCGGCAGTTTGCAGCGGCAGCGACCCCGGAGCAGCAACCCAAGCAGCCGAAGGAGCAGGTGCGGCCGCGATGGCAGACGAAATTGCTTTCCCCCGGGGTCCCCGTACATCCCGGTGCCTCTAGGCACGATGGTAACGTTACTGTGAGCGGATGCGGGCCTTGTTGGACTAGGGACTCCCTGAGCACATGGTGTTCCAGAGGTAAAGAGAGAAGAGAAGGCTTCCGCTATCCTCCGTAAGTGGAGTCTTGGCCTGCATGTGGCCAAGCGACACCGCCCCGTCCACACGTACTGGCCTGGCTGGTTCGGGCTGGGCGGGTCGGGCTGGCGCACATGTTGCAAACCATGTTGATGCCTTATCACACAGTCAGTTAGTTGTTACCTCTTTACCCTCCATTCATTCGTGGACAGCTGCGGCCGTCCTCCTCTTGTATTCCTGCATGCTCCACCAACGCAACCCAACGCACACGCCGAGGGGCATGTCCGCACATCATCCGTTAGTACACACGCACAGGCGCACATGGGTGCACTCGAGCTGACATGGGACACCGCGTCTCAAGGCCCCTTTGCTCGCACCCACCCACGTGCCCCCCTTGCCTCCCCTTCGCCAATTCGACCCCTGTTGTACTGCCGCCTGCTGCCCCCCAGGCCTACGACTCCCTGGAGCTGACGGATGAGAAGATCAACGCCATCACCGACAAGATCCCGCAGCGGCCGGTGGGGGTGGTGGAGGGCACCAGCTACACGCTCGTCATCCTGGCGGCATTCGGGGTGGGTGGGGGGTGGGGAGGTGGGCGGGGAAAGAAGGAAGGAAGAATCTAGGTGGGTAAAGAGGAAGGAACTGACGGGAGGGACGGGGTAGGAGGGACGGGGTGGGAGGGACGGCACATGGGGAGTGCAGGTGGTTTTCACCGGGGGTGGGTGGAGGAGGGGCGTGAGGAGGGGAAGACGTGGGGACCATGGAGTGGCGTGTGGCGGCGGGACGAGAGGTTAGCGGGGCGTTGCGGTGACGGCGCGGCGGGTAGGAGTCTACGTGGTTCTGCTAGTAACGGAGGTGATTCCGGAGTTGTCTGCTTTACGAGCATGCGGGATGTGTGGGGGGTAAGCAATGGGCGTGTAGGTGTTCGGATGAGGGGAGGGAAGGTGGTGAAGCAGAGGGGAAAATAAGAGAATGAGCGGAGGGAGAAAGGTGGATTTTCGGGGGAATCACAGCCCCAACGCTCACTTCACGCGTCCCGCAACCTCTTCCCCCTTAACCCCCACCCCCCAGGTCCTCGCCTTCGTGCTGTACCAGGTGCTGACCTCGCTCATCTTCGAGCCCACCGCCATGACCTGCTTCAACCACACCCTGGAGCGGCTCAAGGGCGACCCGCGCATCACCGTGCGCATCGGCGGGGCGGATGACATCAAGGGTGGGTGCGGTGTTTTGGGGTTGGGTGGGCGGTGAAGTACGATGGCGCTTACGGCGCTTGCTTGCCGGTACTCCATTTGCACTGCTCTATGATACTACGCGCTCATGCAAGGGGACACAAGCCGTACTCCCCCGCCGTTGTCTTAATCCCTTTTTTCCCTCCTCCACCCTCTTCCTCCCTTTTCTTTTCCCTCCCCACCCCTCCACCCCTCCTCCAGCCTGGGGCACCAACAGCGAGAGCCGGGTGGCGCGGCAGCAGATCCCGCACCAGATATACAAGGACGCCAACGGAGTGGAGCACGTGCGGGTGAGGAAGGGCGGGAAGGGGAGGGGAGGGGAGGGCTGGGGCGCGCGGTGCGGGCGGTTGGGGTACTGGGGGGTACCAGCGCCGTGTGCGGTACGGCAGGCCGGGGCACCAATGGGGTAGGAGGGGAGCGATAGGAGTGGAGGAGGGAGGAAAGACCAGACAAGGAAAGGCCGCACATGCAGTCCTGTGGCCCATCATAATTCGTAGGCTAATACGCACCTGGCTGTTTCGCTGCTGCTGCTGCTGATGCCGCCTCTGCTGGCCCCCCGCTCCCGCAGATCCAGTTCTACATCCGTGGACCCAGCGGCACCGGCATGGTGGGTGGTGGTGCGTGGGGGTGGCGCATGGCTGGGGTCCTGATGCGCGATTGCTGCGACCTGCGAGCGGGTTGTTTGCGTTTTGGGGGCGCATGGCTGGCATGTGGGGGGGTGGTGGTGGGGGGGTTGCGGCAGGAGTGGCGCTGAGGAAGGAGGGTGCACTTCCAGAAGGAGGCCCTTCCAGAGGGCTCCTGAGAGCCGGTTATTAGCGTCGCAGCGGGGATACCAGCCCCTCCATGCAGCCGCCGGGCTGTCGTCGCGTCCCATCACCCTAGCCACTAAACTCCGCCCTCTGCTTGCGCCCCACCCGCCCCCCTCCCGCCAGGTGAACGCCGACATGTACAAGGACGAGTCGGGCTCCTGGCAGTACACCTACCTGGTGGTGGACGCCTACCCCGCCTCGGGCAGCGGCTCGCCGCAGCGACTGGCGCTCATCACCGCCTCGCGGTAGAGGAGGGGGAGGGGGAGGGAGCTAGCCGTATGGCATGATTGACTTTGCCGTAGAGGGAAGCGGGCGGAACTGGCAGCCTTACGTGACATTACGGTAGGGGGCTGCAGGGGGCTGTGTGTCCATTTGGGCCACGAGGTGGCGGGGTTTGCTGGGAAGGAGGATTGGTTGTTCGGGGCTTATTGGGGGTGTGGACTGTGGTGTGAGGTGGATAAGGTGGGTGTGGAGTGCGACGGCGAAGGGGGGGTCCGAACCTGACGGGGGGCTGAGGTGCAAAGTGGAGGGGTGCATGCAATTGTTTGTCGGGTGCTAAGGAGTTGGGTAAGGGTCGGTCTGAGGTTGAGGGAGCCTTAGCTGAGCTGCGGAGGGAAGCTTATTGTGCTGGTAATTAAGTTGAAGGTTATGGTAGACGGCATGCCTTTTCGTTGTAAGAGGATTTGCATGGTACGCCAGAAGCTGCTACGGGATTTTAGGCTTGCTGTTACCTCTTACCTGGTGCTCGAGAGGACAGCAACGCCCAGCACGTGTGTATTTGTGGAGGGTGCGGTGGTGCCTTGCCGCGGGCACCAGGGCACGTCTACCAGGGCTGCTAAGCCATAGGCGGGCGAAACAGAGTTGCTGCTGTCAACAGGCCGTCAACATGGTTGTCTCGTCTTCTGTTAGCCTTGGGTGCATGAAAGGGCAGGCACATACATCCAGCGGAAGGGTCGGGAAAGATGACGAAAGTGCCATTAATATAAGTAATTATTTAGTTGACAATAGGACGATCGGTCTTTTTGGCACCAAACCCTGCTGCCCTCCACCTAATTGCTCATGACAACGGGGGCAGCGCCGGCCGCTGAATGGACACGGATGTTGCAAGAATGTCGACGGTCCCCGCAGACGCTCCTCATGAGCGCTTCATAGTTATCGTGCAGGGGATGGAGGGGACACCTGATAAGTGCCCTATGCCTAGGCGAATTGCCATACAAATCCACTGACAGACCGGCATCTCGTCCTACTCAGAAGCCGTACATTGCGAGGGACCGGTTCACCGGTATACTGGTTTATCTGCCCTACGTTGGCCATAACACACTATTGTATCAAAAGAATAACGAGAAGATATAATTTGGGACATAGTTGTTTGCGTTGCAACTACTGACGTTGTAAAGATGGCTGAAGAAAACGGCAAGCTGAAGCACTTTGGCTTCGTTCATGACTATTCACAGAAACTGGTCAGCGGCGCGGCGTTTCTGGAGGGAGCATACAAGAAAGCAAAGCCCCTGGTTCCTCAGCCTGTACAGCCCCTCGTCGCGAAGGTGGAGGATGCTGTCCTGGCCTACGCAGCTCCCGCCGTTACAAAGGCTTCTGACCAGGCAGAGAAGTTGCTTCGTAACACCGATGAGCAGGTGGGTCTCTTTTTGTCAACGCATGCCACAAGAGGAGGCCGCCCCCAGGCTTGGCCGTTGTACGCACAACGTGCATGGCATCCTGGCTCTCCTCGGCCTAAGGAGTTAACGTAACTTGCACTGCCTTTATTTCGTAATGGCATACCGCGCGCAACATCCTAACGCGTATAAAAGCGGCATACGAGCGGCATATGACATATGTTGTTAACGGGCACCAAACATGTGCGCAGGTAGACCAGCTATATATGGCCACCGGCAAATTTTTGAGCCAGACCCGCGAGCTGACCGCGGCCAACATCGACGTGTTCCGCGGTGCCTTCGATAAGTACTATCAGCTTGTCAGGACAACGGCTGACTACCTTGCGGCCAAGGTGGGCGGCGACATGGCAGTGCAGCGCGGCCGCGAGGTGGTCATGCAAGCGCTGGACAAGGCAAAGGAGATGGCCACGGACCCTGACACTGCTGTCCGAACCGTATACGACGCTTGGGCACAGTTCGCAGCCATTCCTGCAGGTAAAGTTGCATACTGAACAGTAGCCAGTTAACTAGGGTTTAGCAGTAGAATCACCTGACATGTCGCCTTCGCAGTGGCCAAAATGCTGGACACCGCGGCCCCGGTAACGCATAAGGGCTTCGAGACGTTCATCGCTGCGCACGACAAGCTGGTGGTAAGTGCAGCTTCTTGCCATCATGGTTCCCCTTTGTCGTCCGGTTGCATGCCACCCAAGTGCAATGTATTGTACCCTTCACCATGTTAGCCGCATAGCCCCTGCTACTTCCTACTCGTCACCTATCGGCCCCCCTCCCGCCTCAAAACTATTTGTCATTTACCCCCCCCATTTCACCCTCGCCCCACCCGGTAGGCCTCCCAGCTGTACAAGCGCTCCCTAACCCTGGGTGCCAGCACCCTGGGGTGGGCCACCACCACGGTGCCGTACAAGCTGGGTGCGCAGTACCTGTACCCGTTGGTGCAGCCGGTGGCCGACCCGGCGCTGGAGAAGGTGCGGGGCTCACATAGGAGGAAGTTTTGTGTTCCTCGATGTCTAGGGGGGGTGCGTCATGTACTTTAGGCTGGGGAGAGCAGCCAGGGGAAGGTGTGGATGAGCCCAAATGGGTTGCCGGGGTGCGATGAAGTGGGATCTGGGGTTGAGGAGCAGGCGGCGAGGCGATTCTTCGTTTTCCGGATATCTCACCCCTGTGCACCGGTCCCTGCTGCAGGTGTCCAAGAGCACCTACGTCAACGCCGCGCTCAAGTACTGGGCACCCCAGGCTGCGGCGTAGAGCTGCAGCGAGCAGCGTCTTTCAAGAGCGCTGACTTTACATGCTTGGCTCACTAGAGTGGCTTACAACAGCGGCAAGAGCGCCTTGTTTAAAGCGCTCTCCGTCTGCTGCGCTTCAACGTGCACGTGCAATGGGCCCATGGGCAGCGGCGAGTACTGTGCTGCCCGGATGTGCGAGCAAGTACCAGCTGAGGGTGTGAGGTTGGTGTGGAAGGGCGGGTCTGCATGGGCGCGGGGCTGTCGCCCTGCGCTGATATAATTGCGTTGGCTCCGTATCTGGTGCTACATGCATCGTGGGTAGCGGTGCTGGTATAAAGGTACAGCTTTGTTTGTCGCCATTGTTTCGTCGCATTTGGTGAGAGAAGAGAGAGGCCTCCTGCAGGAGAAGCTGAGCGATCATGTCACGTATTATTCATAGCTTGCATGCGGCCGCAGGGAGCGGGTGGGGGAACCGCGAACCCATTGGCGTTGCGTCTCTAGATGCTGCCGAGCCTGCGACCACCCCTTTCACGTCTAGACCACGTGACCTGTGTACTTTAGTTGTGGTGGATTAGATTTAGGTTTCCCAAGTGTACCTTCAACTCCGCTGTGCTATAAACCGTGTCAATAGTCCTTAGCATACGCATGTGATATTCCTTACAAAGAACTTGGGGCAAGGAGGTAGCGAGAGGCGGTTTGAAGCTTGGTACATCCAATATGTCGTGCTACAAGTGAGGGCTGAGGTTGCCTGTAAACATTGTTTGGGAGGCTACAGCTGTTAGTGATCAGTGTATAACACACGTCATAGCTATTACACTTTGTCGAGCCATGTTGTTAAGCTTCCCCATAGAACCCGCACGACGCACGCCGAGGATGCGTACCCAAGTACGGCAACAGCAGGATTTCGCGCCTGTAAACGGGTCCCTCCACTGTTAACCATGACAACCGCTAACGCGCATGGTGTCCTTGCATACTCCCCGACCTCTTCATCCTACAGTTGCCTCCATCTCTTCCCGATAACCCCCGGCATCAAGAGGCGCCCAGCACTACCCTTCCTCCAGCTTTCGGCTCCGCTTTCAGCTGTGCATCTGCAATGTCTACGCTTCCCCTCATCGCTTCCATGCTGCTGAAGTGTTAGGGCCATGGGCCCCGCCGCCAGCTGAGGAGGATGTATGTAGCGCATCAGACACGGCATTGCAAGCTGCCGCTGCCTCCTCTTAAAGTACCCCTAAGGTGCTTAGTGGTGCGCCTTGGCGTGGCCGTGGCCGTGACCATGGCCGTGCTCGTCGTCCCAGCCGTTCTGCTGCACGTCCTTCTCGAAGAAGTAGATGTCGCCGTGCTGCGGAGGGGTGGGAGAGGTGGGTTTAGCATCTCGGGTGCTTCGAAAGCATGCTGATGGCGCATGCGCACTTAATGCATACGCATAATTGCTGACCCCGAAGCCAAGAGGAAAATGCAAGCCACCGCCGTGTGGCTGTTTGGAACAGTGCATAGCGAACCTGCCCTCCCCTTTGTGCACCCCCCCTTTCTCCCTTGGTATATACCCCGCCCGATTTGTACCCTGCCCTCCATGGCTTACCCAGTGCTCCTCAGCGTTGATGGCGAAGTGGTACAGGCAGGTGAACCTGTGGCAAGGGGGCGTGAAAAGGGGCCGCTTGTAAAGGCATTAAACACCAGACTCACCACTAGCCCACACTTCCTTGCTGTAAGACACTCACGTGGCCATAGCGCCGATGAGCTTTGACAGGTAAGTGTCAAAGGCATGGAACTCCTTCTTTACGGTAGCTCCGGCGTACGTAACGTAGTCAGGGCCTTGCAGCTCGGGAGGCACCGGCTTGCCATTGTAGCTCCGGTGGTACAGGTTAGCGCCACCGCCAGCTGAGGGGACATCCATCACGTTTTGTTACATACGATAATAAAATACTGCAGCTAGATTTTGGTTAGGCATTAAGAGACTCACCCATTCGCCGGACTTGCTGCGAGCTGGCCTCCGCCACAGGCGAAGCCGCTCCCCGCAGAGCAACAGCGGTCAGCTGAGCTGCCTTCTTGAGCATGGCTACTGGTGACAAGAAAGACCAACCGGGACTGAACTAACGATGATTGTCGCGTATTAGCGTCTTCCACACCAAGAAGCCTAACCCTATGCACTCGTAATGTCTTCGCCCTGTTAACAAGGACGAAACACGTATGCAGTTGTAAATGGCAAAGAGGGCAAAGTCGCCGCTGCCGTACTGCAGTATTATATTGTGCACTGCATTGTCGCTTACATTCCTATCAGTTTGTGCTCGTGGCATTGTGCTCCAAGGCACCGCGTCTGGTTGATAAACTACTCACGTTACCCTCTAGGAAGGCGCCTTCTTTTATAGAGTCTGTAGACACGTCTTGATCAGCATCGATCTGCGGGTTCTGGTCTCCCAAATTTTGTAGATAGTTGATAAAGGGCGATCACAAGCGAATTTCAGTGAGGAAAATGGACGATACCGATGAGCGCGTTATCCAGGAGTTTGCGGAGCTCCAAGATAAGGTCCTAATACAGACGGATCAACTCAACCGGGTAAGTCTCGAAATGGCGCAACGGCGCATGGCACACCCCGCGTGTCGTTTACGGTTTCGTCCACTGCCATGGCTGCAGATAACACAGCAGGAGCGCATGCTTGGCCTTCAGCGCCAGCGATGCGTGCTTACCAAGCAGGAGGTGTCCGGGATGCCGGATGAGACGACGATGTACAAGAGCATTGGGCGAGCGTAAGTTGTCTTGGGAGGGGGGTTCTGGGGAGGCTGTGAGCTGGAGTTAGGTGCGGCCCATGCATGACCGAGAGCAACATCATGTGGGAATGCGAGGGGCACATGCCTGGTTGCACAGCGCCAGGATGCAATGGCCGGCTATTGCATGACACTGCGCACGGGAATGAGCATGACACAGCCCACTATTCGCAACTAGGTGTTTCTCGGCTACTGGACAACCATGCTGCAAAGCGCAGACTCCCATCAAGCCCTTCGCTGCCAATGCTGCCCCAGTGCTGACGAGAGCCCCTTCCCGTACCCTAGCCTTGTCATCCATATCTGTTTCCAGCCCCTCGCTATGCTGCTAAGCGCAGGCCCAAATGTCCTTCTCCACCTTAATTGTGTAGCTCCCGTCACCCTCAAAGCCTTAACCTTGCAACTAACCGCACTATCAACGCCAACAACCGCCAACGGCACAGTAACCAACCACCATCCAACACCGCATCGAAACCGCATAGTAACCCCTCTTCGTAACCACCCTCACACCTCAGGTACTTCTGCAGCCCCAAGCCCGAGGTGACCAAGGAGCTCGAGGAGAAGATCTCGCAGTTCGACAACGACATCAAGAAGGTCCGCGAGCAGCACGAGGCGATCGATCAGAAGATGCACAGTACGGAAAACGAGATCCGGGAGCTGCTCAAGCAGTCGCCCTCGCTGGTGCGTCGCTTGGGGGCCGTCAAGATCTAGATGATGGTTTTTGCAGCAGGTAGCGTCTACTCCATCATGTTACGTAGGGGGCTGCTGGTTGCGGTTTTACGGTATGAAAGGGCCATACTGGTGAAGGGCTTGCCCGGGCTCCTGGCTCGGGCCCTGTGGACTTCTGGCTGACTTGGGCTGTGTGCCCATGTTTCCAAGCTGGGCGCTTCCTTTAGATGCGGCACGGCGGCAACGCGGCGACCTGGGTTGCGGTTTGGGCTATTACCTAGTCGCCGTACCCGCTGCAAGCGCTGCCAGATGCGAATCGTGCGTACTACTACAGGATGCCTAGGTCCTGGGCAGATGAGTCTCTTAGGAGTTGAAAGGGTGCCTGTGGCAGGGCGCGGGAGGATCCCCACTTGCGGGAGGATATGTGTGCGTGTGTGAAAGGGCTTGCGTCCGTGACACGTAGCTGCAAGTGCTTGGAAAGGGCGGTGAGGCGTCATAGGCAGCGCCCACGTGACTCGGTTGTTGGGGGATGTCGTGTTTGGGTTTAATGTGCATGTAGGCATGGGCACTTGCAAGTTGAACGCGCGAGGAGGGAATGCAGGGCTTCTTGCACACGCTTGCATGTTGCTGACTGCTGACGATGCTTGAGAGTCGCAGCTGAGGGGGTGTCACTGAAGTGGATGACTGGCCGCTAGTGACACTAGGGCGAGGAAGTTGTTCCGCGGCGGCACGTGTTAATGCAGCTGGGGCCCAAGGGGCGGTGCGCAGTACATACCGGTAATGCTAATCCGGCGTGCCTGCTGATTGTGTGCAGTAGGACATGTAAGCCAACAGAGAGATAGAGAGCTCACTGTGACGGCCCCTGGTTCATTTCCCAACCCGTCAGCTACGATGTGCTACTGGTTTTGTGGGGGCCTGCTATGCTAGGTGTCACGCGCCGTTGTTATGAGCAGTGCGGCAGTCCTACCGTCCCAAGCTGCGCCATTGTGTATTGTGCACGTATAGTTCAACCCTTCATACCCTATGCAAAGCGTTATGACGGGCCGGGGCGCCCCATCACGCTCCGCGCATGCGTCCACGTAGGGCCTTATGATTACAGAAAGGATGTGTTAGCTCAGACCTCTTGACCGGAATGGTTCGTGAGGTTGTGCGGTAGGGCGGGAGGGCCCTACACCGTACAATGTAATCTAATCTAATCTAGCTCAGAAGGCGCGCAAGGTAGTGCCATAAGAGCTGCGGTGAACCATGGAAGGTACAGTTGAGCGTATGGGCCTTGCAAAGGCTGGTCTAAGGAACTCGGCTTGTGGCTTGGGGGACGAAGGCTGCAAAGGAGGCCAGCGGACGTTGTTGAGGAGTCAAGGCTGTATCATATCCTCCTTTTCGATACCGAGTTGCCAACCTTGCGGTAGAGGTTGCTTTGCGCTTAAAAATGGTACGGGAAACGTTCAAATCCAGGGTTGGATCCTACCATAAGCAGGATACACGCAAGGTGCTAGTCTGAACGCCAAAGTGCAGGCCCACTTTTTGCGTGAGCAATAATGGCAATGGCAATGGATGCTATGGATGTAACTGCTTCGGAGCCTCCAATTAGCGACGACAAGGCAGGTCTTCCATCTGCAGACCAAAGCCAAGGGGACCAGCAGCCACAGTGCAGCACAGGCGATATCCCTATCAGTAATAATGCGGAGGCTGCAGGAAAAGAACGGCATACTTCGCGGCAACGGCAGCGTCGCGGTTTAGACCCTGGGACGTTCCTTCTGGCCGGAGCTGGATGTCTAGTCGCCACCCTTGTTCGGGGCTTCCTACGACAGCAACGAGAGCTACTAGAAACGTGCAGTAGGTTCGCATTAGGCTGCCGGTTTTGCAAAGAATGCCGTCATGCTAGCATGCTCACCTCGCAGGACAGCTTAGGTCCGCCCAGGCGCAGCTGGCCGTTAAGGAGCAGGCACTTCAGCGAACAGAGGAGCAGCGGAAGCTTGAGCAGGTAGGCGGCTACAGTAAGGCAGGCGTTTACCGGCACAGCGCGCTACCAATCAATAACATTAATTCCCAACCGTTACGCAGGAGGGCCGCATGACCCACCTCAACCAACAGGTCACCGATGCGCAACGGGAGCTTACCTCAGCGCATGACCTCTGCCGGCAAGCGGCGACACGGCTAGAGCAGAGCATGTAGGTAAACGGGCTTCTTCAACCTCGGCTGGGACCGTAATCTGGCTCTGTACCTCCAGCCTGCGCTGAAAACAGGACCCTCAACTCTTCATCGCCCATCCCGGAACACCGCCTCCCCTTCGCACACCCCGTCCGCCTCTCCTCATGGCTACCTCATGCACTGACTTGCCGGTATGCATCCCCCTTGCTGTCAGGTCCGACCTGTCGGTGACGGAGACCGAGCTGCGCGCCGCGCGCACCCAGCTTAACACAGCCAGCCGCGACCTGGCCCTCACGCGCGCCCAGCTGGATGCCACGGAGGGGGAGCTCGGGGTCACCCGCAGCGCAAACGAGCTCATGAAGGTGAGGACAGCTGGGGAGGGCATGGCCATGTTCAGTGCGGCCAACATGCAGAGGACGGGGTTGGGGCATGTAGAAGCCGTAGCGTACACCGAGCGTCACGAGCATGGCGTTGTGAGGGGTAAGGAGTCAGGAAGACGTTGCGATGGTTGGAGGTTGGACCCGGGAAGAGGGTTAGGAGCAGACAAATGGGCAATTCAGGTTTGCAATTGCAGTGAAGGAGGGAAAGGTCGGATGGGTCGGGACTGGGGAACAGGAAGCTTAGGGCATTAGGAAGGGTGAGAAAGGCTTAGGAGTTAGGACCCCAACATCCTCCTCCTCTCCTCTCCTCCTACATACCTCCGAAGACGTAAACTCCCCGCTCATTGCGTGAGATTGATATGGCGCGTCAGCAGTTGCACTATTCGGGTCATTAGCCTGCAGCTGCTCTCGCACCCTCATTTAGCTACATCCAACCACACCCTGCCCCTCTCCCAACCCTCCTGGTCCCCACCTTGCAGCGCGAGATCGACACGCTGCGGCGGCAGCTGCGCGAGGCGGGCCAGCAGCTTGAGGGCTACATCATGGCTAGCCGGCAGCGCAAGAACGGGTTGGGGGACATGGACGGTATGGGGGTGGGCGGCAGGTTCACAAGCGAGGAAGATGACGTGGCGGCGGGGGGCCTGGGGGGCTGGGACACGTACTAGAGGGCTTAGCCGCAAGGGCGACATAACCATCTAGGCACCTGGTTATTAGGTTGCGGTGCCTCTAGGGCGCTTGTATGATGGGCCGGCACTGCGGGACTGGAATGCGTGTATGCGAGCGACGGCGAAGTACTTGGGCGGGGCCGGCAGCGGCAGGGGTGTACGACAGTATGAATGGCGGCTTATCCTGCAGTCGGTGCTCGCGAGACATGCCACTGACCTTGGACCCAGGAGAGGACTGAGAAAAGAGTGTTGAGTATGCATAGGCAGCGCATGGGGCGTGGAACGAGGAATATCGGGGAACGATTTGGAGTACAAGTTAGATGTGCGTCACTGTGCAGCTGGGCCAGAAGCCGGGAACTGTTTGTACCATGGTTACTGCAATAGTATGCGTCACTGCGTGTAGGTTTTCCCAAGCTTGCGAATGAGAGGACTTCGCGAATACAATCGCATACACGGTTGTAGGGTATGGGAAGGTTTCGGCGCAGATGACGTGACGACGGAGCGGCTTTTTGTTTGTTGCAACGACTCGCGTCTTCGCAGAGCTGTCTACCTAGCGTTCCAGGATCGTAGATGTGGAGTTTAGCAATTGCCACGGGGCCTAGATAGCCTATACCGTCCGAGAGATGCAAAGCTTGCAGCGACCCGCGGCGCTCACACCAGTCGAGCATGCAAACCTGCTCATTGCCCAAAGCCATTGCTGAGCACGCCAAATCGCAAGTTGCGTCCTCATAGCCATGTCTGAAGAGAAGCGACATCGGCATGATCACAATCTTTTTGTCATCTACGCCTAGTCTCTTACGCAGTTGTGCAAACTCATGTAGCATGGCCGCCATTGTTTGAAGATTAAGAGAGCTAACCACCAGCGGCGAATACCTTCGCACTCCGCACAGGAAAGGGTCCTGAAGGTTAGCTTGTTTGCAGAACTCAACAACACATATCCTAGCTTTTTTCCGTGCACTTTAAGTGCCGCAAACCAGTAAACAAGTGAGCTTTCTGGCTCTTTATCTGTACGGACCCAGGGGTCGTTGAAAATGGTGACATCACGCCAAGGCATCCGCTCGAGCCCCCGAAACCGCCGCCGGGCCCTCAAAGCTCCAATTCAGCTATAAAATCACTCCTTCCTCGCGCAATCCGTCATAACATTCTGTACGTAACAGTATTTGACGTTCTCGCAACGCTTATTTCGCACTCGCGCTTCCGCCGAGACTACGAAAAGGGTCGAAAAGTAAAAACAGCACAACAATGTCGACCAGCAAGACCTCTCAGCCCGCTCCTCCTGCTCAGAGCAGCAAGATGCCAAACGAATTGGAGATCCCGCGCGACCAGGATGCCCTGAAGCGCGCCTCTTCGCCCATGGCGACGCTGTCAAGCCACGTCGACCCCTACCCGCACTACATCATGTCTGGGGCATGTAAGTTTGCTGCTTGGTGGCTATTAGGGTGTTGCGCTCGCATTTCCTGGATTCTTTTGCTTTAGGACTTGCTTTCGGAACATACAGGAGCGGACTTAAGGGCAGCCGTTGTAGTTCTAGAACCAGAGAGCCAAGAAGCTAAAACCAGAAAGGCCGCCTGTGCTGCGTTGTAGGGTGCTTTGCGATTCCGGGAGGCGATCTAGGAATTGCGGCGCATCGCCCGAATGTCTCTCGCAACTTATGTCCTGTAGGCTTGTGCGATCAACCATTCCACTACTGCCTTTCTATCTTCAACTGGTCCCCAAGCCAGGATTTACTTCCATGCATGCAGCCGCTTTCTAGCTTCGGTCATCTTCAGGCACCCTGACTCCTCCAATCCTCATCCTAGCGCTCTTCCCATCCCATCATATAACACTAACCAAGATCGCAACACTCCTCCTTTTTGGAATCCGCGTCTACTCCGCAACTCGCCTCCTCACTCTTTCCCACTTCTTCCCCCTTTCTGCTCTCCTCAGGCGCGGGCGGCGGCCTGTACGCATACAACACCCTGCGCAACCCGCGAGTGGCCGGACTGGCTGGGGCCTTCTCGCTGGCCTACCTCTTCGCCGGGTGAGCGAGGGGTCGGGGTGTCGAGGGGGCGGCTCGAGCTACTAATATGACCCATGGGTCGTGCGGTATACGTTGTTCACAACTATCCCTCCCTGGCATACAAGGGATGTGCTAGATGCAACTACCTGCCTAATGCAATTACCGCAACTGCCACTGATGTTGTTTCTGCATGTTCCTACCTCATTACCGGTACACTCGCATCCTATAAAAGCGTTCTCTCACGAGGAATGCGCCCTTCCCCTTGCTGCCCCCTTGCCGTACACATACCCCGCTGCAGCCGCCTGCTTGTGACGGGCCACCCGCAGCTGGGCTACGACATCGGAACCATTACCTCCGCCGGCCTGCTGGCCACCGCCCTGCCCGCCGCGCGCGCCACCGGGGACGGCTACTCCGTGGCCATGGCGGCACTGGGAGGTGAGGGGGGTGTGACCCATGGGTCTTTGGGCCGCTTTGGGGTTGGGGGCTGAAATGGGGGTTGGGCGTTTATTGTGCTGCCTGTTGCACGTGCAACTGGCGGGGATCTGACTCACGGGTCAGCCCTCGTATGTCGTGGAAGGACTGGCGGGGAAGGGAAGCGGAGGCGTTGCGAGGTCGGAATCGAAAGGCACAGGCGAGCTGGCGAACTGGACGGTTCAACCAATGTTTGGCTGAACTATGTCGTTGGTTCTTAAGACTCTTACCGCCGACCTTTCCCCAACCCGCTCTCCCCAGGCGTGTCCGGCGCCGCCAACCTGCTCAAGAGCTACCAGCAGCGCACTGGCCTGCCGCATGAGATGCATGAGAAGTGAGGGGCTGACGACTGTGGGAGGCACGAAGTGGATGTGGGCTTGGCGGCATGAGTGGTGGAGTTCGGAGGTTGAGTGGTGGAGTTGACAGTTAGATGTGAGGAAAAGACGACAAGAGGGAAAAGGCATCCCTTGCGAGGGGTGGACTGCTGCGCAAACGTGCCCTTTGGCCCTCCTGCTGTTTGACCACTTTTTTTGTTTCCGCAAGTTGTTTAGGTTGCGTACCAAGGGCAGTTGATGAAGCGCGCTATGGACATGTGCCCTCGCGGCCAAAGCTCAAGCCGCCGAAAAGGCGGATGGTGTTGTGCGGTCCTCTTTTGTCTGCATGAACCCTTCTTTCGGCGTAGGGTGCGGCTTGTCTAGGCAACTCTGAAGGGGGTGGATAGCTAACTGGCTATCGCTGGATTGAAGGCTAAAAAGCGATCGGTTCCTGCTATGTAACAATGGGAGAAGCCACTGCTGAACAGCAATTCAGAGGTGTACGGAAACCGTAGCCCAGCCATCGTAACTGGTTGCTCCAAACACTGATCTTCAAGAAGGAACAGAAGGAGGGGCGCAATGATATTTTGCACTCTTGTCACAAAAGGCCAAACAAGTCGAATGCAATAACAGTCCCAACCAACATACATACAGGTCCTACACGTTTGCCGTCGTGCGCACAGCAGGACAAGACATCCTGGGCCAAATGCTTCTTTAAGTGTGCACGACCAAATACACCATGTTTCGGCAGACATACACGACCACCGTACGCCTTCGCAATGCTATGGAAGTTGGCGACTCCTCATATTCAAACCCACATTCTTTTGGCATGCGCAATGCCAAAAGCTACACCCAGCCCTATGGAAAACAGGCAGCCCAACTGCAAAACATGCGTGTCAGTCTATAACCAGGGCTGCTCCAACGCACGCCCGGCGAGGCAGGTGCACGCATGTAACCCCACATGTGCATCGTGTAACCCCCTTAGCCACAAGGCCCAAGCCAGCATGGTATATGCCCAAATGTACGACATAGTACGGAAACGTAGCTCAGCAAGCAAGTGTACAACCTTCGCGGCCAATCTCCTCCTTACTCCCTTCTTGGGCCCCGGTGGGCACCAGGAAACGCAGTGCCTAGGGTTCAGCAAAAGCATCATGATGTGCTCCGAGCATCAAAACAGCAACCTGCCTTGACAGTCAAGTGGCTTGCCTCGCAATGTTGCAAGCGGGGAGCACGTGGCGCAGCGCAAGTACAAACGGTCGGGTTTCGTCTTACGTAAAATTGTACAACCCCGTTCCAGAGATAAAACCACATGCAAATTAGGGTTGTCACGCCGCTTTGAGAGAGCGCAGAGGTCCAACACCAGCATAGGGTTTAGGAGGCACTGAAGGCGCTTTGGAGGAGTAGTACACCAATGAACGACCCACCTATCCTCCTAAGATTGTTAGCAGTAAAGCTCTGTGAACAAGAACACCTGTCAACGGGACCCGCCAAGGCACAAGCACCACTGCAGTGACCGGCCCCTACACCAGAATGCACGGCACTCGGCAGCCCGTAGGCACCAGTTCGTACACTTCAGGGGAGTGCTCAGTTCCATGCGCCCTTGTTGCCCCACCCGCCCGTCTGCTGCGCCTGTGCTGCGGCATTCGGTTGTTGGCCCTGAAGGAGAGGAAGAGCGGTTGGGAGAGGCACAGGGGAAGGTAAGTGCCAGGCAGGGAGGTGAGGAGAGAAGAACAACGCCGGCCAGATCAGGCAGAAGGACAAAAGACTTGCAGTGTGACCGGCAGGAAACAAGACCTTGCAGAGACACCCTCACGTGCGGATGTGCGGTTGGCACCCGGTCCATCTCCCGACTGTAACCATCAAGCTTGTCTAAAAATGTTGTTACCCATGTTTCTATCACCCCCCTGCTGTTGTCCTGATAACTAGTGGCCTATTCGGTCAGATGTGGTGTACAGGGAAATGCACATGGCTTTCCACATTGCAGTTACATCAACCAACACTTACCCAGCCTGCCGCCTGGTAGCCTGGATCCCAGCCAGGAGCGTTGCCACCAGCTGGGACTACGTGTGAAATCTTGCCATCAGCTGCTCGCTGCGGTGCGGCAACTTGAGGGGCGCCAGCAGGGTCCACCGACCTACTCCGCCTTCGCTCGGAGACGCAGCCAACGCACGAAAGCGCTACTGTTAATATGAGTCCAGCAGCAGCTATAGCGCCTCCCGCGTAGACGCATTGATGCACAGCACTGCTGGCCTTCCCGGATGTGTCAGCGGCAACTGCGAGCCGCGTACATACAAACCGATGGTGTCAATAAGCAGGCAAAGCAAAGATGGTAGAACATAGACTATTACTGACCTTGATGCAAGCTCATTACTCCTAGAAGGGCTAAGGCGAGCAAGTATCTCGCGGCCATGTTCGTAGCCTTCGGTCAGGAAAGAGTAGTTTGTATATTCCTACCGAAATGTTATTACCACTATATAGGTTGTTTCGTAGGCTTGGTAAGCACCAAACGTGCGGTCGTCTAATTAGAAAGGCAACGAAGCAAGTACAGGAAAAGGTAGTATACGTAACAATGACAGACGTTATCGGTATATTGTGGCTTGTGCCAGACGTTCTCTTAAGTAGTGAGGGTGACGGTTCAAAGCTCTGTAACTGGTCGTCGAGGTGTACGGCAACACTCAGCAGTCACGACTTGGACGCCAGTTTGGAGTCCTCAGACATTTTATCTGGCTCCCTGGAGTCATCGGACAACCCTCCTAAAATGACTAGTTATCGCAATTGCAAATACACCGAGGAGTATGTTATAACGTTATATAATAGTATCAATTGTCCTCTGCCTTCAAATAGGTGTGGTCGACATACTTACCGCATGCACAATGTGCCCAAGCAAACCTAAACGCCGTGCCTTTGTTACGCGCTAGCTGTTGTGGAATAAGGAGCTAGGCATATGAGATTTGTTGCTTTAGTATGTTGGCAAGTCACTGCTGAGCCAGTCGTAACTGGTTGCGATGGTTAGTTGTAGGTGGCCGCGGAAGTACCTTCCGGCGCTCACAAGGCACCTATAAGGAAGTTATTATCAATAACTATTGTTCTGTAGTTTGCCTGGCTGGTGGCTGTGTCGTGCGGCGAAGTTGTGAGTTGACTCCAGGGACCCTAATTAAATGTCTGAGGAGTCCCGTACGGAGTCCTCACGACTTCGTCGTCCTCGCCAGCTCGTGACGCCTGCATGCACGCGTAAATGACTTTATGCGTACTGTTAAGTTCTTTCTAACTTTTGGTTTCGTTGCCGCCGCTTGCCAACGGAGGAAGGGACCAACTGCTGCAAATTCGCACATGGCAACATGTTGCACAGGAGTGGAATCTGACGAGCGTCATCCTTGCTTTCGATATTTGAGACCTAGACTGCCAGGCGGTTTGCAGCAGCGTTTTGCGATTCACAACGGATAACGTAAGGGCGCCGACCCCAGCGGCTTTCAGCGGTGAACGCTGAGTGAGGCCCAGACGACCCCTGACCTTCTCCAACAGACTACTATGCTGCTGGTTAGTCCTAATGACATAGTCGATTTTTGTATTCACTTCTTTTCATACAGGCCCAGCATGCTGCCTATCGGCCATAACCCCCGCTGTACGACACGCCTGCCGTACCGCCTGACGCTTTGTACGTTTACAAAGTTCAAATGAAAGCAGCAGTAGCCCATACAACATCAATACCTCTCCCAGCTACACACTGCAATTAACCACCTCTTCCCCTGCAATGAAGCTAGCGAGAGTCGCGTGTCACCGGGTAAAACGGGTCGCCAACGGGTCGCCCACGTACCTGGAGGGGTTCCCCCGGCCGCAACCCTCTTCCTCCTGTCCCTACACCACACATATGCGGCTCGCCTGCCCCCCTGCCTCTTTCTATACCAAGCTTTGCATGCATCATATCTGTGTGTCCAACTGCGCGGCATATCCGTCACATCAGCGAGCCAGCTACCAGCCAGCAACCCCTCGCAAACTCTGTTGCACGGCCCCCACCCATCCGTCTTTTCTACATCTTTCGCATCACACGCCTATAACCCGTAACTGCTGCCGTCCAGCCCTACCACAACAGCGAACCTCGCACCTGCCCGCTGCCGGCCAATGCTGCTCCTCTTCCACCGCCACCGTTCTCCCTCCTGCGTTCACCGTCAGAAGCCAGTACGACAAAGCTTGCTGCCAGGGGGACTCCTCCAGGGGCCTTATCCGCTCTGACGCCATGTTGCCGCCACCACTGCTGCCCTATTGCGGCCCTTCTGCTGCTGCTGCCGGCCTGCCGCCTCCTGCAGCTCCTCCACACCCAAACCGCAGCTGCCACTGCCACCGCAGCTGCAGTCCAGGGCCGTACGGTTCCGGGCGTGAGCCCGGTGGCAAGATGCTCTCCTTGCAGCAGGCCACCACGGCAACCACATCCTCGCTGCTGCTGCTGCTGCCGTCAATCCCACACGTCATATCCGCAACCGGGCAGGGAGACTGGTGAGCGTGTGCTGCACGAAATGGATCCACCCATTGACAACGCTGCTTTGCCGCCGCTGCCAGCGGAGCCGGGAGCCCTCCCCTCTGCTCAGCCGCCCACGGTACTGCTATGAAAGCTGGTGCCGCGGCGGGTTATCCGACTTTACCGCCGCCACTAACTGACCCTTGACTACACTTTTCCATTACCCGCCGCTGCCGCTGCTGCCGCCTCTCCGGCGCCCACAACCCCCCTTCGCGCAGCCGCATCTACTACTTGCCGACCACCTTCTTCCCTGCCACCGCTGCCTCCGCCGCATCCGCCGCCGCCAGGGCCGCCCGCTCCTCCTCCGTCAGCAGGTCGTCAATGCCCACCTGCGGCCTCACACCGCCTGCTGCTGCTGCTGCTGCGGGGGCGGCCGCATCCGCCTGCGCCAGCTGCTGCAGCGCGGGGCTGGTGCGCAGGCGGAAGGCGTAGCGGTCCGCATTGGCGGGCTCGAAACCCTGGGGGGGAGGTGGGCAGGGAGGAGTAGGCGCAGGAGTGGCGGGTCGAGGCTACTGGATAAGGAAAAGGAGCAGCAGGAGCGGCCGAAGGGTTGGATCGGGTAGAACGGCAACGGGTCCCCATCCAGTCAAGCCTAGCCCCTCCAGCCTCAGCCAACCCCAGCCCCACCTGCGGCATGGGCCAGCCCAGCCCCCTGTCCCTCAGCAGCCGCGGGGGCGGCACGAAGGGCACCAGCGGGAAGTCCGTGAAGGGGTGCTCGGACTCGGGGAAGATCTTGAGCTTCTCAAGGCGGGCCTGGGGGTGAGGGGGTGAGCGGGAGGGAAGAGGTTAGGGACATGCCGCCGCTATTGCCAGGAGCCTGAAACGCCCCACTGCTACTTCCCCAATCCCCGCGCTCACACGTACCCATCTCCCACCTTCCTACTTTGCTCCCTGAGCGGAGAGAGTACCCCTCCCCCTCCCCTCATTATATATTTTTTATCCCCTCTACTACCCATCCGCCACCTGCCTGACCCTACTACTTCGGCCCCCTCCCTCCCCCGCATCATCTCGGTTTCTGGTAAGCACTTGGTAAGTCCCTGAGATGCGTGTTTCTAGATTAGTGTCTCCGAATGCGCTCACTGCATGAGTCGGGATTCGGGATTGGGATTGCGTTGTTGCATTTATTTATAATTTTCCCCCGCCCCTCACCTCCCTGCTCTTGTTCTTGGGCAGCATGCCGTCCACCGCGTTGAGCAGCAGCTTGCGCGGGTCCTTCTCCCACTGCTCCTTGGCGGTGCGCGCGCGCAGGCCGCCGGGGTAGCCTGCGGGGGAAGCAGCATGCGGGGACGGGAGGGATGGCAGGGGTGGGAGGAGGGTAAAGGGGGGTACTTGTGCGGTAGCGCCACTGGTTAGGGTTTGAGGTACGGGTAAGGGTGTGCGGTCGTGCTGCCCCTGACTGCGTAGGTCAGAGGCAGTACAGCATGGGAGCGGGGGGCGGATGAGCTGGCGGCGGTTGTAGGTGTAGGGGGTTGGCGGGAGGGGGGGTGGTGGCTGCTGCAGGTGAGGAGTTGGGTGTCCAGAGAGTCCAGTGGGCTGGGCTGAGGTCCGGTGCTGCGCTGTCTTGTGTCGGCAGTTATGAAGGACGAGGGAATGACCCGTGCCCAGAAGCATGGGTCAGTCGCCATCCCTAACCATCCCCTCCCCCACACACAAGGAAGCCAAGCCCACCTGTGTGCCACCGGTAGAGCTTTGTGTTCCATTTATCATGCGTCAGCTGCACATGCGCCGCATTGATGACCACCACCACGTCTCCCTGCTCCTTCTTGGGGTTGTAGCTGGGCTTATCCTTGCCCTGCGGGACCGGACATCAAGTTGGAAAGACGCGAATATGGTTATACCGGACGGGACAGCTGGGGGAGAGCATTTACTGGGCTTGTAGGGTGCAGCGCTTTGGGCAGTGGAGCTGTAAGTGTGATGACCATTGTGTGCAAGGAAAAGCCCGCTACCCCATTCTGCTTACCTGAAGGATAACCGCTATTTGCTCCGCTAGCCGCCCTACGACCTACATGGCGTATCACATCGGCTTGGCTGGGAATGTATGTCTAAAGCACTCATCAAGTTGAGCATTTAGCGCACCTGGCCTTTAGCGTCTACAATCCGAAACCGCAGACCCTCTAGGTTTATATGTTGAAGGTCCTTTAGGTGCTTAATAGCCTCGCTAGCCCGCGACATGGCGACAACGCCGCTATGCCCTTTTGGGGCGAAATATCTACTCGCTAAGCGACCTCAAGTATGCGTAGGGTAGAACGTATACAATGCGATTAAGTAACGGCAGCTACGCAGGGGCGTTCAAGTTGGGCGGCGAGTAAAATGCCTTGTGTTCAGCTTCCACTTTCATGTGCAACCTTTCGCATGTAATATGAACCCATATTTCAAGCTGCGGTATGCAAGGAGAGCAGAAGGCGTCGCATGGAAGAGGTTTCGGGGCCACCCTTGCATGGATGGAAATGCTGTTCGCCGATAACAGAACTCGCTTACCAACATTGTTTAGTTACATTCGACACTGTGACATGCTTGACCTCCAAGCAGCGCAACGCCTATCCGGGCGAGGAACATTTCCCGAGCATAACCTGCCGCTACGAAGCCGCACCGCAACCTTAGGCCGCATTCCCAACAGCCACGTCAACTCTCGCCCTTCATGCATCGTAATTGGCGCTAATTGGGCTGGAAATTATGGCAGCCGGAGCTCCGCTGGTACGGCTGCCTCAGCAACCACCTCAGGCGCTGCGGCTAAGAGTGCAAAGCGCGGAGCCGGCAGTCAACGCGAGAGCTTCGTGCCAGATGATCATGATGACCTCTTAGCAGGCGGAGCCCGATCTGCCACTGCACGTCGCCTTAAGATGGCGAGTCGTACAGTCTCCCGGAACACAGCAATGCTCTTGTTGCAGCTCTTTATGGCCCAGTAGCCTGCTTGCTCCGGCACGGTTGTAGGAGCAGGACCCAACCATCCTCATCCTCATCCTTGTAGGTCGTAGCGTACGACGGATCTGAGTTTGCTGGATTCCAGTTCCAACCTGGCAAGGTCCGCACCGTACAGGTACGGCAGTTGTAGGACGGCACCAATGCCTTACGGTCCAACTACATGCGACCAAGCTCTAGCCTGATGTTCTTTGTGTCGTTGACCTATGATTGAATCCTCGTGACACCCCTGCCTTCCTCCTGTTTGCGGGCAAAAGTTGGTATAGTATTGCATATATTGATTAAACAGAGAGCATGGCGACATGGCCTCCTCCTGCATCTATGTCGTGGAAGAGGCCTCATTTAACTTTAAACGTATGACCCTGTCCGTCCGTCCGAATGCACGTTTGTGTCCTGTGTGGTTGTATGTGGCTGCGTCCTAAAGATTGACCACTGTTTTAAACGGCACGCAACATGCCATGCCACGACGCCACAACCGCAGGGCGAGCTGGAGCGCTGCGCTCAGCGGCTCTTCCACGGCTGTAGCCGCATGGTGGGGGCATCGCGTACGGATGGAGGAGCGCACGCGTACGGACAGGTTAATTTGGGTGCTAGTTGCACGTGAACAAATTATCACAATCCACAATTCAGCATGGTATGTCGATCATGGTGCTTACAGGTTGTCCATTTTGATGTGTACGGAGATCGGGATGAGCTGGAATCGGATACCTTGTACTACAACTCCTTCTTGCCAAATGATGTACGAGTAATTGGGCTGTCGTACGCTGAAGACGGTACGTCGTCACCAAGTTTCCCTCCTTGGCCCACATGCTGTGTGAATACTTGCGGCAAAGCTTGGATTGGCGACCCGTTGAGCAACGTTGAACACCTTTTTGATTCAGGTTTTGACAGCCATTTCAGCAGTGTTGGCAAGACGTACCTTTATAAGCTAGCAGGGGGCCTCCCAGACCCAACGCAGGTGGGTCCGTTCGCAATTCCCCAGGGTCCTTTTTAAGGTCCAAGAATCTGTGGGGCGCTTCTGACATGATGATGATAACATGTTGCCCTCGGCAACACCATCAGCCAACCTTTAACCCGACCCTTTCCGCCTCTTCCCCTCACCTCACCTAAACGGCGTTTCTTTGACCCCTTCATGTCACCTGATATGGTACGGCACCTGGCACGATACTCCAGTCCAAGTACCGTTGGTGGGTGTACGACAGGTGGTGTGAGCGCTCACGTGGCAAGCCCAGCCGCCTGTCTGACGTGGAGCTGGATGTGGGCCTTATGCAGCAGGCGGCGGATCTGCTGCTGGGGAGACACGACTTCAGCACCTTCATGGACCGGAAACGACCCGCGGGTCAGTTGGCCAGTTGGATCGTGCTGCCCGGTGTGAAAAGAAAGGACTTTCAAGTGCAAACTACACCCCTGTTGTCCTGAATGTCTTCGCTCGTGAAGGGCCCTCAACACGATACATCATGGTGGTATGCGGATTAATGGCAATGTGTTCCTTTGCGCCTTTCTGCAATCCTATTGCGTCCTTGAACTCCTAACCCCCCAGGCCTGGGCAGCGCCAAACGGAAGAATCCCAAGGTAAAAACCTTGTCCATCGACAACAGCGCCCCTACGCCCGGAATTCCTCTTAGCCGTTAGCGCCCCGTCCTGTTGCGTCGTCGAACCGCACATGCACAGCAGAATGCCGCACATGAACAGGACTCGTGTCGTGTACACCACCAACGGCACACGCCGAATGAGCAGTGTACCATTCTCTGGTTAAGCCTCACCGGCTCACACCCGCACACGCCCTTTCCCCGTCGCCTCCATGTACAACCATGCCGACAGTTGGCGGAAAGGGGCATCAAGCCGGAACGTACGGCGGCTAAGAATACGCGGTGAGTAGTAGGGCAGTGGGAAAAGAGTGATAAGAGATGCCAGCACCTACACCATTGGTTAAGTTAAGCTGCTCTAAGCGGCCAATCGCCATTGCCGTAACGTCCTTGCGCAGCGACTCGCCAATCCTGATAGCCTATACCCAGATGAGATGTCGGTCCCTGCCGCGTCTGCCCTGCTGCCCGGAAATGCCTTTCACAAGGCTACGGAAGCAACCTGTTGCAAATGGGGTAATCATGCAATAGGCTCCTCAGTCGCAGTACATCTCCCAAGTCGCCTCCTCGCTCTCAGCGTACAGCCCACCTCTCCCCCCCCCCCGACAGGATCCTGAGCCACCTGCTGCTCACTGAGACCGCGAGTCCCCTCACCGGGGGCCAGGAGGTCACCATGGAGGTCACCGGCAACGGATTCCTGTACAGGCAAGTAGCAGGCGCACGCATTGTCGTGTGGAATAAGCCATAACGGTACGGTACGGTACGTGTGATTAGATAATTGGCCGCGAGGCGGAACGTACTGTGCATGTACGGCCCGCAGCGGGTCAGAATGAGCCATGGGTTGCTTCGTCACTACGCATAGCGATTATTACCGTAAGAACATCCAACAATTCCGGAGGATCTCGGCAATTACCAAAGGGCAATACCTCATGCATCCCACGCTCGCACTCGCGCATGCAGGATGGTTCGCATGCTGGCAGCGGGCCTGGTGGAGGTGGGCCACCGCCGCATCACCCCGGCAGGTACGACAGAGGCGGCAGTGTATGGCAGCATGTTAGTAAGCATAAGCACAAGCACTAGCCGTCTTCTATTACACGCACTCTTCTAGGTTGTGCTGGTAGTACGCCGTAGCGCAGGTGCGCCAGCAGCAGCAATAGCATTGCAGGGTTAGCCTCATGTCCGCGCCCCACCCCTCCTTCCTCCTCCCCTCCAGGTCTCCGGGAGCTGCTGCAGGCCGCGGACCGCTCCTGTCTCCCGGTGGAGGCCGCCCCGCCGCACGGCCTCTACCTGGCCCGGGTGCACTACCCCGCCGGCACCCCGCTGCCAACCCCACTATCAACGCAGGTCGGGAAAGCAGGACAAGCACAAGCAGCCCAATGCCAAACAGTTCTTGGGCCCTCGCGGAACGGAATGGGGACGCAGGCGGGGATGGGGGCGGCATGCGCTGATGCTGATGCGGATGCGGTGTTTGAGTCCAGGATGCTAGATCTGGCTGGACGGATCCGAGAGGGCACCGTTAGGTCTCCTGGGTTTAGACTCCTCAGCGGTGGAGGTGGCGGCGGCAGGGGCGGTGGCGCTGAGGGTATTGGTGGTGGAGAGGGAAAGAACTGCAGCGGTGGTAGCGCCGGTGAGTGTGAAGGCAAAGGAAATGGAGGCGACAGTACGGCAACGGCTTCAGTTTCAGCTCCGGAGGCGGTGGCGACTGAAGTAGCGGGGGACGTCAATGCGGCAGAAGCGGCGGCGGCAGAGGCGGAGGCTGCCTTAGTCATTCGGGAACTACGACAGACGCAGGGTCAGAAGGCGGCGGCGCTGATGCGAACAGCGGCGGCGGAGCGACGAGGCGACGTCAGCGGTGGCGGCAGCAGCAGCAGCAGCGGCAGCGACGATGGTAGCAGTAGCAGCAATGGAGCCAGTGACGGTGCATGTAGCGCTGGAGGCGGACATAGCGGGGCGGGGAGCCCGCAGCAGCGGACAGCAACACTGGGGGTTGAGGGGTCAGCCGGGGCTGTTGCGGCAGCGGAGGATTACTCAGTACTGCGAGATCGGGAGGAGGATCAATGATGCGGAATAAGTGGGGTACCCCTAGGGGTATAAAAGGGGGGTGGGTACTAATAAGGGTGAGGAGACAGGTTTGAAGGAGTTGGGTGGACGTTTTAACGGCAGGTTTGGAGATATCATTCTTGACTTGAGACCAGGTGGGGTTAAGATGCAATGGACGGCTGGGTTTGCCACGTGAGCGCTCATACCCACTGTCGTACACCCACCAACGGTAAAGCAGGCTGAAGGGACTCATGTCTCGTGAGGCCCAGGACTCGTGTTTGTAGGGTGCAGTCGCCGCAGTCCATGCTCCCATCTACCCATGAACCATGCTGACACCATGGCTGGCCTATACACCTTATTTTGCGCGTTTTTCAGCTTTGTTTCTTAAGGTGCAGTCTGCCTTTCTCTTTTGGGTGCGGGGCTCATGCCGGGTACGCGGGTACAGCTCGTGACAGCTTTGTGAGCGGGCTTGGTTGCAAAGGGCCATCACGTGCTGTCTCCGGGCCACACAGCATAAGGACCTCGGCATCCTTGGCACCAAGATGCGCGCCCCAGAGCCCCGTTGCCCTGTGCACATTACGGGCCGTACGTTGTGAATAGGTCAGCGGCGCAGTGCGATAAGTGCAAGTTGTATGATACGTTCATACGTAACTGTTGAGGGGCGTGGGATCGGCCTACTTAACCTGTCAACTAACAGGCTAGAATTTAGCTGGGGCGTCAGGGCGGACTATGGTAGCACTCCATTAGTCGTACGCTACCGTGACGGCCACGATATTGTCAGAGCACAGGATGCTTGCTACGCAAATGCCATGACAATTGGTGAATTGGCAGTAATATGCGAAAGTAATAGTGAATGTTGAGTGAATTGTGGTGCATCGTGTGGTGCGTTTTGGGGAAGATGGTGTTTCGTACGGCAGAGGTACGATAGTGATTACTAAGGTAAGCCAGGCGTACGCGCGTACCCACCCCAATGTCGTGTAATGATGCAGATCGCAGTGATAACGGCAATTGAGCTTCTCATATCTTCCACAGGTTTCCAAGTACTATGTAAACCCAGCGACGGCCAATGTGCTTCGCAATGTTAGACCTGTCAAGACGTTAAAAAAGCACACTTAGCCACCTACTTGCAAAATGCTGCAACAATACCAGCATGTCCTGCATTCAGGGCAACATTTGCAGAGTCGTCAGCGGCTGGTGTCATGCGGTGCAAAAGCCAACAGGCAGCAAGGCGGAAAAGCAAGCGGAAGAGGTTTTGGGTCATCAGCACCTGCCTCAAAGACATTGCAGCGGCGCCGTGGTTTGGAGGTTCAGCTCTTGGACGATTTGCCACCAGTAATTGTAGACCCGGATTCCGGAATCCATGAAAGCACGCGCGACACATGTTTATTCTTCATGAACAAAACAGAGGAACTATGCGGACGGCTGCCAAAGCTGCTTGACAGTGCTTGGGCGAAGGCGGTTGCGGAGCGCATCGATGACTGCGTCTCGCGGCCGATTGCGTTGACCTCCCCTGGACACACAGCTATGTTGCACCTTCTCGACATCACACATGACGACCTCGTAAACCCAGCGCTAATTGCGGCCGTTTGGGACCGTGTACAGCCAGATGCCGTGACCGTTGACGTACCTCAGTCGTACATCAAGTCCTTCACACGTGTGGCAAAAGCCATGGACCCCAAACTCCTTCACAAGCTCATGGCCGCACCGCTGACGTCGCTGTCTGGGGCCCTGGACCACGCGGATGATTTCGACCGGTACGAGGTGTCGGGAACCGGCACTGCACTGCAACGGGATTTACCTTTGCAAGCCCGCGCTTCTAGGCCAGTGCTAGTACATGTTGCAACGTCATGGGCGGTGCCTCCCAGCAAGCTGCCTGCATTGCGCGTTATGCCAGGCAAACACGCTGCAGGGCTGTTGCCCCTGCTGGACACCAGCAACTGGCCATGTTGCTTTGTTAATGCTCCCCGTGACTTCTTCCTATGACACAACCACAATCCGATGAATCACGGCTTTCCTGAGCACACCACCCAGCTGTCGTACAATCCTTGCCTTACTGTCGTACATTTGCGATACACATGCGCAGGCTCCGCTGGCATCATGCCGTACTCTCCGTCACGGGCCCCGCCGGCAGCAGCCCCATTGCCGTTGGCGAGGAAGCGCTGGTCAACACATTCGCCGCTCGGGACCTCTACCTCAGCGAGTGTGTAGCGGTGGCGCAACTCGCGGTAGCGGGAGCGGCAGCTGGAGGAGGAGCAGCGGCAGCAGCAGGGACCGCTGTCATGGTGCACGGCATAGATCCGGAGGTGGGATGCTGGTTGCAGGAGGGGGAGGAAAGCTATGGGGCTGGACAGGGGCATTGGAGGCAGGGCAGGGTAGGGAAGGGAAGGGAAGCAAGGAATCCTGGGGTACTGGGAGAAAAGAAGGGGACTGCCACCGGTAGTGTGGCGATTGCGCAGCTGGGACGCCCCTCACAGGATGACAACATGCAGAGCGACTTTCGTCACAGTCCCGTCCTCTTGACGTCCCCTGGCTCCCTTCCCTCGCTGCTCCCCGCACCCCCTCCCCGAATCCCCAGGACGACCCCGCGCAGGCCCTTCTGGACTCCGACGACCTGTGGGGTGAGGCTGACATGCGCGAGTGGCAGCAGCGGCTGCTGGGGGCGGCTGATCCGCAGCTGCGGGCGGCAGTCAACACGTGGCTGCAGGTGGGGTGGGGTGGGGAGGGAGCTCTACATGCAGGTGGGGTGGTGCTGCGCACGCCTCCTAACCTGTACTGCCACACCCATGCTGCTGTTCCCCCGCCCCCTTCTCAGCAATGCGGTGAATGCGCTCACTGCATGAGTCGGGATATGGGATTGGGACTCCAGTTGCTGCACTTCTTTTTTTTTCTTGCCCCCTTTTCGGCACCTTGTCACACGCTGCGTTTCTTCCTCTTTGCCACCTCCCCCGCGCCCCCAGGGTATTCCCGCGGGTACCTCCTCCTCCACCCCCCGGCAGCGCTTCGTGCTGGGGCGGCTGCTGCAGGCGCTGAGTGCAGCCCGGCAACGGGCGTTGATGGTGAGCTGGCAGCGGGGGGGAGGGAGCGGGGGCTTGTGCCACTACTGGCAAGGGGGAGGGAGCAGGCGTGGTGGGAACAGGAGGGGGAAGGTGCTGGGAAGGAGGCAGCAGCAGGCGCTGACAATTGCTGCTAGAAACAGGATTGGGTGTGCCAGGTTTAGATACGAGGGGGCGGTGCGAGGTTCAGACTCTCTCCTTCAGATTCTCGCGTGAGGATGGAACCACGGAAGGGACTTGGCAGGGTAGGGAGGAGCGGGGAAGGAAAGGTCACCGCTTGAGCCACCAGCAGCCGCAGAGCGCTGCCTCCCACCTTCCTCTCACCGCTGCCTCCTCCCCGCCCTTGCAACTATTACGCAGGCGGCTGACGACGCCTGGCGATCCTCTCACTCCAATCCCCAGATACGGCAGCAACATGAGTTCCGTACCGCTCGTGTCGTACAGCAGTTGGGGGCAATTCGGGATGTGGCGTGCGGGCGGTTGGGGGGTCGCAGGTGCGGGCGGGTATTGGCGGTGGTGGGAGGGGGGCATGCGGTGCGGATGAGGGGATTGTTAGAGGAAGGCGAGGGGCAGCGAGGATGAGGAGGGTGAAACTTAAGAGTTTAGAGAGGAAGATGGGGATGAGGAGAGGGGTAGGAACGTATGGGGAGAGAGGTGGGAGGTTGTAGGGAGCGGGTGCAGTACAACAGAAGAGCCTTTGTGTTGTAGTCTTAGGAGGTAGAACCGTTGCCCCTGCCTGCCAGCATGCCTGACTTCAGGAGGCGCGCCTGGCTCCCGTTGGGCGCTGCTGCCCCTGTGTGTTACGGAGCCCGATTCGTCCCCTCGTCCTTAAACTTAGGACTAACCCTCAAAAGTCACAACGCATCCTCCGGGAGGATACCGGTAATGGGTGACTTTTAAGGCAGCACGGTTCAAAGCAAGCTCCAACGCCGTTACAGCCCCAGTCATACTATGCGCTCCCTCGTCCCCTAGTGCCTGTAATAATCGCATTCCTTGTGCCCAACGCCGAGCTGCAGGAAATGGCTCCAGTCTGCCATTTTAATTGACATCCACCAGTACCAGTGGCAGCATCAGCGGCTCTCAGGTTCTGACAGCTCGTGCGGCCCCCTGCTCCTCTGCTGCTGGACAAACAGCTCCCGGCTGCCCTGCCGACGAACAGGCCCATCAACAGGCCCATCTGAGGTTAGCCTTAACATAGCCACCCATAGAGATGCGACTGCCGCCAGACACCGCAAAAGGCTCTGTCGTGAAGTGAAGGACGCGGTACTGTATCGGATACCGGTATCCCAAAACCGCCGTAATAACAATGACCCCATAGCCCGCCGCATACCTTACACTCCGAAACCCCCCTCTAGCCAGTTACAAGGGGAGATGCCAGGCCCCTTCCATCGCCAACTTCAAACAGCCCTCGCCTACCTAGGCAACACCCCGACGCCCCGCAAGACCAAGCACGAAGGACGGTACCTCGCTGTGTCACCATTCAGCTTTTAGACACAATACCGGTGACCCCACTCATCCGAGCATCCCCACTGCCCCTGGTTTAACCCCAGTCAACAACCGCATCTGCACGTGTTCTTTTCGCAACACCCGGAACCAGATCTGCTCCCAGGCACGAAGTTCACAACCTAGTTCTCCCAACCGCAGGGTCCAGTCAGGTCCGGTCCAATAAGTCCATAAGGCCCGAGGATAGAGGCGCCTTGAGGGGAAAGGTTAAGAAGTCCCAAAGGACCCGCACCCCCAAACGCCTATCAACCTCCGCCTCAGCTCACGATGTACGATGTACGATTGTGTTGTACCTCCCCGGACGATGTACCATACCTGCACCCCTGCGGACATCCGTGCGGCACCTCCTCAATACGACTTTGCAAAGATGGCCACCTCCGCCGCGGGCTGTCCCGTCATGATGCAGGAGTGCGGCCCTGGCGGCTGCTGGAAGGGGAAGCAGCGCAGGGTGGCCTGCGTCTCCTCCTTCACCCGCCGCTCGTCATCGTCGCTGGCAGCCCAGCCGCCGCGAGCCCACTTGCCTGGCAGCGGAGGAGCCGGAACACGAGGAGGGATAAGGGTTAGGGAAAGGAGCGGAGGAGCCGGACAGCAGGAAGGGAAGGCAGGGAGTAGACGGGGAGGTGAGGTGAGCCGTCAAAAGCAACCGCCCCCTCTCCTGTAGCACCCTCACGTTCCCTCCCCTCCCACCTGCCGCAATCGCCTCCTTCAGCTCCTCGTAGCTCCGCACATCCACAATGTTGTCGTCCCGGAAAGCGGCCGCCTGTGCCGTGAGGGCCGTCTGGATGTCGTCTAGCAGGGAGTGCAGGTGCGCGGTGAAGGCGGGCGGGGACATGGGGACGCCGAACTGCTTGCCCTCCTTGCCTGGGTGGGGGAGGGGAGGGAAGGGGAACCGTCGGAGAGAAACCAAACCGGTGGAAAGGGGCGAGGGGTGATGCGTAGTGAGGGAAGATAACACAGGGGCTCAGACGTCGAAAAAGGGGTTGATCTGCATGTATACAGACGGGTTAAAGACAGGAGAGGAGCCATGATCGGGGGTGGTGGTGTACGCCCAGCCCCTCACGAACCCCAACCCTTTCCCCACCCAGCCACCCACCCACCCACCCACCTGGCATGTCCCTCCGCGCTGTGACGCAGGTACCGCTGGCCACATCCTTGGGGCCCACCTCCACCCGCAGCTGCATGATGTGGGGTCGGGAGTGGGGGATGTACACAGGTAAGCAGTGGGCACGGACAGTGCCCCCCAGCGCCCGCTCTCCCCCCCCTCACCGGTACGCCGCGCATCTCCCAGTGGTTGTACTTCCAGCCGGGAGTCTGTCGCTCGTCAGCGTCGATCTGGTGGGCCGGGTGCGAGGTGGGGGCGGGAGGTGAGGGGAGAGGACATGCGGGGACATGTGTCAGGAGGGAATGCCGGTGGAGCACGGCAAGCGGGGGGTGGGGGGGGGGCAGAAACAGTGGTGCAGAGGTGCAGAAGGCAGGACCTACACCCTTACCCACACGTAGATAGGAGCTGAGAACAGCAGACCCCCAAGAACGACGCTCAACCCCGTAAGCCCTCACCTTAACTCGGATGCCCGCAGCCTTGGCCGCCGCTGCCAGCGCATCCGCCGCCTGACCCACGGGTCCGCGGTCCTCCTCCTTCTTCACGATCGGAATGATCACCACCTGGACAGTGCAGGCAGTGGAGGGAGTTCACTTGTGTGAGAGGCCGACTCATTGCTGAGCTGGTAAACCATGGCATTCCGCAGTCCGTTCGTTCCATCTAGAAGAATTTCCACCTAGAAAGGTTCGCCCCCGTTTCCGCATGGGTTCAACGCCCTGACCGACCCGCGGGTCACGGTGCGCCCCACCTGAATGGGCGCCAGCCGCGGCGGCAGCCTCAGCCCCTTGTCGTCCCCGTGCGTCATGATGACGCCGCCGATGAGCCGGGTGGACACGCCCCAGCTGCTCTGGTGCACCGGCTGGCGCTGCGAGGAGGCGTCCAGGTACTGGGTGCCGAAGGCGCGAGCGAAGTTGGTGCCCAGGTTGTGGGAGGTGCCGGCCTGCGAGGGGGGGTTGCAGCAGTGGGCGGGGTGGATAGCGGGGTTGGAGGCGTGCGCCGCATCCTCTTCACGCCATCTGCAGCGCTCGGCGATGCCAGTATGCGTATAAGATCCCCAGGGCCCCCGCATGTGCCTCCGACGTCGAGACCGCGTACACCTTGGACAGCCAGCCTGCCACCTAACCCACCCTCCCATCCACTCCCACCTGCAGCGCCCGGCGGTCCCCCATCATGGCTTCAATGGTGTACGTCACGTTGGCACCTGAGGGAGGTGGCGGGTGGGGAAAAGAAGAATCCCAAGGTGTGGGGAGGGGGAGTGGGTGTGGTTGCAGCGAGGGGAGGCAGCAGGGAGGGCAGGGGGTGTGTTGCCCACGGCACCTGCGAACGACTCGATGCGCGACTTGCGCCCCGGCACCACCGGCATGGCCGCCACGGTGGTCGCGAAATCCGCATACACGTCGATCATGCGGCGAGCCTCCTCCTCCGCCTCCTCCGCGGTGGCGTGGGCGGTGTGGCCCTCCTGCATTGGGGGATAATAAAGAGATGAGAGAAGTAAGATGAGAGAGTCCGAGATGAGAAATGAAGCACAGTCCATGTCCGTGTGGGGTTTAGGTGGGTTGGACGTGGGTAGGGAGGCGGAGGGGTGGCGCATGTAGGTGTGCACACGGGCTGCAGCAGCGGCGGTGTCACCGCCTCCGGTAACGGGAGCTCACAGCTCTCCGCAATCCCAACCTCATCGTCCATAGGATTCCCTCGCCCACCCACGCACCCATGCAACCACTGCCATCCAACGCCTATCCTGCATCACCCCGTCCTCCTCCATCCTCCCCAACCCACCCACCCCCACCTGCCACAGGAACTCAAGCGTCCGCACGAAGGGCCGCGTGCGCATCTCCCAGCGGTGCACATTGCACCACTGGTTGAGCCGCATCGGCAGATCTCGGTACGACTGGATCCACTGCGCAAACATGTGGTTGATGATGGTTTCGGAGGTGGGGCGCACCACCAGCGGCTCCTCCAGGTCCTTGCCGCCGCCTGGTGGAGGGGGGTTGCTGGCGTTGTTAAAAGTATACTGTCGACATGAAAGAGTCCATGAAAGAGTAAGGTGTGCTGCAGCATCGACAGGGTAAGGAAGCGGCGAGGGAGGTGGGGCGCTTCTCCACCCACCCTTGTTTACCAGCGCCAGTGTACACAAGCCCTCCACACTGCTGACATCCCCATTCACGATTGCTACCATCCGGGGAACCAGCAGGGGACCCTTTGACCCTCCCTCCCCTCCAATGTTTCACCTCTTCCTCTTCATCCCACCCACCCACCTTTAGTCACCAGCGCCAGTTCCGGCGCGAACCCCTCCACGTGCTCCGCCTCCTTGGCGATGAAGGAGTAGGGGATGAGCTGCGGGAAGTAGGCGTTCTGCACCCCCAGCTCCTTGAAGCGGCAGTCCAGGTGGGACTGTACGGCCTCCCAAATGGCGTAGCCGTACGGCCGGATGACCATGGTGCCTGCGGGAAATGGACGGGAACAATAAGTCCATGACCATTGACGTACATCTTAATTTTGCCGCAATGGCCCCACTCATCCCCACCGCTGGCGTTCTGTACTTTGTGACCCGCCGTACTGGGGCTGCTGAGCTTAATTATAACGCCCCTTCGCCAACGTCCCCAGCCATCCAGCATACTCTCTTTTTCAAACCGCATTTCGGCGCTGCAAGAAACTCTATGACTCTGCCCACCCAGCTCCCACCTCTAACAGGACCGTAGTCTGCTAGCTCCGCCCGTGCCACGACATCCAGGTACCATTTGCTGAAGTCCTCGCTGCGGGGAGTCACAGCAGCCTCAGCAGCCTTGCCTCCGCCTCCTCCACCGCCACCACCACCCTGTTAAATGGGAAGGGAAATGAAGGGATGCAAGGAGCAGCAGAGGCAGTGGGCTGCATGGGTGCAGCTGTACAGCGAGTAAGGACGGGCACGCTTGAATGACGCAAGCGTAATACGGGCCACATAACCTGCTTTGTGCGGCAAGCATGGATACAGTTAGAAGCATGGGGTATGTGGAAGGCCGAGTATGCAGTGCGCCGGATGTTATGCAAGCCATCCGGCAAGTCAACAAAGGCAAAGGCCGTAACAACGAGAAATCCTAAGAAATGTTATAAATAACGGAAGGTGATAGTAATTCCCTGCCTGCTTTTGCTTTTGCTGCTTCGGAGCAGGAGCTGGTGGAGCATCCGTTGCTGCCGTTGAGACGCGCGCAGCAACTGTAAAGCGGTGAGGCCGAAAGGGTGTTGGGCCGCGACAAGGCAGGAGAGCTACATGCGGCCTCTGTGCAGCCCCGGACAACTGAGTTGGACTACCGCGAGCAAACAGGTCTAACATTTTCAGCTAGTAGACAGACCACAACAGTCACGTGGGGAATAAGGCATCTGCAGAGCAGATTGAAGTCAGGATACAATCTTACGGCCATTCGTTAGCGTGGTTCGTATGGTTCCGGGGCATCCAGATTCCGCTGTTTTACCTCCTTACCAGTGTACTTAAACGTCACAGTTCGGCCCTACCTCTACAGTTCCGCCCATTCTCCTGCTGAAGCGCTTGTGGCGAGTTACTTGAGCCCGCTTCGGCAGCGACCTCTACCGGTAGTTGTTTCCGCTAACCTATGTAGCGTTACGCAAGAAATTTTGGAAAAGATCAGTATGGATGGAACACCTTCTGGCACGCCTTCTGACAGTACCTGACGGTACTAACCATTCCACAATACTATCGTACCGGTCCCTGCCTTGCACCGCGCTAACCAACCACACGCCCTTTCGTTTAATCCCTAGGAAATTGCCACGTTGCTCTTGCCATAGGTACAGCATGCCACCCAACCAGTGCCGAAGGGAACTTGTCTGGGCAGGAGAACTGACGGACACTACAATCATCACTTCAAAGGATATTAGCACTATTAGCAATACCGGTAACGCCCAAAACACAATAGTGCACCCGTTAAGCCAATGTCAAGTGGTACGTCCGCTCAAACCCTTCACCAAAGTACCTGGAAAGATGATGGATCTGCACAACAGCCCATTAAAAACAAAAGATCCATCGCCGAGGGCGCCAAGCTCGCGCCGAGATTCGAACTCGGGTTGGTGGATTCAAAGTCCACAGTGATCACCGCTACACCACGCGAGCAACCACCGGATGCCAAATAACAAAAAAAAGACATATATTAATAGAAACAAATAAAGAACCACCATGGCCAATCCAACAGCCCTCCGCAACAACACAAAACACAGTCTGTCTTGCACAAAGAGCCCCTAGCACTTCCGTCATGCATGCCTTTGGACATGCATGACAAACACACGCGTGAAGACGGTGACGGTTTGTGGGTTGCTGTTGTTCTTTTATATGGGGTTGCTAACTAAGGGGTTGCTGCACTAGGTTAGGGTATTGTGGCGGGGGTTAAGGGAGGTCGGGCATCCGGGGGGAGGCAAGGAGGATGATGTGGATTGCAGGTGGTGAGTCCGCATTGGTGGTTGCAATAGGCGTCGTGACATCTATGTTTAGGCTCTACTTGGGCAAATGCCCTACGGAGGCTGTGGTGGGCGTCCCATGAGTTGTCCAAACCTTTTCACCCTTGCCCCTCCATCCTTACATACGGAAAGACGTCTTAGAGGTGAGTGGTGAAAGTAGGCGATGGTGTCGGCTATGCACCCCAGGAGCTAGATGTAGCTAGCCTAGCTGCATAAGAGGAATGGGCGGGTGAGGCAGGGTGCTGACAGAGGAGGCCTGTCCTACATACATGATATGAGGTATTGGTATTGGATGTATTGCTGCAGTCGGGAATGAGGCTGCAGCCCGGTGGCATCAGTCGCATGTAGTCTGCGGGAGAACCCATAACAGTGGTTTTTACACCGCTCTTCTCAACTTCTCAACTTTGGTCAACAGGTTTTGAACAGAACCTAACCGCCATGCAACCCCGCCGGCGCTATTCGGGCTCCAAGACGGCCGTTGTACCAATATCCGTTACAACCATTGCCAGCATCTGCAAATTATATATGCCGAAACAAACACTTTATTCGCCCTCATCGTCACTGAAGAAGCTATCCTTTGGTCGCCCCCCGGCACCCGAACCCCCCGACTGCTGCTGCTGCTGCTGGGGAGCCGCCGTAAACCAGAAACCAGGTACAGAGCTACAGCCAAACAGCCCAACATGCTGACATGGCGCCCACGACACCCGCCGGTACGTCCCACCAGCAGCACACAGTTTCAACCCAGTGCGGCGCCCTCCCTCCCCCACCCTCCCTCCTGACTGACGGTGGTGGCGACAGAGGAGGTCAAGGTGACTGCGGTGAGGGGCTGGATGGCGGCTCCGGTGAAGAAGGCGGCACGCCAGGCGGGAGCGGGGAAGGAGATGTCGGTAAGGGGATGGGTGGCGGCTCTGGCGAAACAGGCGACACGCCAGGAGGGAGCGGGGAAGGAGATGTCGGTGCAGGGCTGGGTGGCGGCTCCGGTGAAGAAGGCGGCACGCCAGGCGGGAGCGGGGAAGGAGATGTCGGTAAGGGGATGGGTGGCGGCTCTGGCGAAACAGGCAACACGCCAGGAGGGAGCGGGGAACGAGATGTCGGTGCAGGGCTGGGTGGCGGCTCCGGTGAAGAAGGCGGCACGCCAGGAGGGAGCGGGGATGGAGATGTCGGTGAGGGGATGGGTGGCGGCCCTGGCGAAGAAGGCGGATCAGCACCAACTGTCAGCAGCAGGCCATACCTTACTCGGACGAAGCGCAGGAGCCAGGATCGGAGGCTCATGCGGAGATCGAGGTGGGGGCAAGGAGGGGGGAGGGAATGGGTTGGTGGCGATGAGAGAACGGATGGGACACAAAGGCAATGCACATTTAGAAGCAGGCAGCGAGCTAGCCGGAGACACTCCAGCCCCCATGCAACGGGCCCTCAGAGCAACATGCCGTGCCCACGAAGCCGGCCTAATAGACACGCCACATGCACCGGTGGCCAGGCGATGCATGCGGCATGCCCACTAGGCCGGCTGCTTGGGCAAAACTATTGGAGATAGTTGGAGGTAGTTGTGGGTGCAGAACAACCAACAGGGCAGGCACGCGTGTGAGACGTTGTAGCCGTGTGAAACTCACCTTTATTCGCTAGGCGAAATGGATGCGGATGGGGGCCGTACTGGCGAATAGCAGCGGTACGGCAGCGGCGGCTGGCTCCGCACGCCGCTGGCCGTCGCCGATCCTTGTGCCGGCCCCGCAGAACTGCGGGGGGAGGGAGCAGGAGCAAGGAAGGGGGGGAGAAAGGATCAGCAGGAAAAGCAGGTGCGAGCCCGCCACCGGTAGGCCCTCCAATGAATGCTCAATGCCCATGCAACATGCCTAGTACGATGCAGATAAATGCCCCCACATGCATGCACATGATCCCTGACACGCCAGGACCTACCTTCGAAGCGCGGGGTTGTACACACTTACCTGCTCCGCCCATGCCTTGGAGGGGCCCCAACGATGTCCGCGCGCCGCTGGCTCCCCGCTCCTGTGTCGGAGGCCGTCGTCGAGCCTTGTGCCGGCCCCGCAGAACTGCGGAGGGGGGGAGAAGGAGCAAGGAAGGGGGGGGAGAAAGGATCAGCAGGAAAAGCAGGTGCGAGACCGCCACCGGTAGGCCCTCCAATGAATGCTCAATGCACATGCAACATGCCTAGTACGATGCAGCTAAATGCCCCCACATGCATGCACATGATCCCTGACACGCCAGGACCTACCTTCGAAGCGCGGGGTTGTACACAGTTACCTGCTCCACCCATGCCTTGGAGGGGCCCCAACGATGTCCGCGCGCCGCTGGCTCCCCGCTCCTGTGTCGGAGGCCGTCGTCGATCCTTGTGCCGGCCCCCCAGAACTGCGGAGGGGGGGAGAAGGAGCAAGGAAGGGGGGGAGAAAGGATCTTTGCACATCTACGCAGCCAATCCCAACTTACTTGTACGCGGAGTGTATTACCCTTGGGACATGCTCGCCGTCGCACATCTTGCGTCGCGCCTGCACAGAAAGCAAATGGATGATTTGGATCAGCACCAACTTGAGAGGAAAGGGGACTATATCGAGTTATTCTACAGCGGCGTCAAGGGCAACTGTAAGCAGCAGGCCGTACCGTTCGTTGTGACTCTGGTACTGCTGGCGAAGGGTCTGATGCCGAGGATATACTCGGACGAAGCGCAGGAGCCAGGATCGGAGGCTCATGCGGAGATCGAGGGGGGGGGGCAAGGAGGGGGGGAAGGGAATGGGTTGGTGGCGATGAGAGAACGGATGGGACACAAAGGCAATGCACATTTAGAAGCAGGCAGCGAGCTAGCCGGAGACACTCCAGCCCCCATGCAACGGGCCCTCAGAGCAACATGCCGTGCCCACGAAGCCGGCCTAATAGACACGCCACATGCACCGGTGGCCAGGCGATGCATGCGGCATGCCCACTAGGCCGGCTGCTTGGGCAAAACTATTGGAGATAGTTGAGGGTGCAGAACAACCAACAGGGCAGGCACGCGTGTGAGACGTTGTAGCCGTGTGAAACTCACCTTTATTCGCTAGGCGAAATGGATGCGGATGGGGGCCGTACTGGCGAATAGCAGCGGTACGGCAGCGGCGGCTGGCTCCGCACGCCGCTGGCCGTCGCCGATCCTTGTGCCGGCCCCGCAGAACTGCGGGGGGAGGGAGCAGGAGCAAGGAAGGGGGGAGAAAGGATCAGCAGGAAAAGCAGGTGCGAGCCCGCCACCGGTAGGCCCTCCAATGAATGCTCAATGCCCATGCAACATGCCTAGTACGATGCAGCTAAATGCCCCCACATGCATGCACATGATCCCTGACACGCCAGGACCTACCTTCGAAGCGCGGGGTTGTACACACTTACCTGCTCCACCCATGCCTTGGAGGGGCCCCAACGATGTCCGCGCGCCGCTGGCTCCCCGCTCCTGTGTCGGAGGCCGTCGTCGAGCCTTGTGCCGGCCCCGCAGAACTGCGGGGGGAGGGAGCAGGAGCAAGGAAGGGGGGGAGAAAGGATCAGCAGGAAAAGCAGGTGGGAGCCCGCCACCGGTAGGCCCTCCAATGAATGCTCAATGCCCATGCAACATGCCTAGTACGATGCAGCTAAATGCCCCCACATGCATGCACATGATCCCTGACACGCTAGGGCCTACCTTCGAAGCGCGGGGTTGTACACACTTACCTGCTCCACCCATGCCTTGGAGGGGCCCCAACGATGTCCGCGCGCCGCTGGCTCCCCGCTCCTGTGTTGGAGGCCGTCGTCGATCCTTGTGCCGGCCCCGCAGAACTGCGGAGGGGGGGAGAAGGAGCAAGGAAGGGGGGAAGAAAGGATCAGCAGGAAAAGCAGGTGCGAGCCCGCCACCGGTAGGCCCTCCAATGAATGCTCAATGCCCATGCAACATGCCTAGTACGATGCAGCTAAATGCCCCCACATGCATGCACATGATCCCTGACACGCCAGGACCTACCTTCGAAGCGCGGGGTTGTACACACTTACCTGCTCCGCCCATGCCTTGGAGGGGCCCCAACGATGTCCGCGCGCCGCTGGCTCCCCGCTCCTGTGTCGGAGGCCGTCGTCGATCCTTGTGCCGGCCCCGCAGAACTGCGGAGGGGGGGAGAAGGAGCAAGGAAGGGGGGGAGAAAGGATCTTTGCACATCTACGCAGCCAATCCCAACTTACCGGTACGCGGAGT